TGACTGTCATGGAGTTGGTTTCATGAAACGGACAGTGATGGCCTGGGGGCCGTTTCTCGAAACCAACTCCATGACAGTCATATCTTTGTCGCCGACCTACGGAGATGTCATGAAGTGGATAAACCGTTTCACAAAGCCATGACAAGCCATGACAGACATGATATCGATATATCGCGATACTAGCAGCTCAAGAACATAGTCTTAATTTGTCACGATCCATTTGATTTATCAAGAATAACCCAAAACAAGTTTTGGGGCTAAAGTTGTTAAAAAAGAAACATATACATATAAATTCTCCTAAAATGAATAATAAATAGTGTCTTTATCAAATGTTGATCGTCAAACGATTTGCATATTTCTGTAAAGATTCTTAAATTGAAGAAAAACCGGCAAGTGTTTTTTTCTCGACAGTCGAATCAAAAGTTAGTTGAAGGATACCGTAATATGATAGTTTATCAATACGTACTTTTTTGTTTATTGTGACGAGGAATTTTAGGCAAAATACCTTTTCTCAGCCAGTTTTTATTCTAGAGTCTCATAAATACTCGTTATATAATTGATTTGATATTGAAAATATTATTTAGAAGAAGTTATTAGAGAGGGAATAATAATGCACATAGGCCCCAAAGGTATGACGGTATCCTAAGAAAAGACTACGGATCGACTATGGAAAACGGTGTGTAACATTCTTATCTCTCTTATTTATATGTTATAGTTTAATGATTTGAGATTTAATGTTTATATTCAGCTTTTTAAAGTTTCTGTATAATTTGTATTATCACTTTTTTACATTTGCATTTCGCATCCCAGAGAATTACGTACCGAACTCGTCTATATTTTTCTCAAAAATGATAGTGAAACTAATCGTACATTTCGCGGCCCATAACTGACTCGTGATGGCGCTTTACAGCAATTAAAAAGATATGACGGGTTCGGAGCAGTGACAACTCGCTTGTCGCGGAAGTTGTCGCTCATCTTGGCAAAGACGGCTTCGTGAAACACTTAGCTGACCAGTTGCGTGACAGTGGCGAGATGTCGTTGATCTTTTAGTTATGACGGTTTCGAGAAACGGCCCCCTGAAGGCTTATGACCCAGCCAGCTGGACCTTGGCTGTCCCAGTGGCCCGTTCCTACAAAGCGTCATAAGTCTAACTTCTTGACTAAATCAACGTTAGTGAGCAACTTGTCTGCTACGTGTTTCACCAAGCCCTCTTTGCCAAGATCAACGACAACATCCTGACTAAGTAGTTATGACGCCTCCGACACTGTTATATCTCTGTCATAACTATTTAGTCAATGGGCAGCGCCATCACAAGTCATTTATTGGGTAGACTATGGCTGGCAAAAAAAGGACAAGAAATCCTCCGGCTATGATCTTACTACACATTCACTTAAACAAGGAGTTATTGTTTTTTTTTTATTTGAAAATCTTTTAAAAATATGCCATGGTTATATCTAAGGCTTTTCCCATTTAACTGAACTGATTATATGTGTTTATTTCCACATTGTAAAATCCTCGATAGGATGGGTAATCTGCCACGACAGGCAACCCATAGATAAAAGTGTATTCTCTAGTTTTCAGACCCATATTGCTTTCGAGATAAATTCTATCTTCAAACGTGTAAAATATATACTTTAATTAAAACATGAGTTTTAACGTTTGGAATGTCAAAGTTTTGTCATTTGAATATTGTACTGTCAAAACATTGTATTTTTATTAAGAAGAATATAAGGGTGTATTTTTATAAACTATCAGATGAAAATATCCGGGGGGTACCAATCTCAAGAACAAAACTGATTCACCGGTCATGTAATGAAATACTCACACTTATATTTTATAAGTACTTCTGTTGTATAATCTACACAAATTTGGAAGTATATTGCATCTCTTATTTCTTGGTATCATTTTCAATCTTTTTTGTATTACTTATTCATTTCAATAATTGCATTTCCCTGATATTACTTTTGTAATAATCCGGTGGTATTGCGACTAAGGCTAAGGAACGAGCCCTGATGGTAGAGCCGCTTCCCGGCAAGCGATAAATGGCAGATTTGAATCCCGCTGTTTTCAAAAGTTTTGCTGACTTGTTTTCTACAAGATATCGAGCTCGTTATCTTCATCTACTTTGTCCACGCTGAAATTGATTTACAAATTACAGCTATTCCCTGGAAGCTTGCCAAAGAACCATACTAGATATTTCATCATCGTGCTGAATTAAATAAAACTGCAAATATTGATTTTCATATGCCCCTACGTCTGGGTCAACCTTTTGAATAAAGTTGAAAAAAACCTAGTATAAGAATAAAGAAATCGAAATGTTTTGTCATGGTCATGTTTCACTTTAATAGCATGATGCACTATTGTTACATCACGGAACGATGCGTCTATATATAAGCTGCTTTGTGAGGTATATATATAATGGGTGAAATCATGGTGTAATGAATACTGTTATCAGTAGTCTTGCCAAGAGGAGGAAGAATAGATTTATTCACAAAGGCTTAACTTGTTAAACCCAGCTAAACTATATACATATAGGCTATAACATCTTTTATTAAAGAGATAGCTGTGTACATCGAGGAGAAAACAGGTAAGAGATAGATGTTTTAACCGTTATTTCTCTGTTTGGTTTCATCAATTCACAGCTTGTGACGACAGTACTAAATTTGAGACATCGAATGATATTAGGCTAAACTGGGGTAATTATATCTAAAGTTTTGGAAGCGCATACAGACGTTATTATTGTCATAATGTAAAATTTAGCTAATTCACTTAAAAAGACAAATCGTTGCGAAATATAATTATGATAGCGCTAAACTCGAAATGTATTATTTTGAATGTAGATGAATTTCGATAATATAGATGGATCCATAGCCACACACGGGGTTTAAACGCTGGCTGACCCTGTCTCGTGTGAATGCAATGATAACATTTAAGGCAGTTCGATGGCGGGTTAACCGGCCCTCTGTAAATGTGTTTAAAGGTAAAGATCAGTTCTGGTCATGCGATTGCATTGTGAAAGAAACGTTGTGGAATCGATCAGAAAAGGTTGATCATCTAGCATATAAGTATTGGTGTGTACTGCAAGGTTCTGGAATCATCGAAATGATAAGAAATTTGGCCCAGTCTTGATAAAGTAACAAGCACTGTACACAGAAAGATGTATATGGGACTACGCGACACGTACAGGACACGTGTGTGATATATCTATCCGGTCCAGATAGATATTAATAATTTACCAAATAAATCAATTAGTAGGCGGTTTCCCGGCAAAATTTGTATCATCACGTATGGTCAAAACATATTCTTTCACTCATCATCATCAACTTCAGGTGGCGCTGTAAAGCGCTGCTAAGGTCTTCACGAGAGCACGCCATGCAACTCTTTCACCTGCCATTTGTGTTGCACCTTTCATTCCTTGTCCAGACAAGAGCTTTCATTTCATTTTTTGAGAGGGGGGGGGGGCGTTTCCAAAACTGGTCTTTACCTTTAAAGTCAGACTGAGGCTTTACTGCACTAAAAGATACTTTGCATATAAATGACGTCACCATTTTCTTTTTGGTCTTTTCTAGAAAAAAGTTCAATAATGCTTGACACGCATTTAGAAGAGAGTGATGTATCAGGTGATGTCATGATGTCAGAAACAGATGATGCAATGACGTCAGGTGAGCAATTCAAAGTTTATGACCGTTTTTTTGGTTAACATGTATTTATAATATCATTGGAAAATATTGTGATTTGTATTTGCATTCAGTATACGCGACCTTTCTTGAATTCATTGACGACGGATAGTCAACCTGTTCGAAACGTCGAGCCACTCCTACTACCCATCCTCTCCAACCGGTGCTGTAGTTCTCCTCAGACATATAAGCTCAAGAAAGATTACTAACAGTCCTTTACAGAACTACACACACTCTCAAGAAAGAAAGATTACCGACAGTCCTTTTCAGGACTCACAAATCCTCCCCGTCAGCCTACTGTATACATTGGGGTATATGTTCACGAAATGTAAACGACGACCCGACCCGACGCATAGACCTGCAGTGAGCCATATCAAAGAACTCCTATTCAATTTAGCAGTTTGAAAGCTATCTGATCCCCGTTGCACAAAACTCACCATTGATATTAAATGTGATAGCTTTAATGGTAACTTCCATGAAAACCTTGATTTGATTGGCTGTTGAGTGAATGTTGCCATAGTATATTTCAATATTGATGGCAAACTAACTGGCCTATTTTGACATTAATATTGAGCTCATAATCCATGACGCATTAATTCACAGAGATGAGTTATTAATGTTTGACTTTATTTCATGGAATACAAAGTTGGGGAAGTTACCATGGCTCTTAACTTAAACACCCAGAGAGTGTCAAAGCTACACTAAAATAAATCGAGGTGCTAAAAATTAGGTGCTGCGTTAGCCTTTCACTTGTCGTGCTAAATATGCTAGCACCCTAAGTACCATTTTTGACAAAAGCTGTTGCGGTGCAGAATCGGAAATGGGTGCTAAAACAATTGTTGAGCCAAAGAATTCAATGAGGCCAATGAATTAGCCCCTGAAGAGCTCTGGAAATTGTGCATGTCATTTACATATTGTTTGACGAAAATACACATTTTTTTAGGATTTAGTTCGTTCAAACAGACTGAATTACCTATTGTCTCAGCCAGCGTCTCAAATATATACTCGTTCCATAAACAACAAGAATAATGATTAAGAAATTAGTCGCTTAGTTTGTAATTGTTGTTATTTTACTACCTCTTATGATTTATACAGACCTTTTTTTATTCATGAAAATAAGAATTGTACATGTAAATGAATCTCATGTAAGGCGTACTCAAGGTGCTGTTAATAGCCCGTATGTCTGTTCATTACCACCAATAGTGTAGATTAGTAGCACCTATAGTGGTGCTAAAGCAGCACTGCAAATACAGTTACTATATAAGCACAGAAAAGTGTTTTATATATATATATATATATATATATATATATATATATATATATATATACATAGCCCTCCAAATGCTAAAAACAGCACTTTAGTTTTTAGAGTGTACCTGTTTTCCTACCTAAATTTAAAGTCATTGGAATTATCAAATCTGGATACTTTTGACTTCTCAAATAAATGTTTTGAGTCCTATGAAGCTTTATATTGGATTTTTTTACATTGTATAGATATTATAAATGTCCGGGTCCAAACGATAAGCATGTAAGTTCTAGCCGTAAGGGAGGCACATGTACCAAATTAGGCTGACAAGCATGCAAAGAAAGCGAAGAAGAAGAAGAAAATAAGAATGAAAAGAAAAACAATAAAGAAGAAGGAGAAGATTGAAAAGAAGGAGAAGAAGAACAAACAAATGACACAAAGAATTTTAGAAACTATATATTTTATATTTTTAACAAGCTTCATAGTTCGAATAATTATGAACAAGCGAAGTTTAAATAAGAGGGGGTTCAACCTACTACCTGAATCCACTACTAACACCATATACCAATAGCACCGACTTCAATCACTCTTACATAATTATGTTATATATTCCCTGTCTTTCCAAAGATGGTGGGGTCGAAATGACAGCGGTCGACTTGACCTCAATGGACGAGACGAATACGACGACGACGACGATGACGAGCCAGGTTGAGGCGACCAAGCAGGATGAGAACGTCGATGATAAAGAAAGTATTCAAATGGATGACAGTGGGAGAGACACATTTAAATACAGGAAAAGCGTCAAGCTACTTATACCCATTAGACTCAAGCCTACGTATGTTTTCTTTCTTTTTCCTTTTTTCCCCCCACTTTTTTTTAGTCGGGCAATATGTATTTCTTTCAGTCATGTGTTTTCTATCGAATATGTTTTCAGCGCCATGAGCACTATCTGCATGGGTGGATTGTTTCGCACTATAAATGTCTCCCTCACCATTATTAGTAGTATAGAAGCAGCATTAATATCGGTATTATTGTTATTACTATAGGATTATCATTATTATCACCATCATCATTATTATTATTTTTGTTAGTGGTAGTATAATACACTGTAGTAGAAATATCTCAAAAGAACGCAGGGTGATAATGGAGCCCCAAATCTGCTAGAACCATACTTCACCGACCTCAGCGCATATAGTATTAAGGATTGATGTAGGAGGGGGCTCCCCCTCTCACCATGTAAACGATTTGAGATATACATTCCCTCGAGAGTCTTGTGATGCCGAAAGTGATTTAAAAAAAAGAATATTTATAGCACGTAATATATGAGATACATGGGGGAATAAATTCGTATTACACTTTCCGAATGAGACCAGTGCCTAGCTCCTTCCAATGGTTTCCTTGTCCCGCAATGAGTGGACTGTCTCACGCTTCGTCATTGGGGGAGGGTGGAATTCGTACGGTCGTATTATAGCAAACATGTCTGTTTTGATGTTCAGTACTTGTTTTGTTCATTATCGGGGGTGATGATGCTGTTCAAGACTATGAAAACAATGACAACTACGGAGGGGGGAACGGCATTGTCAGTTCACACGTCACATCATTATGACGCCTATATACACCCCCCCCCCCAAGCTTTCGGCTTGACTGCACGCTCAAGTCGATGCCAATGATAGAAAAGACATATTGTTCGTGAAAGAGATTAGGATCACGACAATGGGAGCGTTCTTTGAAATCAGAAGGAGGTCAAAATCGGGGGTGATGATGCTGTTCAAGACTATGAAAACAATGAAAACTTTGGGGGGAAAAAATCTGCATTGACAGTTCTTCACGTCACATCATTGTGACGTCTATACACCATCCCCTCAATCTTTAGGTTGAGCGCACGCTCAAGCCGCTGCCAATGATAGAAAAGAGATATTGTTTGAAAGTGATTGTGATCACGACTATGGGAGCGTTCTTTGAAATCAGAAGGAGTCAAACTATATCAGGCATTCATGATAAGGATATCGACTCTTTCGATTATTAAATAACCAACAGTTTCTGGCCTAGAAACTGGAGGCAAGCGCTTGCGTATCCGGGGGGAGGGGGAATAATATTCCCTTTTGTAAGTTTTGGAGAGAAAAAATGAACCAAACAGAAAGCAAAACAAATTGCTGAAAAAGTCGTTGTCTACCAACGAATAGAATTGCGAATAGAAAATCAAAACTCGTTCGCTGATATGGCATGATCGAGACGGGAGAGAAAAACAATTCATTCCCTTTGGTACAGTGAAGTCGACTCAACAGCAGGAGTGACTTACCTATTTTACAGTCTTATATAATACATCATTTGGTTGACAACTCAAAGATGTTTCACTCTTTACGATTCTGTATGGCCAATTATCTCCACTTGATTCTTGGCGTACTTTGTTCATTGTTGATTGCATGACAAAGCATTTCTCATATTTTTTCGTGCAGATATTGTGATTTGCAAGTTTGGGGTTTGAATGAATCGACAGACGTTACAAGATTTATTCAGGAAATGAATTCATGTATTTTGTTTTTCCCTTGATACAGGCTTCCTATTATATAAAGAAGAAAGACAGAGGAGACAGAGGGGGATGGGAGAAAAGAGAGAGTGTGGGAGAGAGGGGGAGAGAAACAGAGAGAGAGAGAGAGAGAGATAGCGAGAGATGGGATGAGAGAGGGAGAGAGAGAGAGAGAGAGAGAGAGAGAGAGAGAGGGGGGGGGGGGAGGGGATTGGGGAGAGAAGCCGTGGAAGGGTAGAGGTAGGGAGAGGAACAAACAGAAAGGGACAGAGAGGGAGATAAACGAATATCTTGGTACAAGCCCAGTATAGTGATTTCAATAAATAATATCATTTATCAAGAGCAAATTGTATGACCCCCCCCCCTGTTATTTTGTTCCAACAAAAGCAACATTGCTGCTTCTTCAGTGTCGTTGTTTGATCATTACATTTTTCTATAAAAGTATTGATTATGATGCCGACAATTTAGTTACAGATCTTATTGTGAGACATGACTTACTTTTTAATATTCTAAAACAAAACCGCTTAAAGGATGAAGATGGTCATAATATTACGAAACTCTGTAGTTGCAATGTCGTTAAAAACAAAAACAGTTCCCAATTTCTATAACTACTTCCGACCCTGACAAGAACTAAGATTTTGCAGGCTGTACGTACATAGAGAAACAACCGATATACTAGCAGTCAAAGAATTCAAGGTCGAAAGTAGCATTAAGATTCCACTTGTATTTCACCATTATATTATTCATATTGTTTGATACAGTTGGTTGGATGAGTTTATCTGTTCCCAAGCATTTAAAAGGATATACGAACGCCTCGGGCATATTGCAAAGTAATTTCATAGTTCTTTCACATCACTCGTGACCCGTTTCACGTCAATTATTATGAAAGGAAAATGACGTCATGCCAAGCGTCATACTTGATCTGAACTTTTGCCTGCTTACCAACGCTCCGGAAACGTGTAAATCTTTTCATACAATTATAATAATAATAAGAATGAAGAGTTGACACAAAATTTTTACCTTGAGTATTCTGATAATAACATCTTTTAACTTTGGCCGTAAATGAGTAGAGGGAGCAACATGATTTTAGATTCTTGGAGAGAGTTCCATATGTCAGGACCATGGTGTCTTATGGATATATGGGCAATTGGTAATTTCGAGTTTACTAAATGAAAATTTGAGGAATAACGGGTAGGGTTAGAGTGAACAGCTTTATTCATAGTGTAAACGTTTTTAAATGAAAGAGGGAGCATATTATTTAAATACTTTAACATGATCAATAAACTTTGTAGCGAATTTATGTCGAATACTGTATACGGTTTTCAGTTTGTAAAATATTGGACTGGTGTGAGATAAATATGGTGAACCCGTACATATACGAAGGGCTTTCTTTTGCAACAAATGAATAGAGTTGATTTTGGGTTTGGTGCTGGTGGCCCATACTAAATTGAAATATGTTATATACATATAAAGCATAACAAGCGTATAACATGGGATTAATTTCTAAATAATATAATTTTATATAATAAACCAACATCCCTAGAAATAGAAGAAGTGATATGACGTATATGTTCATTCCAATTTAGATTTTCATCGATGATGAACCCAAAAATATCGTTGTTCTCTTTCTTTCGAGAGGGACGTTATCTATATTTATGTTGTAAGGAAAGTCAATGACATGTTAATTTGCGTGCTTGAAATACATGAAATTTGTTTGATTTATATTAAGGGATAACTTATTGCATTGAAACCATAGAGATACTTTTGATAACTCATTATTAAGTGTATTTACCAAATTGTTTAAATTTGGACGTGAACAGCAGATGTTTGTGTCATCAGCAAATAGGACAAATGATTAAAAAAAAATGTTGTATTGATTAAATCATTAATATATATATATAAAAGAAAAAGTAAAGGGCCTAAAATTGATCCTTGAGGAACTCCATATTTGGTAGGCAGGAAACTAAACAAAACATCGTTATACATATTGTTTTCTGTTACATAAATAGCTCTCAAACCATGACAGTGCAACTCCACGAATTCCATAACAGTAACATTTTTTCAGTAAAATTTGGTGGTCCAGTGTATCAAAGGCTTTTGATAAATCCATAAATACTCCTATTACATGTTCTTTATTGGCCATATCAGTCGTATCATTTTAATGATTCCAGAACCTTGCAGTACACACCAATACTTATATGCTAGATGATCAACCTGTTCTGATCGATTCCACAATGTTTCTTTCACAATGCAATCGCATGACCAGAACTGGTCTAAATCTTTAAGTGGAAAACTTTATTGTGTCTTTCCTATGCAGAAATCAACAATATTCACCGTTGGATCACTGTGGACTTCTTTCATTCGTATGGCTGTCATGGATGACGTCCTTGTTCTTCAAGGCTTATAAAAAGACGCTCGAGTATGCCGATCTTGGAACGATGTCGGAGTATGACAGAGGCGATTATAACGGAGATAGGTAAAGTATTCTTTATCAACGACCCATGTAGACCACGTTTTGTAAAATTCAAGTGGACTCTGCTAACATTAAAATAAAATACATTAGTTCCTTAGGTTCCAATGACCCAATTCTCCCACTCATAACCTTTAAAAGGGGGATAAAGAAATATAACAGAAATAAATTGAAAGGGAGATCTTTATATTAGGACGGCAATGATGTTGATAATGAGGATGACGATGATGGGGATGGGGGCGATGCTACCTTTCTAACATTATCTTTAGCTTAATATCTAAATCATTTTGCCCACCATTTACGATTTACAAATTACCAGTGATTACGTTTTGAGGACATCGGACGTACCGCAAAACGTACAACTCATCAGGTTTATTTTATAAGCATTCCGAGATTCCTGTTTCTACTCTTTTTTACGAATATATTTTGTGTTCCGACCAAGACGTTCATGAATGGATGGCGGTACAATATTGCAGATTCAATGACACAATGCCTATTTCTAGCTAATCAATTGAATTGAAGGTGTACGATTATTGTCAAGATAAAAGGGGAAATCTAACCTAAACACCATCGTGTATAAAACATGTACCTCAATTATTCTTTAAACTGCATCATAAGCCCCCCAAAAATGATGTTTCTTAACCCAATCATTGATTGTACGCAGACTGGAGAGACTGTGGATGGAAGAAGTGGCTCTGAGTGGTAGTGAGGAGGAAGCTTCTATCGGGAGAGTAGCCATTCGCTTTGTAAGGACTAGGCAGATCATATCAGCTGCTGTGCTTGTCGTCGCGCTGATGGCGTCTTTCGTCACATCTGTAAGCATTTAATATTCCTCCTTAGACCTCGCTCAAAAATAGTTATTGTAGCAATCGTCTGTATGTCTTGAAGGACATATATCCATACGATTATAAATTATGGATGAAGTAAGGAACCTAACCTCGTTTGTTTCGCGGGCCCTGTTTCATGATCCTTGTTATTAATGACGAGTTATGATAACTTCAATAAGCTGCTGGCATCCTTGCATTTGATTGAATGAGAATAAAATTGTAATAGAAATTTGGCATTTCTATTGATAAGATTTTTTTTTTATGAAACAGGACCCTGAACAAACTGTATGAATTGAGCTTTATTTTTTGGTACTTTCATTCTTTGTTCATTTCTTTCCTCCTCCCCTTCGTCATTCTTCTTCTTTTTCCTCTTCTCATTTGTTTTCTTCTCCTTAATGCTTCTTCTCCTCTTCCTCTTTTTGTTAAATCTATGATTGAAAGATTTCAACCATTTGAAAAATGTAATCCATTCTTTATGAAGTCGGTCGGACGTGTCAAATACATTTTCTCCTCATCCAGAGTTTCCAGTCATTAAAGCAAATCAAAAATACTGTAAAACCAGTTAAATCTAGTTTATTATACAGTACAGTTTCAGCAAGTCTTGAAAGCATCTTGTGTGCCCTACAGATCCGGACGCAAACAGACGCATGCAGAAGTAATTTCCTTGAAATTCGATTTTGAAGCATTGACCTCTTATCATCGTATCTGGAGAAGACAACTTAGTTTGCATATCAATTCTTTGGTTATACTTCTCTTATATTTCGCTGTCCTTATATTACAAAACTAAAGAAATGAGGAATGCGAATAATTGTTGTTGTCTTCGCGCCCTTCTGCCGAGCACACAAGTCTTGTTAACCTTGATTATTATTATTATCATCAAACATGTGGTGTCACCTGTGCCAGGGAGGGGAAAAGCTAAAAAAATCACTGTGACTCCGATCGGGCCACCATTCCCTATATAACAGGTTATGCAGGCGCGGATCCAGGATTTTCCAATAGGGGGGGGGGGGGGGGGGGCCGAAAATTTTAAAATCGCATAGACCAATATTTCAACATAACTGACAAGGTCATAGCACCTTACCGGTACCTACAAGCGGGCACAATTTTGGAGAGGGGGCAGGCTCGCGTCATATATGTTGTCCGATATCAACATCCGCCCTTTTTTTTTTAATTTATGCCTTTTTTCCCCTATTGCGCGAAGCGCGGAAGCTTTGACATTTCATTAAATTATTAGAGAAAGAAGACGATTCATTGTACCGTTCCGACTCTTAGTTCATGTTTCGCCCCTCCCGCGCAAAGCGCGAAAGTTTTGACGTTTCATTACATCATTAGAGAAAGATGACGATTGGTTGTACTGTTTTCGACTCTTAATCCTTGTCTGGTTTCGTTTCCCCCTCTCCCACGCGAAGCGCGGAAGCTTTGACGTTTCATTAAATTATTAGAGAAAGAAGACGATTCGGTGTACCGTGTCCTTGTCTGAATTCAGATCCCCCTCCCGCGCAAAGCGCGGTAGCTTTGACCTTTCATTAAATTATTAGAGAGAGAAGACTAATACTGTTTTCGACTCTTAATCCTTGTCTGATTTCGGTTTCATTAAATTATCTGAGAAAGAAGACAATTCGTTGTACCGTTTTCTACTCTAAATCCTTGTCTGAATTCAGTTTCCCCCTCCTGCGCTTCGCGCGAAGCTTTGACATTTTCATTAAATTATAAGAGAAACAAGACGATTCGCTGTACCGTTCTCTACTCTTAATCCTTGTCTGATTTCAGTTTCATTAAATTATCAGAGAAAGAAGACGATTCGTTGTATCGATCGCTACTCAAATCCTTGTCTGAATTCAGTTTTCTCCCCTCCCCCGCGAAGCGCGGAACCTTTACGTTACCCTTAATCATTACTCTTAACCCTTGTCTGAATTCATTTTCGCCCATCCCGCGCGAAGCGCAGAAGCTTTCAGATTAATAAAATTATTAGAGGAGAAGGCGATTCGTTGTACCGTGTCCATGTCTGAATTTAGTTCCTCCCGCGCGAAGCAAGGTAGTTTTGGCGTTTCATTAAAAATTATTCCTTTTAATCCTTGTCTGAATTCATTTTCCCCTCCTGCGCGAAGCGAGGAAGCTTTGACGTTTCGTTAAATTATTAGAGAAAGAATACGATTCGTTGTACTGTTTTCGACTCATAATCCTCGTCTGAATTCAGTTACCCCCTACCGCGTGAAGCGCGGAAGCTTAGACGTTTCATTTAATTATTAGATAAAGAAGACAATTCGTTGTACCGACTCTTAATCATTGTCTGAATTTTCAAAAATGTTTCTCTGTCCCATCGACACTGCGGACCTGACACAGCAACAAAATTATAATGCGTATCTTGCCTGCTCCCTCGACGTGGCGACTCCACCCAACATCCCCCTCTCTCTCTCTTACTCACACCCCTCTTCCCTCAGGCCCTTACCTACATCTCTCTCTCTCCTCTCTTTCATCCTCGTTTTTTTTTTCCTCGTTTTTTTTTCCTTTTCTCCTTTTCTTTCTTTTCTTTCTTTTCCTTTTCCATTCCATTTTCTTTTGTCATTTTCCTGTTTTCTCTTTCTTTCTTCTCTTCTCTTTCCTTTCTTTTCCTTTTCTTGTTTTCTTTTCTTTGCCTTTCCCCTTTTTTTCCCCTCTCCTCACTTTTCCCGATAGCTGCACAATTTTACCGACAATATCCTGACAGGTGGGGGTGTCGCACCCCACCCCCCCCCCCTTTAGCAACGCCTCTGAGCGCAGGTCTGTTTTAAACGTTTAACTTCGAGTCCGCGGCTCAGGATTTAATGTAGCCTGCCCCCTCTATTCAATACCCCCCCCCCCCACTCCAATAACGTCTCCCAAGCCTTCTGGAATAACCCCCGGTCTCCCGATTACAATTCTGCTCCTCTTTGTAGGGCCGGGCGGGGTTTCATCATGAGTGCTTTTACATGAACCTTTTAAAAATAAATATATTATGCTGGATTTCGACCCGGATTGCAAAAACTAAAATGATAGGGTGATCATTCCCAGTATACGCTTGCAGTTCACAGTCATGTGCAACCCCTTCCTCCTTATTCCCTTATCCACCGTTACCGTCGATGCCATTTACATATGGCCGGCCCCTCTTCAATAACGGCCCCAAGCCTTCGGGAATGACCCCCAAAATTTCCTGATTACCATTCTGCCGCCCTTTGGAGGGGCCGGGCGCAGCCTTTTCAGAAGTGTTTTTGCACAACTCTTTTCATAAACAAGTATGCTTAGAACTATTGAAAATAAGCTGAATTCAGACTCAGTTTTGCACAACCTAAAAATTACAATACGGACAGTCACCCCCCCCCCCATCCATTCGCGTGCATTTTACACGCGCATACTCCCCCCCCCCCCAGTTTTCCCTAACTCGTTGTTTCTGTCACTTTGTGCCATTTCCTTGTCTTTCTTCATTTCTCACCCGGCTCCTCTCTTCTTTTTTCTTTCTCTTTTCTCTCTCTCTCTCTCTCTCTCTCTCTCTTTCTTTTCTCTTTTTTTCTTTTCTCTTCTCCTTTCTTCTCCTTTTTTCCTCTCCTCCTTTCTTTTTCCTTTCTTTTCTTCCTCTTTTTTCCTTTTTTTTGCGCCGCCAATAGGGGGGGGGGGCCGCGGCCGTTTCGGCCCCCCCTGGATCCGCCACTGGTTATGGATGTGCATATAGACCGATGTTTCCCAAGATTCCCCCATGTAATCTATCATAATTATGTGTGTGTTTGTAGGCTGTCCTTGTACATAGGTTACTGGAGTACACTGAGGAGGAGAAGGTCGACCTCTGGTACGGCATCGTACTCGTTGTCTGTATCTTCATCCTCCAAATCGTCCGGATAACGGGCGACGTCTTCTCTCGCTCATTCAACTGTCGAACAGCCACACGTCTACGGAGCGGTATGCTGACTATGGCGTTTCGCAAGCTAGCTAACCTAAGGAGTCTACAGCAACACAGTGTCGGGGAGGTAGGAGATCTTAATTGTTCATATTATCAAATTCCAACAAAAGATAACTGCCAATTTTGCAGGGATTCCAAACTCGTCTTGACAGTCATAGCCCCCCCCCCCTCCTTCGGATCTTAATGAACTTATCCATATCAGGCATTTCATTGATACCATCTGCATAAAGCTATTGTCACAAATCAGAGCAGCGACCGACCGATCAGTAGCCTGCTCGGTCGCTGCTGGAATTAGGCATTGCCCAGCAATTAGGTCGGTGCCCGGGCGGCGACCGCCCAGGCACCGAGCGTATTTTGGGCGGCGAGTGAAAAATGAGCAGGCGCCGCCCAAATTTTAACTCCGCGCTAAAACTTCAGCGGCGACCGAGCGATGCCCTAAAAACGAGCGGTGCCTGGGCGGCCGCCGCTCGGTGGCCGGCCAGCCGCCGGGCAGAATTGGTTAAAAACTCGCCGCTTGGCCGCCGAGCAGCCTACTTTTGGGTAATGTGACCATAGCATTACCTAAGGTCCAGCCCCCATACAGCGACCATTTCTCCCCCCCCCCTTCCCCCAAATATCGATCAAATGCAGGAAAGCGGTCATTCGTAGCCATACGTCCAAAATGTTAAAGGTAATACAACGTTTTGGTATGGGGTCATGAATTTGGTTCAAATACACATTTTGGAAGCATAAGCGATCCTCCAGTATTCAGTGATCGTTGTTGCGGTTGAAATCGAGTCTAAAGTTATGGAATTGTAAATAATTAACTCTTTATGTTGTATAGCTCCCTCTCAAGGTCAATATACTAATTAAGCTATAAAACAATGTTTCTTGACAAAAATCGACCAATTAGCTATTCCCATTTAGAAATTATATATCACAACTACATAGTCTGAGATTGTCATGTTCGCAGCTACCATTATACGGTCGTAGGCGCTATTTAAAAATTTATCAAAATTTACCGGGAGCACCGGTAAATTGTTATATTCAATTTTTCTCGAAAGCAGAATCGTTTTAGGGGCTAAATTTTCTAGCGCTTATAATACATCCACAGGGGAATCCAAATATATCAAAATTGTAAAGAATCACTATCCAACCAATTTCAAAATTTCCCAAAACTTTGTATTACCTTTAAGGATGCAGATTACAGGTTTCAAACAGCACTTCAAGTCCCATATATTCGGACAATTCCCGCTTTTCATCATCCACCAGCCATTCATATTTCCCATCTTTTGCCATTTTAAATGTAGCGATTTTTGTAAGGTTAAAAAATCATTATTTTACCCGACTGATACGTAAGCAACTAGTTAATATACATTGACATGGCAAATGTAATAACCTTACCCAAGGAACTTTGTAATTGAGGATTCATAAATCTATAGTACACCCTAGCGCGTCGAATCTACTGAGCTATCATGTCTCCTGAAATGATGTTATATTATCTTCACTCCTTTAATCTACCACTACCAGATTGTGAACATATGTGCCAACGACAGTCAACGTCTCTTCAACGTATGCGTGGTAGGAAACTTCCTGATCTCCTCCCCAGCCTTGCTTCTAGCAACCCTCATTACAACACAGTTCATAGTCGGAACTGGGGCGTTGATCGGGACACTCGCAACATTCATCTTGTTCGTCCCTATGCAGGTGAGGGCGTCGGTGCTAGCCATGGCCCAGAGCCATCGATAATACACAGAGTTTGGCCAATTTGGTTTCAGTCGTTCACAAAGTGGTGTATGTGCGTTTGTTTTGTGCTTGCCCAACAAAGCAGTGTTCGCCATTTTGTGCCCAAATAGAACCGGGTTGGCCAAACTCTCCTGATGAATGACACTGCCTTGTGCAAAATAATTGTAAAACAGCTTCTAAGGGCACATAAAGTGAACTAAATATTACACCTGTAAGACTCCATATAAAGTATATTCTAAGATGTATTTCTTTACTCTCATAATTATTTTCTTTGTAAGAACCTCTTAATAAGACTTTGGAATAACGGTGCTGTCAAACTCTATTGATTTGCATTTGGACGTACTCGGAGTCGAATACAGGCCAGGCCCGCGTATCTTATATTTACTGAAAATCTTCTGCAACTTATAATAATCACTTCCATCTTAGGTGTTGTAAGTCACTGCAAAGCAAACTAAAAGTATCTTAGCGTAAGCCGAAAGTCATTTATGAAGTTCACTCGGTAATTAGAATCCTTACACTCGGTATAATATGTGTGGTAGAAATCCGTACTCGCTCAATTAAGTTTCTTTATTGCTCTTTCTGTGTCTTGTTCTGCATGACTCATAGGTCATAGCTGGTAAGACCATATCGAAGATAAGAATACAATGTATCGAGATCATCGATGTCCGTGTCCAGAAGATGCATGAACTTGTCACTTACATTAAACTGATCAAGATGTATGCCTGGGAGCTACCATTCGCCAAGTCAATAAAAGGTATTTTCATCTTTTTGTCCTTCAGATTTCGATGCATGTCCCTCTTTTTCGGAATATAGCATCAGCCATGCATACAATTGTGCAAGCATCCCTCTGTTTCATTTTCAAAAGTCATGGTCTGCTTCTGGTTAATTCATGGTTATCGTAGATACTAATAAAAGCCAAACACAAAACAGAACAACGTCATGCTGCCACTAACATGAATCACAAATGTCTACTTACATGTATACTGTAGGGTGTGGAGATTGGGGTCTAATGAGAAAATATTATTGTCCACCAAACTGCATTAAAGAAGTAAGTGTTAACACGAATGAGTGCAGCTAATAAAGATAGAACATTATTTTTTATTTATGGATTGGCAAAATAGTTATCGTTGTATTTTCACCGGTTTAACACTGCCACCACTCATTATTTCTTACACAAATGTAAAGCTTTACGCCGCCAAGAAAAGTCGCATTTGGAAAAGGCGGGAATGTTGCAGAGTTTCAGTCTATCCAACGTTCCCATCATTCCAAGTCTTGCTTCAGTCCTATCCATCATCATCCACATCTATATGGGCAACTCACTCACTGCAGCTGAGGTAATATATATATTTTTTAAATTGAATTTGAATTTATTTATTTCACATGCTTGAATGTATACACACATCCATTAGTATATCAAAATGGAGGGTATTTCATATGGAAACAATATTATAAACATTGAAATAGTTTAATTACGTGATCGACGATTTATTAAACCAATTTGACACTTTGAACAATATTATAGGTAAGACTATTTGTATATGGCATGTGAAAAAGGGGCTTATTGAAAAGCGTGGCTTGTAATGGGAAGCCCCTCTAAAATTATCATTAATACATTAGTATGAAGCTGTGTGATTTAGTGTTTGACAAAAGAAACGACAAGGAAAGGGCACATTATTAAAGGCAAATGAAAATAGATGAATAATTGTATAAAGACAGTGAACAATGAATATCCTATTGATTGGTGAGATGTGTTGTGGTCACTGGACTGTGGATCTCAATGTCCGCGTTTCGTGTCCCGCTGCGGCACTAATGTCCTTTGGCAAGACATTGATCTTTATTTGCCACACTCAACCCAGGTGATGTAAATGAGTACTTGGGAGGTAAATGCCAGAGCGCCGTAATGGCAGCCGTGTTAAAGCCAGTGTAATAATCGGGAGCGCCAGAAGTGTCAAGTTTGACAGATATGAGCGCTAAACAAAAACCCAATATTATTATTATTATTATGCTTACTGCACGGGGCGTCATTCACACTGCGCCAAACATGGATATTCAATGATAAAAAATAGAAAGGACTGCAGGCAAAAGTGATGTCTCTCTACACAGACGCAAGGGCCTAGCACAATGTTTAGGGGGAGGCTGGGGAAAAAAAGAACTTCTGCATTGGTGGAAAACTGGCCTAGGAAATAAAATGTCGATGCTATAGAACACGGCTCAACTTATCCTGTGCAGTCCTGTGTATTATACGCTATTTTACAGAAGACTTCTTTATAAATGATCAAATCAGTTGACGCAAGGACGCCTTAATGTGCAATTTGCAATTCTAAATTCCTAAACTTTTAATCCTCCGATGTGATACAATACCAAAATACTTTCCCAAGCAGCTTAAAAATAGATTTACGCATGATTCAAACACTTTGAAGTTGATTTTTGTCTTCATATTGTTAATCACTACATTCGGGACTTTAAGTTGTTTTTGTTAATTCTACTTCGAACTTAAAGGTATTGCAAAGTTTTGGTAATTGTCATGAATTCGGTTCAAATGAACATATTGTAAGCATATGCGATTTTACAATATTCAATGATCGTTGTCGCGGTTGAAATTCGAGTCTAAAGTGATGAAATTGTAGATAATAAACTCTTCATGTTGTAAAGCGCTCTCTCAAGACTGATATTACCTTAACTCTAAAACAATGTTTCTTGACTACGATCGACCGATTTGCTATTCCCGTTTGGAAATTATATATCAGAACTGTAAAGAATTACTATCAATCCAATTTTCGAAATTTCCCAAAACTTTGCATTACCTTTAACGAATATGTCCGGGTTCGCGTTCTCACAGGCGTTCACTCTCGTGTCACTTCTGAACGTTTGTCGGGCTGTTATTGGACCTGCTCCCTTTGCAGTCCGCATGCTGGCTGAATCTAACGTTGCACTGGATCGACTGAAGGTATGTGGGGGTGGGGGTAGAGAGAGAGAGGGAGTCCATTATAATTTTATCTTTTAATACACAATGAAAATCACCACGAGGCCAAAAAAAAAAAAAATCATTTGGTTGTCCTCGACCGCCCGCTCGTCATTTTCGGGCCGCTCGTATTTTTTTTTTTAAATCACTTTTTTTTTTTTTTAATTCATTTTTTTTTTTTTTTTTTTTTTTGGGGGGGGGGGGGGGAGCAATCGTAAATTCCAAACATACCATTTTATGCATTTGCAAGGATCAAAATGCGTCCCGTTGCCAGTTTGGTCTTTTCAGTACGCAATTAGGTATTTATTAAACTTGCCATTTTTATTTTTCTATGTCAAAATGCCGTTCATTCATATCAGGTTCTGAGCATTCTTAAACTCATTATAAAGCCCATCTGTACTAGTTTATAGGAGGGATTAGACCACCCTGCAAGGTCACTGGACAGGTGGTTATCTCATCAAATCAGCTCTCAGTTAACATAAGAAAAAGAGGATCTTGGGGACCAATGGTCACCGATTAGGCATTGTTTGCTACATAGAGGGCGCAAGTAGATATAAGTAGTACAATGGAGATTTAAAAGGTGCTGTATTTCAAAGCCCAAAATACTTTCTGTGTTGGTCGTGATATTCATTGTACATTAAACTAGTCTTTTACCATATTAAAGTGTTTTATAGACTTTGTTTGTTTAAATGCTTGACAATCCCAATGATTTTTTTTTTTATGGAAAAGAAATTATTAAACAAAAAAAATAAAAACAAAATAAATCCGCCCGCCCGCCCCTACTCCAGAAAAGCAATCGAGGACAACCAAACAATTTTTTGTTTGTTTTGGTTTTATCAGAATTAGTTGTGATTCTAGGAGTAATATTTGTATTAGCTGAAGACCAACAGCATAACATCTGACTGTGGTCCGACCTAGGATTAATATTTTAAACTGTTTTTGCTGATGCATGTACACTGTTGGTCATAATGGTGGAATATTTATTATTACCCCAGTTTAGGGAAGGATTTTAAAAAATTATTTATTTCTAAAAAGATCTAGATAATGGCATACATTCTCAGATTTTGTAGGGCCATGCATTATGGTTCAAAGCATGGCCGCACAGCGGAATTTTTCCTGTTGTGGGGCCGGGTAAAAATGCAATGAATTTTTGACAATTTATTGCATTTTCTTCGTTTTGGGGGATTTGTGGGGGCGGCCGCGTACCCTAGCAAACACTGCGTACAGTCATGATTCAGGGGCTAAGCTATGGCCTCGTTACTGTGAGGCCCCAGGATAAAAATCGTGTCGATCAGCTATATTAGTGCCCTTTTGTGAGGCATTAATCCTCATTACTGTCAATTATGATTTAAGGACGTAGGTTCCCTAGCTGATTAGCATAGTAGCACACATATGATTTAGCAGTCACGCAAAACAAACACACGCAATTTAATATTCAATAAAATCTGAGAATGTATGCCATTATCTAGATTTATTAGAAATAAATAATTTTTTAAAATCCTTCCCTAAACTGGGGTAAAAATAATTATTCCACCATTACGACCAACAGTGTATCTACATACTAAATGTGTAAAAATGTAAAATGTATAAAATGCGTAAAATGTGTAACTCTAGCGTAGCGTAGGCCTTTCAGGTGAAGAAAAACCCCGATTGCTGGCTACTAATCTAAAAGATTAAGACGTCAGGCGGTTAGGTATTTCTATTTCATCGTTCATAATAACCATTAGGAACCTCCATCAGGAAATATATATATATATATATATATATATATATATATATATATATATATTCATGTCTAATGATATTGTAGTTTCATTCGAAGAGTACGATTTATATATAGGTATGAGTACTGTGTCTCATTCAAACAATGTAAAATCGTATGCGTTTAATCACAGTCAATCATGATCATGGACCAAGCGAAAGCGAATGAGAAGCTTGAAGATAGTAGTGAGAACATGGTTGAAATCAGAGGAGGAGAGTTCGGATGGGATGACATCTCACACAACGAAGATGCGATCCAAGATGACATCACCATGGAAACTACCTCCGAAGATGAGAACAAAAATGAAGTTATCGACACGAATGGTAGCGGTGAACCAGGTATGTTCTTATAATGTAAAAGATCTTCACCAGTCACTTGGATCACGTGGTTAATCCCACCGCTGTCATCATGTAATAGTAAGATCAACATTAGGTTCAAGGTTATTTATTTCCAAACTAGTCATTATTTTAGAACATAACGAATGCCGAGGTGTTAACCCCTATCATTCAACATAACGTTAAAAAAGGCAGATGCTATAATCAGACAGTCGTCACAAGTGGATTTATTCATATGACAGAATTAGAAAGAGATCATCTATTACACACAGACTTTAAACAGGACAGTTTTTTTTTAAGTTTTCATTTAAGTTGTTTTCACCGTAGATCGTCACGATTCAGCCTTAAACTACCAAAAAGTGTTTGTTCTAAAACGAAGGCAAAAATGGCTTTAAACAGTTGATGTATTAATTTATGCTGAAGGGTTACAAATATCAGGAAATCCAAAATAAAATTTTCTTACTCTCTCTCTAGAAGTGATGATAAAGAACGGATCACACAATGCTGCCGATTCAAATGGAATTAAAGAACAGACATCTGACGTAAAACAACACGAGTGTAATAGTGTGACTGATGAATTCTCGAATAATATTGTATCAGTACTTTTCGATGTCAACTTTGACCTCCCAAATGTGAGTGTACGGTCCCTGGATCGATTCTTACCTGCCATTTGATCTATATCAATCTTCGCAATTCTCTTGTAACATAAAACATTATGTAGAAGAAATATACGGGAAAAATCTGATTTAATTTTGAATATACTGAGTGTTACTCAAGCATTATTGCCCATTCGCTTTTTGATCACAGAGGGAGGCGCCTCAGGCCCGTACGCATCAATGTACCTCATTTTCACGATTTTGCTCTATTCACAGACTTACTTTGACCCAGAGGCTTTCATAGGGAGGGGGGGGGGGGGGGGAGCTTTGCACGAGCCAACATTTCATGGTAATTTTTGTTGTTGGAAAAACTCTCTTTGGACTTCTTTGGACTTCTGTCAAATTTGAATATCTGCACCGTTCCCCTAGTGGGCAAAGTTATAAATTGTGTAAAAAGGGAAGTTTGGTATTATCATTTTACAAAACTGATTTTGTTTGAAGTCCTTGCCCCTATTAGTGCTCGCCTATTAATGTCGAGTACCTTTAAAACAGAATATAGCCTACATTTCACAACTGGAGGTAAATGGTGGAGTATTCCAATTTGCATAATAGTCGAATTATTTATTACAACTGAGTATTTCGCATGGTTAAATGAATAATCAGTTTCTCTTTTTATAAGAAAAATGCGTTCAATTGCCCTTTATCGTAATATAAAGAAATTCTTTTCAATGCAGATATTTGATATAGTTTATAGGTATCATGTAGGGATGTTTGTATGCTAATGGAAACCACGTCACAAGCCTCATGTTCTCAAGGTATTTCTCCTCCTCTTTACATTGTAATCATATATGTCATGGTATTTTCATTTTGATTATTATTATTATTATTAATTATTGACGTTAATTGAATTAATCACCCATATTTAATGCACAATCGTGCTCAATCTTAGGAACATTTGGTTGGAGTATGCGGATCTGTCGGCAGCGGGAAGTCTTCGCTGGTCAATGCCATCTTAGGTCAGATGGAGAAGGTCAAAGGCACTTGCAAGGTCAGGGGAAAGTTCGCTTACGTTGCGCAGGAAGCCTGGATATTCAACGCCACAGTGCGAGAGAACATTCTCTTTGGAAAACTGATGGACGAGAAGCGTTATGCTATGGTCCTAGATGCCTGTAGCCTCAAACAAGATCTGACGATCTTAACCAATGGAGATGAAACAGAGGTAATAAACTGGGCCTTTCTTACACAGGGTAGCCACGTCACCATCAGTGCTAGGGTCATCTACATCTAGGTAGAGAAGGAAAACTTAAAGTAGGAAAAACATCTTGATAGCGTTGGAATGACTAAATGTAGTGAGAGAAAGAGAACCTAAACATAAACCTGTTTTCTTCTTTATATTTCGTATTCACCTTTAAAATCACAAGACCCAGGAGACAAGGTGTTACACAAGAAAATAGATATTAAGAAAAGAAACATATCAAATGACAAAGTATTGTTTTGCTTTCTTCAATTAAACATGGCGGTAAAACATATTGGCTTGTCTCACACTGACAGCAACGCATCATGAAAATCAGATGAAAGACATGTGACAAACAAAGGAAATAAATTACTTGTGTAAATATTTAGATTTTGTTCTATCTTTTATGCAAATTGAACAAAATGTGCACATTTTCTTTACCACATTACACACTGTCGAAGATAAAAATGGGAATTCAGTGCTGAAAAGACAATTACCTGCAATTTTATGTGCGTGGACACGCGATCGTTGGGTGTATGGTATTTGTGTATGTGTTTGTTTAACTTGTGTGTGCGTGTGTGTGTGTGTGTGTGTTTGTTTGTTTGTATACGTGTGAGAGGTACGGTACGCGACTGCGGATGTAAGGCCAAAGATCAACTGATGGTTCAAATCCATTCTTGATCTGATAAGCGCTTTGCTCTTGATAAAAACTGAACATTTTTAGCTGAAAACAATTTCCGCGAGTTGTTCAAACTTTATAACCAGTGCTCTCTTAAGCGTAAAATATTGTCAATAATTTTAGTACCATCCTATTGAATAGACCCTCACCAATTATTTCATGAGAAACAAATCAATCATGGAGATATCGTGAAAGTATAATTGTGGAGGATATATTCAAAGTGTGCACTTGTTATAGGTATTATGTATGTCATTATCCTTTCCTTAGATCGGTGAGCGAGGAATCAATTTGAGTGGTGGTCAGAAGCAGAGGGTCAGTCTTGCCCGTGCTGTGTATGCTGATCATGACGTGTATTTCCTAGATGATCCGTTGAGTGCTGTAGACACACACGTCGGAGAACACATCTTCAAGAGGTGCATCAATGGAGTCTTAAACGAGAAAACCATTTTGTTCGTCACACACCAGCTTCAGGTATAGATCTTTAGTTTTTCATACGATCTTTCTTTAAGCTATTCGTGATTTCGCTTCAGAGAGCTTGCTGGTTCTAATTAACTCGAAATATTTCATTATGCAATGGATGGGTTGTTTCGACCAGCAAAATATTCATCATCATTTCGAGTCATCACACCGATTTTCCAAAAGTAAGATGGCCGCTGCCAGGTTCCTCTCATTCCATCCGTCACCCAGCATGTCACAGCTCAGTCGATGGTCCATGGTCTGAGAAGCGTCATTCAGCATGTCACACCTCAGTAAATGGTCCATGGTCTGAGGGCCATCATTCGTCATGTCACAGCTCAGTCGATGGTCCATGGTCTGAGAAGCGTCATTCAGCATGTCACTGCTCAGTAAATGGTCCATGGTCTGAGGGCCATCATTCAGCATGTCACAGCTCAGTCGATGGTCCATGGTCTGAGAAGCGTCATTCAGCATGTCACTGCTCAGTAAATGGTCCATGGTCTGAGGGCCATCATTCGGCATGTCACAGCTCAGTCGATGGTCCATGGTCTGAGAAGCGTCATTCAGCATGTCACTGCTCAGTAAATGGTCCATGGTCTGAGGGCCATCATTCGTCATGTCACAGCTCAGTCGATGGTCCATGGTCTGAGAAGCGTCATTCAGCATGTCACTGCTCAGTAAATGGTCCATGGTCTGAGGGCCATCATTCAGCATGTCACAGCTCAGTCGATGGTCCATGGTCTGAGAAGCGTCATTCAGCATGTCACTGCTCAGTAAATGGTCCATGGTCTGAGGGCCATCATTCGGCATGTCACAGCTCAGTCGATGGTCCATGGTCTGAGAAGCTTCATTCAGCATGTCACTGCTCAGTAAATGGTCCATGGTCTGAGGGCCATCATTCAGCATGTCACAGCTCAGTCGATGGTCCATGGTCTAAGAAGCGTCATTCAGCATGTCACAGCTCAGTAAATGGTCCATGGTCCGAGGGCCATCATTCAGCATGTTACAGCTCAGTAGAAGGTCCATGGTCCAAGGGCCATCATTCAGCATGTCACAGCTCAGTAGATGGTCCATGGTCTGAGGGCTGTCATTCAGCATGTTACAGCTCAGTCGATGGTCCATGGTCTGAGGGCCGTCATTCAGCATGTCACAGCTCAGTAAATGGTCCATGGTCTAAGAAGCGTCATTCAGCATGTCACAGCTCAGTAGATGGTCCATGGTCTGAGGGCCATCATTCAGCATGTCACAGCTCAGTAGATGGTCCATGGTCTGAGGGCTGTCATTCAGCATGTTACAGCTCAGTAGATGGTCCATGGTCTGAGGGCCGTCATTCAGCATGTCACAGTTCAGTAAATGGTCCATGGTCTGAGGGCCGTCATTCGGCATGTCACAGCTCAGTAGATGGTCAATGGTCTGAGAAGCGTCATTCAGCATGTCACATCCCAGTAAATGGTCCATGGTCCGAGGGCCATCATTCAGCATGTCACAGCTCAGTAGATGGTCCATGGTCCGAGGGCCATCATTCAGCATGTTACAGCTCAGTAGATGTTCCATGGTCTGAGGGCCGTCATTCAGCATGTCACAGCTCAGTAAATGGTCCATGGTCTGAGGGCCGTCATTCAGCATGTCACAGCTCAGTAGATGGTCCATGGTCTGAGAATCGTCATTCAGCATGTCCCAGCTCAGTAAATGGTCCATGGTCCGAGGACCATCATTCAGCATGTCACAGCTCAGTAGATGGTCCATGGTCTGAGGGCTGTCATTGTAGTCTGTAGTCTGTTGATAGAGTCAAGATATCCCCACTTGTGTATGTTTGCATCACTTCTACCAAAACCAATACGAAATCTGTTGAGCTGCATCATGTGATCCATGGCAGTTCTTATCCATCTGTTAATCTTCCTGGAATTCTATTCATTGAAAAATCACCCACCAAAAATAAAGTCGCGTATCATGCACATCCTTGGCTGTAACTGCCCAGGCTCCCTTTATCTGTACTCATTCTATAAAAATTCTGACGGTTGACAAATGCCTTTCCACCCACTCACGGTTTGAAATATGCCAACCTTTATTTAATAGACCGAACGTATATGTAATATTGCTAGAGAGAAGTGGCTCAAATTCTAGTTTAACGAAAACAACTAAGTGCTCAGTGATCCTAATAATTGTATTTCTTCTTGCAGTACTTACAAGACTGTGACTCTGTAGCAGTGATGATGAATGGCCGAATCAAGGAACAAGGAAGTCACAGTGAACTCATGTCAGAGAAAGGAGAATATGCTCGACTTATCACCACACACTGCACGTACCTCGAAGATATACTCGAAGAAGAAGACGAAGTCTTTTCCTCCAGAACCAGGTAACAATCCGTTTTCATAAGGTATATAATAGATGCAATCCTTAACTTGGTTCTTCTTGTAATTGTGAAATTGACAAGTATTTTATTTTACACTAATACATCAAACTGTACATTGATACTTGTTATATTAAAACGAAGAACATGAACATAATGCTGGTATGCTGAAGTGCTGGAGTGCGCTTTTTGGCAGAAATGGCAGAATCTATAATTGAGATACCTCAGTCTAGATATGGGATAATATATATTGTCAGTTGTTAAAGGTAATTCAAAGTATTGGGACATTTTGAAAATTGGATGGATAGTAATTCTTTAAAATTTGATATATTTGGATCCCCCTGTGGGTGTTTTATAAGCACTAAAAAATTTAGCCCCTAAAACACTTCTGCTTTTGAGAAATTTAATAATCAAACATTTACCGGTGCTCCAGGTAAAATTTTGAATATTCCAAATATTACCTAAGGCCATTCCATGGTAGCTGCGACCCTGAAAATCTCAGAATAATTATACAGTTCTGATATATAATTTACAAACAGGAATAGCAAATCGGTCGATTATAGACAAGAAACATTGTTTTAAGCTAAAGTAATATCAGTCTTGATGGGAAGCTATACAACATAAAGAGTTTATTATTTATAACTTCATCACTTTAGACTCGATTTCAACCGCGACAACGATCCTTGAATATTATAAAATCGCATATGCTTCCGATATGTTCATTTGAACCAAATTCATGACCCCTTACAAAACTTTGTATTACCTTTAAGTTAAGGTTAGGAGCTGGTGTTTATATTTGGAGGGTGTCATTAAGATATTCATCTATGTAGTCTTCGTTACAGTATTGATAATTCAACTACATTCAATGTATAATGTAATGGTTCATTTATTCAACTGTTCCTAGTTCGTTCTCACAACTCTGTTCAACTTAGAATATTGTAATAACCTTTGGAGCCTATGTACAATCTACAAGCTGTGCTCTATCTTGGGCTCCTTCGTATCCTCATTCCCATTTTCACTTAATAGTCCTTACTTTTCAAACCAAAGTGACGTCATATATGTTATGTACTTGTGTTTATATAAATTACATGTATTAAAACAAAACTCCTATTGTTGACGTGAAATGTGCAATAGCAAATCTGAAAGTAAAAGAAACCGAAACAAAAATATTTTGTACTGTGATGGATATAAAAATGTCCATACTCCGCGACGTTTTGAGAGCAACCTTACAATCATTATCTTGCATATATACTTGTCTTAATTTTTTTTTAAATAAATTGCGTTATTCTTTTTTCTTGATCAGAAAATCGAAGTGAGCATGAGGCAAATTATCTCTCTCGCCCGTTTCAAATAAGCTAGTCAAACCAGCAAAACAATAGGAGGCGATATAATAACTCACACCGTCCTCTTTTGTGTGTGTTTAATACATCAGAGAGCGTACTAGACGAATTTCGTCGCCGACGGCGAACAGTGGAAACCAAAGAAGACGGAAATCATCGACAAGCACAACAATGCCACCAATTACACAACGCAAAAGAAAGAGATCATCAACATCAAGTATTTCGAGTTATGATGACGCAGCTATCGATACTCAAGAAGATGATGGTTAGTGTTATTATTTCATGATTCGGTAGTTTCTGTCATTTTCCACAGCATTTCTTTTCTTCAACTGTTTTTTTCATGTGTAAAGATGTGAGGAACTTTATTTCCCGCCTGCCTGGATATCGCTAAAGAGTGTGGAGCGTCATACTTTCCCCATAAAAAGAACTTTATTTTGTTATATGTTTGTGTGGGTTGGGCTGTGTGGCGCTTATGTACGTGTGTTAGTAATGGTCTGTGGTAGTGATGTTCTGGAACTATGTCCCATTTGCAGGCCAAAAAATGAAAAGGTCAAATTTCAACGGCATTTGAAAGATAATACTAATTTAGAACTTCCCTCAAAACAAAAAGGCTTGAAAAGGTCTTTTTGTCCGAAAATAACGACCGTTAGTTGTTGAATCGAATTTAGGGATTGTTGCCTGATTTTCAGACCCTTGTACCGCATGGTCGTACGTTTTGTGCTGCGCAAAGATTCAATCAGTTTAATTTTGGCCATTACAAGAAGTTAGTTATTGATGCAGACAAATGCTCATGTATCCTTTATTGCTCATTTTATGTATGTAATTACCAAAGAAAAAAAGAAGTCAGTCAGTCACTCAATAGTGTCTGAGAGTGAAGTTTAGAAAATAGACGGGTTTCCTTGCATAACTTGAATACTAGGACACTGCTAACTTTTAAATTGCACAGATAGGACATATTTCTGCAAAGTTCTACAGAATTCGATTTTGGTTGCAAATAGAACAAATAATGGTGTTTAAGTTTTTTAAAACAAAAGTCAATTGGAAACACCCATTTCTCTTTTCAGTTTGAAATTGAATACATTTCTCTAATGCATTGCCATGATCATTTTAATGGATATGTAAAGGTCGTGGGTTCGAAACCCGGCACGACACCTAATATGTCCTTCAGTAAGGCCTTGTAGCAACATTCCTTATATTCTTCTTCTTTTCGAGTCACTACACAAGTCCCGTACAGTGGTCCACATAGGCTTTGGCACGGCAATTCACAGCTTCCAGGTCATCTTGGGTGCATGGCTCTGGCAGGAGTGGGCAGACTAGCAGGTGTTCCATTGTCTGTTCCTGGCCGCATTCACATGCTGTTTGTTCGTCTCCTAGACCCCACCTCTGCATAGGGACTCTGCATCGACCGTAGCCAGTTCTTAGGCGGTTGAGGCTTAGCCAGGTAGGCCAAGTCTCACTGGAGCCGGTTGCGAGGGATTCCTTCGGGCTGAGGGAGAGTTTATGTGGAGTGGCCTGAAGGTGGTTAGACCACAAAGTCATCATTTGGTTGTGAGGGCTGGTATTAAGGGGCTCTACATAGTGCAGAAAGCTGCGTCTGGATTTGAGCCGCTTGCCCACCGGCTTGTTCGAAAAGTGAGTGGAGTGGATTGTTCTCTTGTTTGCCCTTTTCTTTCTGGGACAAAACCAACCTTCTGACGTGTGGAGGGGCAATACCGCAGAGCAGGTATTTTAGTTGGCCTAAGGCAGCCAGTGATCGCTCTGCAAGATGAATTTAGAGCTGGGTTGATATTGGGTGCATGGGCCGATCTACTCCATACTGGTGAAGCATACTCCGCTGCAGAGAAGCAAAGCGCAAGGGCTGTCGTCCGGATTGTTCTGGCGTCAGTCCCACAGTGGGTGCTAGCTTCTTGAGGATGCTTTTGCGGGCTCCAACTTTTGCCTTTGTGTTGGCAATGTGGTTCTTGTAGGTAAGGGAGCGATCCAGTGTGACGCCTAGGTAGACTGGGTTAGGAGAGTGCCTAAGCCTTTTCCCACACCAGCTGATCCTTAGTTGATGGTAGGCATCCATGTTCTTGAGGTGGCATGCGCTTATCTGAGTTATATCAGGGTTAGCTCTCAGGTGATTGGTCGCATAGTATGGGATGAAACCGGCCAGGGCATCACTGAGGGACTCCTCCAACTTCATAAAAGACTGGTTCTGGGTGGCGATGCAGAAATCATCGGCGTAGAGGAAGCTCCTGGTGTTTGGGTTGGATCGGTTGGTTGTTCGTGTACACGTTAAAAAGCAGCGGTGCAAGTACACTTCCTTGTGGTAGGCCATTTTTCTGTCAGCGTCATCTGCTGCGAATGCCATTGATGAAACACAAAATATCGCCGATTGGACAGCAACGTCTGGATGAGTCCAGTCAGTCTCACGTCCTTTGTCAGCTCAAAGATCTTCCTGATAAGGATTCTGTGGTTCACAGTGTCGTAGGCAGCAGAGAGATCAACTAAATCAGCTCCGGTGATTACCTTACTCTCATACCCGTCCTCAATGAACTGAGTGAGGTTTAGGAGTTGGCCAGTGCATGATTTTTCTGGCCTAAACCCTGCTTGTTCCGGAATGAGATGTTCATCCACGAATGGGGCGAGGCGGTTGAGGATAAGCCGCTCGAACAGCTTATATGTATGGCAAAGTAGTGAGATAGGCCTGTAGCTCTTTGGACTGGCTGCGTCTTTGCCAGGCTTCAATAGGGCAATAACTTTGTGGATTTCCTCCAGAGCTTTGGGATGTTGTTGGTGCCTAAACATTCGTTCAACATTTTGAGAAGACAGTTGAGGGCACCTGGTCTAAGTTGTTTGACCTACTCGCAGAGGACGTCATCAAGTCCAGCAGCTTTGTTGTTTTTCATTGCTTTGATGGCAGCAAGCAGGTCGTTTATGGTTAACGGTCTAGTGAAGCCTGGGACATCTTGAGAGCTTGGAGCGTCTGTGACGTTAGGGAGTCTGGCTCTTCTGGGGTGATGGTCAGGGTTTCCCCGGCCATTCACTAGGAGTTGGTGGGCAACTTGGTTGGCAGTGACTTGAGATCTTGGTTGGGCCTTTGTTTAGTCGTTGCCCAATATCCGGATCGTTCTCCATGCCTTCCTGCTGCTATGTGTCATGTCAGTGGATTGAATGAATTCCTGCCACTTCCTCCTTCTAGATTCTCCAATTTCCTTGGTCAGATGTTCTCCAGATTCCAGTGTCTCCTCACTAAAGGGGTCTATCTGGAAGTGTTCGATGTAGTCTTCATACATCACCTTGGAATTGTCCGTCAAGCCTTGAATGTAGCTTGTGCGACATCCTCGGGGGATGTTACGCCTTTAGGATTTCTTCATTAACTCTACAAAGGTGTCGTAGTTTTGGGGGTGGCAGGTAGGTCCTGGATGTAGGAGTCAAACTCCTTAGCGAACTTTCCCCAGGTTTTCCTTCCTCAGGTTGAAACGATGTCGGAAGGGCACTGTTCGTGGAGTAATGACTGCATTAACCTTAAGCCCTATCGGTCGGTGCTGAGAGTGGGGGATTGGGTCGAGAACGACTTTCTCACACTGGTTTAATAGCAATCCTGGTAGATGTAAATATCCGGTCAGGGTTGTAGCCACGTCTCCACCTTGCACTGTTGAAAGAGGCAGGAAGCTTAGCGTCATGAATGAGGGACAGCTGTTTAGCATCTGCCCATGTCTCACCATCTTCGTTCATTTCTCTATATCCCAAGTAGTGCTGTGGCTGTTGAAATCACCAATTCCTTATATTAATTTTTATTTATCGCTTTATAAGAAGCAATTAGTAGTAGTATCATTGTCATATGACCATGCTCTCCTAAAAATGACTAATTTCAAGTCTACAGATGTCTCACTGTATGTACCTTATAAATACAGGTCAGCTCATGACATCAGAAATACGGTGTAGTGGACCACCGACCTGGGAGGACTACAGGGGTTACATACAAGCAATGGGAGGCTACATTGCTGCCTACTCAATCATCTTTACCTACATCGTGGTGATTGGGATGCTAACATTTAACAACTGGTGGCTAGCTTACTGGATAGAAGAGAGTAGCAACCGACCGGTGAGTGCCGACCTCTGCTATCTATAGAACAGTGGGCTCAGTGGTAGATCAGGGTCTCGTACCCTGAAGGTCCCAGGTTTAAACCCAAGTCCATGGACTAGTGCCGTTTGAAAAGACATCAATCCTCTATACAAAATGTCGCTCGGAGTTAATAGAGCGCCTGTGCCCATACTGCCCCCCTAACCCCGTAGATACTCCACTGAGCATATACATAATTATGCTTTCCTATCTGTCAGGTATTTAAACTGCAATATCTCTTCATAGAATAAATATTTAAAGCTCATAATTTTTGTTGGTGATTGCTATAATAAACTCCAACCCAACTCTTCTTATATACTCTGCCGTCAATGTTTAGCACCAATCGACTTCAACCAAAATCCTGGTTCTTCGACTGAAGAAATAAAGCCTCGGTAAAATTTATGTGCGCAATCTGCGGATCATCCGATCCCAAACAAAAAGTGAAATTTGATCCGACACCCCTTCCCCGAACAGATGGTACACAAAATGGCATCTGAAAATGAAACGGATTGTCTTATAAGCAGGGCTCCCACTAATAGCCGAGTTGTATTAGCGAGTTATGGCGAGTTGTGGTGAGTTGCCTCAAAGAGGCACTCGCAATAACTCGCGAACAATTCGGTTTGGCTTAGCGTAAAGCAGGGCTCCCACTTAGCCGAGTTGGGGCCTCGAGTTGTGGCGACCTGGCGTAAGCTTATGGCTAGCCGTTTTATCATTAAAACATATTTCTTGATATCAAGAATTCAATTCTTAATATCACGAAATCGAATTCTTGATATCAAGAAATATGTTTTAATGATAAAATGACTTGCCATAAGCTTGCGCCAGCTCGCCACAACTCGAGGCTCCAACTCGGCTAAGTGGGAGCCCTGCTTAACTCTTTACAACACGACTCTCCTCGAAGTGGAGAGCAGATCCACAATGTTAAAAAAAATTCCCCGATTCGTTGTAATTCGAGGTAAACTCGCCTACACTCGTAATATACACGCATTACTCGTAACAAGCTCACGCTGCACTCTTCATAAGGTGGCGAGTTGCTACGAGTATATTAGTGTTAGAGAAGATCACCTCGAGCTACAACGAATCACCGAACATTTTGAACATGTTCAAAATTTTCACTGATTCGTTGTTACTCGAGGTGAATTCGTTTTTACTCGAGGTGAACTCGCTTACACTCGTAATATACTCGCATTATTCGTAACAAGCTCGCGCTACACTCTTTATAAGGTGGCTAGTTGCAGGCGCGGATCCAGGATTTCTTAGGGGGGGGGGGCCCAAATTTGAAATTATGCGAGCCAAATATTGGTACGTAATGGTGACCAACAGTGACGTAATGCGGGGGGGGGGGGTCGATGCAGGGAGGGGCGAGTTTCCCCCTCCCTCATCCGCGAATGCGGAAGTTTTGAAGTTTCATTAAATTATTAGAGAAATAAGACGATTCGTTGTACCGTTCTCAAAAATAATTCTCGTCTGAATTTAGTTTTTCCCCTCCCACGCGAAGCGCGGAAAATTTTACGATTTATTAAATTATTACGATTCTTTGGAGAGTTCTCGACTCTTAATCCTCGTCTGAATTCAGGTTCCCTCCTCCCGCGCTTCGCGCGGAAGCTTTTTAAGTTTACTTTAATCATTAGAGAAAGAAGACGATTCGTTGTACCGTTTTCGACTCTAATCCTCGCCTGAAATCTGTTTTCCCCTTCCGCGCGAAGCGTGGAAGCTTTTACGATTCATTGAATCAGAGAAAGAAGACGATTCGTTATACCGTTCTCGAAAATAATCCTCGTCGCAATTTAGTTCCCCCTACATCACGCGCGAATCATTCGAAAGAAGACGATTCGTTGTACAGTTCTCGACTCTTAATCCTCGTCCGAATTCAGGTCCCCCCCCCCCTTTCCCGCGCAAAGCGCGGAAGCTTTTAAGTTCCATTAAGATTATGAGAGAAAGAAGACGATTGGCTGTACAGTTCTCGACTCTTAATCCTCGTCTGAATTCAGGTTCCCCCCCCCCTCTCGCGCGAAGCGCGGAAGCTTTTACGTTTCATTAAATCATTAGAGAAAGAAGACGATGCGTTGTACCGTTGTCTATACTCTTAATCCTTTTTTAAATGTGTTCTTTGTCTGCTCTTTTTTCTTCCTACGTCCTCTTCCGATTTGGGGGGACCGCCCCCCCCCCACCCCCCTGGCTACGCGCCTGCGGTCAGATAAACACATTTTGATACCTTGTCCGACCCCGCAAGCATTTAGGGGCCGCCTTAGGGCCCCTGGTGGGTTCCATAGGGCGAAGCCTCCCCCCCCCAATCAGGGGTTTTAGGCATTAAATTACCGTCAGATGAGCATCTAAGGGCCCGCCGTAGGGTCCTAGGTGGAATCCAGGGGCAGAGCCCCCGGGAGCTTAGGGGTTCTAGGCATTTAATCACGGTCAGATGAGCATATTTAGATGCCTCATTAATTTTTAACACTGGCAGTTAACTATTGTTTCTTTCTTGCTCTCATTCTATTTTATTTCTCTTTAATATTTTTTTCTCAAAAAAGTGGGGGGGGGGGGGGGGGGGAGGGAGCTCGAGGCTCCCGATCCCCGCCCCACCTTGGGCCTGACATGCAGGAATCTCAAGAATCATATTTCTTGCCTGGCTGTAAATTTAGTAATTTGTCATTTTCAAACAAACACATAGAAACGTATTTACTCAAAAGTGAGGAAAAATCTCGGAATTATGTCATTTCTTTCCCTTTCCTTCAACAGCCTGGGAGGCAAGGCCCTTTCGACCCCCCTCCCCCGATCTCCTTCTTCCCCCTTTTCTTTTTTTCTTTATCTTCTTTCTTTCCCTTCTCTCCTCTTTCCCTTTCCCTTCTTTTCCTTTCTTCTCTCTCTTTTTTTTTTTTTTTTTTTGCGGGGGGGGGGGGGGGCCAAGGCCCGCTCGGCCCCCCCTGGATCCGCGCCTGGCTAGTTGCTACGAGTTATGAAGAGTGCAGCGCGAGCTTGTTACGGGTAATGCGAGTATATTACGAGTGTAGGCGAGTTTACCTCGAATTACAATGAATCGGCTAATTTTTTTGAGCATTTTCAAAATTTTGGAGGTGCTCGCGACTTTGGAGAGAGTCGGGGAATGTTGTAAGGAGTTACGCTAAGCCATACCGAATTGTTCGCGAGTTATTGCGAGTGCCTCTTTGAGGCAACCCACCACAAGTCGCCATAACTCGCTAATACAACTCGGCTAGGTGGGAGACCACTGTGACACTTGTATTGTTCATCCATTATTCATATTTGTAACATGACTTTAATACATAGTACAACGAGACTTTGGATGAGGAAGCACCATCGCTAGTAAACGACCCTCATCTCTGGTTTTACATGCTGGTGTACGGAGGTTCCCTACTTCTCATCTTCATTGTGGCTGCCAGTAAGAGTGTCATCTATATGAAGGTATGATAGGCGTTTACGTGGTCCTATTAATTTATTTTAAACGTCATGTTAAACTGTTCACATGCCTCATACCCCGCAGTAAAGCTGGTGATCGCACATGTAACCAAGGAAAGGGACACTGTCAAATAACTATCATCAAATCAGCTTATTCCACAGAAATTCTTGAAAAAGTATATCTTTTTGGAAATTGTTCAAACGCCTTTAAATTTATTTCAAACTTTGTACCTACATTTAAGTTAACACAACATTATGTTCAAGTTAATGCAACGTTACAGTCATGTTGTTGCAACGTTACGTTTAATGTTGATGCAACACATTTGGAACATGTTTTGTATTTGGTGTGAAATAGTTTTACTCTTGACAGTGTACTGAATGCTTGTTATTTCAAATCTTAACCTGCAGTGGTAAATTATATCAAATATCCAAGAGCAAGGATATAGGGGTGGGAAGAACTCACTCCTTTTTTGTATAACCTCTGCCGGTATGGACTCGGCAATCTAACGTCATGTGTTTACACTTGGAGGGACTATTTAAAAATGCGAGGGCCTTTTTTTAAAAATCTTTGTCGCACATTTTAGAAATCCGAGACCTTCTTTCCCCTTTATTGTGTCTATCGAAGAAAACAAAATATGCAAACTTGGGTACGACACTCTCTCCGATTCAAAATGGTGTTACGGCTCACACTTTGAAAACAAAAGTATTTTGTAGAAGAGTTCGATTATGAACATTACAAGCATGATGCTTTTATAATAGAAGCGTATGTAGGGAAAAAATTACAAAAGAAGGCCACAAAATATGAAAGAAACACAGCTTTCCAAGTAACACTATCGTTAAGTCAAGAACAAATTTGGCAACACGACATTACGTCAATATTTAAAATGGCGTCACACAAGTTATGCAATTGGGAATCATAAGTACGTCAACACAAAAAGAAAACCGGATTTATTCTCTATATTTGGTTGTGAATCATCTCCTAAAAGTGAACTTCTCAATGAATAGAATCTGGCCGTGTTCAGCTGAACAGCAGTATTTGCTTTTCAAATGATTTTGCCCAGCGAATTGAATGAATGATTAACCAAAATGTTTGATGAAATTGTTTCCATTGCAATTGAATGCATTCACAAATTATGGAGAAAAAAATCTTGAAAACCATTCCTCCAAAACTTTTGCAAAGACGATTTGTATTTTTTAATGGACATTGGTCAGTAACTTACAACCTAACTTTGAATGAAATGCCTACATTAAGAACCCATCTTCTATATCACGCAAATATGATTCAGCAACTTTAAGCCTACTATTATAAAATATTGGTCCTGAGTATAGTTTTCCTTTTTGAAGACACTGTATAATGATGTGGAATCAATAATGTATCATGTTTTAATTGTTGTCAAATTATTAGCCTCTATCTTACCCACTTTTTTCATAGCTTACACTAAAAGCATCGTCCACGTTACACAATAATCTATTCCGAGCAGTTATACGTAGTCCAATTAGTTTCTTTGATACCACACCTACTGGACGAGTGCTCAACAGATTCTCTAAAGATATAGATGAGCGTAAGTAGACTTTCAATATGTGAATTTAAAGATAAACTCCAGTACTGGTAAACAAAAAAAAATTCTCACAGAATCAAACGAAACTTACACTGAATGTTCAAGATTACAAATAAATGACATGTGCCAAACAATTTGGTAGAAAATGTATACTAGCTGAGTAATGAGCATAGAAAGACAATGAAATCAAGGTAGTACTAGCCCCGACACCATGCGTGTTGTCCCATATATAGCTTTCTATGTGAGTGCCTGTTACTTTACCAAGACTCGGTCAAATTTATTATGATTTTGATGAATCCAGAACCTTGCAGTGCACACCAATACTTACATGCTACATGATCAACTGTTTCTGATCCTTTCCACACCTTTTCTTTCACATTGCAATCGCATCACCAGTACTAAAGTTTATCTTTAAAGTTGTGATAAGTAAACTCGTTAAAAACCAGAGTTTAGGTTATGGAACATTATTTGGAGAGAATTATAAAAAGGAGTTTCAGTTAAATGTTGAATCGTTTTTCATCCAGTAGGTCTGTTTGTTACCAGCAAAATAAAAAGCATAAGCTAAGAACAAACAAATTTCCTGGAAATCTTATAAAGTAACGTGGTCTAGCATAAATCACGAGATTGGAACAGCGAGGTCGATAAATATTGGTGTTTTTTTGTTTTGCTTTAATACTTCACAGCTATTACATCCGTTTTTAAACCAAATTATAATATGAAATGTTTTTGTTTAATCTCTTGAAGATATATTGCATCATTACCAGAGTTCATGATTACCATTTGCGAGAGCCCCCATGACAACATAGCTCTGCCCTTTTGTGTAGGCATATACATATACGACACTTGGGGAGGGCAATTCTTTGCTTGGGCTTTTCTAATACGGAATTGATTTTGATGAGCAGGCCTCGTAACTAGTTATTACATTTTCCAAGCACATTTGAATGTATTTATCACACTCATTTTTATTGAATAGATTATCTCAACATAAATCCGATAAACAAAGAGACGTCGAAACTCAACCTAATGTGATTTCAATAACCTTTTTCATCACCTGTTGACATGTGCGATTATTACAATGACGTACCATGCAATCCGAACATGTTTTGGGTTGATTTCTCGAAAGATTTAGCGACCGCACTCAAAGAATTATTTTCATTTTCCATTCTTAGTGGATGTGATGCTGCCAATCAACATGGAAATGAGTCTTAATTATGTCCTGACGATCGTTGCATCGTTGATCACCATCTGCATAGTATTCCCGTATTTCCTATGCGCCGTCATCCCAGTCATCGTCATCTTCTTCTTCATCATGTCCTTCTATCGCAAGGGCGTCAACGACCTTAAGCAGTTGGAAAACGTGAGCCGATCTCCATGGTTTTCTCACATCGGATCGACTGCAATGGGACTGGCCACCATCCATGCCTATGGCAAGACCAATGATGTTATCACGAAGTGAGTCCATTCAACCATTCCTTCATTCATTTCAGCTTTTGATAAAATACAGTAAAATCAAGTCATACGGCAAAAAATGAAAATACAAAGTAAAGTTTTGGTCACAAATCAGAGCAGCGACCGACCGATTAGTATCCTGCTCGGTCGCCGCTGGAATTAAGGCATCGCCCAATGATTTTTTGGAGAAGTCGAGCAGGCTGTAGAGCCCAAGCGATACCTGAGCGGTGCCCTGTCGATTTCCCGTCAGTCGCCGGTCAATTTTAGGTCAAAACTGGGCGAAATCGGAGAACTTCTCCGGCCGGCGTCCCGGCAGTGACCGACCGATGACCGACCGATACCCAAGCGGTCTCCCACCGGCCACTGGCTAATTTTAAGGAAATTGCCCGACAGCCGGCCGGTGATCGGCGGGGCGCCAAAATACGCTCGGTGCCTGCGCCGCCCGGACACCGACCTAACGAGCGTTTGCCGTCGAGCGATTTAGGTCAAAAATCAAAGCCGCTAGGTCAAAGGTTGCTGACCAATTTTGAACTCGCCGCCAAGTGACGGACAGATCTCCCAGCGGCGACTGGGCGGCGACAGGGCGGCGAACGCTCAGCAGCTTTTGACTTAGCGGCTTCGATTTTTGACCTAAATCGCTCGACGGCGAACGCTCGATTAGATCGGTGCCTGGACGGCGACCGCCCGGGCGCGAAATTTTTATTCCCAAACAGGTTTGCAATTTCTTATATTTCCGTTCTTCTCAATGGCTGATATGTTCTACGTCATTAGCAGCTTATGGAGCTCTCACACTCTGCCGTGTAGGCCTACCGTCCACCTGCCGGGCTATTAAAAAAAAAACAGAGTCCAGAACGTTGGGTTTTGAGCGAACTTGTCCCCGGCCGCAAAAAAAAAAATCATAAAATTAATCTTTTCACCGTTTCGTTGCCATCTTCTGACCGTTCTCACCGGGCGCATACCGGGTGTTGAACGTGCTTCTACCGTCTTCACCGCCCAGATTGACTTTTGTTGAAAATTTAGGCCGTTTCCATACCGGGCCCATACCGGGTCTCGAACGTGTGCACCGGGTTTGTAACAGCCACCTACAAGTCACTTAGCGTCCCCTCACCGCTCGGAGCGTCCTGTGAGTGAGTCCCCGGACTGCTGACGTCATGACACGACTGCCATAAATACTCCGATTTGAACGGCAACGGTCAGTCCGCTCTCCATTTTTCATCACCGTTCTGTAACGGGTTATGAGCGTGTTGTGAACGTGTTCATACAGTGTGACCGTTTTCATAACGTATTCATACCGTCCTCATACCGTTCAACACCGTCCTCTTGCCGCTTACTTGCGGCCGGTGCCAGCCGGCCAAAGTTTTGAACATGCCCAAAACTTTCGCCGGGTCCCACCGGGTGTAAATAAGCGCCAACGCCCTATTAACGTGTTGCCCGCTTTGATAACGAACCACCGTGTGCCCTCGCCGTTCTCCACAGTCCGCAGACATTTTCGCGCACGGTGGCACACGGTAGGCCTACACGGCAGAGTGTGAGAGTCACTTTAGAAAGAGGTCACAAGCAATTAGACTTTGATTTTCTATTGTTTTGCCTCACTATTTATAAAGGAAATAACAGAATAAACTAAGACTTGAACCCACAACTCTGAGATTGAATTACGCTGACCTTACCAATTGAGCCATCGATGGTTGATAAAAAGTGATTCTGCATGATTTCTATAACCCTATCACTCACCCTAACGGTTACGTCATTGCTAATGACGTAACATATCAACCAATCAGATGACCGGAAATATTAGCATTGGCAAACCTGTTTGGGAAAAAAAAATTAGCCGCCCGGGCACCGAGCATACTCTGAGCGGCGAGTGAAAGTGAGCAGGCGCCGCCCGAATTTTAACTCCGCGCTAAAACTTCAGCAGCGACCGAGCGATGCCCTAAAAACAAGCGGTGCCCGGGCGGCCGCCGCTCGGTGCCTGGGCGAAATTAGCTCAAACTCGCCGCCCGGCTGCCGAGCGGGCTACTTTTAGGTGATGTGCCGTGTAGGCCTACCGTGTGCCACCGTGCGCGAAAATGTCTGCGGACGGTGGAGAACGGCGAGGGCACACTGTGGTTCGTTATCAAAGCGGGCAACACGTTAATAGGGCGTTGGCGCTTATTTACACCCGGTGGGACCCGGCGAAAGTTTTGGGCATGTTCAAAACTTTGGCCGGCTGGCACCGGCCGCAAGTAAGCGGCAAGAGGACGGTGTTGAACGGTATGAAGACGGTATGAATACGTTATAAAAAACGGTCACACTGTATGAACACGCTCACAACACGCTCATAACCCGTTACAGAACGGTGATGAAAAATGGAGAGCGGACTGACCGTTGCCGTTCAAATCGGGGTATTTATGGCAGTCGTGTCATGACGTCAGCAGTCCGGGGACTCGCTCACAGGACGCTCCGAGCGGTGAGGGGACGCTAAGTGACTGGTAGGTGGCTGCTACAAACCCGGTGCACACGTTCGAGACCCGGTATGGGCCCGGTATGGAAACGGCCAAAATGTTCAACAAAAGTCAATCTGGGCGGTGAAGACGGTAGAAGCACGTTCAACACCCGGTATGCGCCCGGTGAGAACGGTCAGAAGATGGCAACGAAACGGTGAAAAGATTAATTTTATGATTTTTTTTTTTGCGGCCGGGGACAAGTTCGCTCAAAACCAACGTTCTGGACTCTGTTGTTTTTTTAATAGCCCGGCAGGTGGACGGTAGGCCTACACGGCAGAGTGTGAGAGCTCCATTAAAGGAGTCGAGAACACAACAACAACCATTGACATTAGTCCATTCCCTTTGCATGTATTGCAGGTTCGTCGATCTACTGGACGTGAACGCATATCCTTTGATGCTGTTCCGGATGGCGAACCGTTGGGCTGGAGCACGTCTTGAGCTACTTGTTGTTCTCATGGTTACCATCACCAATCTCATGGTTGTTCTCTATCACGGTAAACTACCGGCCTCAACCGCTGGCTTTGCCGTCGCATACGCAATGCAGGTATGTCTGGCTTTCAATTTCAGCACTATATTTCCATGGATCATTAATACACATATCCTGCCGTTTGGATATGAGCTAGAACTGAACATGTGAAGCCACAGTCGATGATGTCGATGAAGTCATTAGTAAAAGACGCATTGCTGATGGATATCGCGTTTATATAATGTATATCAATCATATCAAATAATTGGTTTTAGGATCGAAATATACTCATCAAGCACTACAGGGACAGACTAATGCCAATAGTCTGGTGAAATGAGCGCTAAAAACTCAAGATAGGTCACACTAGCCCAAATCAATGGATACTCACCGCGGTGCCAATTTGTAGGTAGAAGGAATCAATGACGCCAAATGGAAGGGCGCCGAAAGTCGGCCAAATTAATAAGGGGGGCCAATATATGTGTAGATAAAATCCATGATGCCCCCTAGGAGGTAGGTCTAACAGGGCAATCACCAACCAGTGGAAAACTAAAAAGGAAAGCGCTAGCGACGGTAGGTAGATCGCACTAGCTAGACCAAATAGCGGGTATGACCCAATGATTTTCATTGGGCTAACTAATGGGTTAAAGAAAATAATTACCTATAACTTCGTCGGAAAAATAATTATGCTGTTCTCATGATGAAGTGGTTTTAAATATTTATCAGCCACACTTTGTGACGTTAATAAAAAAATTGCGGCACCAAATTAGTTTATTATTCTGTATAATAGTCTTTTTGTCAACCCCTATCTCTTTCTTTCTCTTATTTATAAATTTGTATCAAACTATTCTTTCTTTAATCAGTATGATTTATTTTCTATGTGTTTACTGCCTTCTGCTCACAGCTAACAGGGAAGTTCCAGTTGACAATGAATACGCTGACAGATACCGAAGCACGATTCTCTTCTGCTCAAAGGATAATGCAGTATATAAGGGTAGGTCTATGTTGTGTGTACAATATGCATTCTCCCCCTTCCCCCTCACAACACCACTTGAGTTATAGATCATATCCCAAGTACTTGCAATTATAATTTTCATTCGAATAGTTTGATAGGTTTTATTGAGACTTAACGGAATATGATTTAAATATTACGATAAATATGAATATTCATCTATGTCGTTTTTTTTAATATCATCTTGTGAATGAATGTTATTGCGCCTTAACATGCATCAACTGACCAAAAAATTATAATAATCTGTATTTTATTTTCTCCTTGACTTTTTAAATTCATGCACGAACGTCTGACCATGTAGCATATAAGCCCCAAATCTAGTGTAAGCTATCAACATTTACAAAAGGAATTGTCAGTTTCCTCCAAACAGTCTGTAATGCAAGAGGTACAAAAGCTACAGAAAATACTACACTGCTGGGAAAACTTAGGGGTTTATATAATTATTCTAATGCTAGGATATTAAATTCGAACAAATTATTCAAAGGGATCTGAGGTCCCATGCATGCGCAAGAAAAATATAAAACCATCGCTAGTACACTTTTCATTGTGGGTAGAATGTATACACATGCATAAAATACAGATAACATCTATGGCTTTTTCCATTCTATCAAATGTACAGGACATTAAACCAGAGGCTCCTGAAACCATCAAGTCGAGGATGCCCGAGAAAGGCTGGCCAAGTCGAGGGGAGATCCGACTACATCATGTCGGGATGAGATACCGAGAAAACCTTCCGCTGGTTCTCAAGAATGTAACGTGCACTATCAAGGCAGGAGAGAGGATTGGCATCGTGGGGAGGACCGGATCAGGTGGGTACTTCCACCACTTTGGAGAGAGTGGTGAAGGAGGAGGAGGAGAGGGTCGAGATAGGGGGTAGCTAGATGTATAAGGTTTGCCTGTGGGGGAAGACACATGCTCCTCACACAACAAAAGAAATGATACTGGCTGTTGTAGTAGTAGAAGTAGAAGTAGTAGTTACTATAGTATTAGTCGTAGAAGAGTAGAAGTAGTAGTATTAGTAGTTATAGTAATATAATTACTGTAGTAGTATAGGCCTAGTGGTAGTAGTAGTAATCATAGTAATCGTAAGAGTTGTATATTTAGTAGTAGTAGTAGTTGTTAGTGTATAAGTATAGTTTTAGTAGTAGAATTAGTAGTAGTAGTTATTGGTGTAGTAGTAATTAGTAGTAGTAGTAGTAGTAGTAGTAGTAGTAGTAGTAGTAATAATAATAGTAGTATTAAAGTAGTATTATTGTTTATCTCTGACTGTCTCTTGTAAGCTTTTATAATCTCTCAATAACAGCAATCGACAACCAGTCCTTTGATTGCTGTTGCTTTTATGTATTTAGACATGTGTACATTTTACGTCCTTTATAATTCATTAAATGATCCATCATAACTTATTTTGATAAAATGTGATGTCTAATTTAAAATGAAAATGATCAGTAAAATAATTAGTATACTTGCAGTAGTGGAAGTAGTAGTAGTAGTAGTATGAGTAATATTTATAGTAGTATTAATAGTAGTAGTAGTAGTAGTAGTAGCAGTAGTAGTAGTAGTATTAGTAGCAGTAGTAGTAGTAGTAGTAGTAGTAGTAGTAGTAGTAGTAGTAGTAGTAGTAATAGTAGTATTAGTAGTAGTAGTAGTAGCAGTAGTAGTAGTAGTAGTAGTAATAGTAATAGTAGTAGTAGTAGTAGCAGTAGTAATGAGGAGTAGTAGTAGTGGTAGTAGTAGTCATAGTAGAAGAAGTATCAGTACTAGTATAATAAATTTATTATGATTTGTAGAGGTACATAGTAGTAGTAGTAGTAGTAGTAGTAAAGTGTATTGGTAGTAGTAATTTTACAGGTAATTATGAATAATTCATGTCTGGATTGTTATCTTGTGATCAGGGAAGTCTTCTTTGAGCGTTGCCTTGTTTCGTCTAGTGGAGGCTGTTAAAGGAACAATAACTATCGATGATGTCGATATATCGGAACTTGGTCTATTTGATCTGAGATCTAAGATATCCATTATTCCTCAAGATCCTGTCCTATTCATCGGTACCGTAAGGTAAGAGTGATCACCACTCGTCATATAAATCTCTTCTGGACGATAGCATCATTGATTTTATTACTATTCTCAATAAGATCAGGTAATAACGTGCCAGTAACAAATGCATCGTAGTTTGTTGTGCTTGTAACAACTAACCCGTCAATAGATGGCCTGGCTCCCCGGAAGTAATCGGATAGTCGAGGCGCAGTCATCTCGGCTGTGAATACGACATTCACATCACAGTAGTCTCTTAGTCCCTCATCACCATTTGATTCTTGTATTAGCAACATTACATAGCTCTTCTCGCCTTTAAACACAAGTAATTTCCATAATGTAAAGAGGTATACTTCCTAAAACTAGTTCTCCTCAAAAGCAATAAAAGGGATAGTTTGGGAAACCTTTTGGAATACAATTATATTTTTACATTAGATCTTCTGGAACGCGATTTTGGGTTCCTTCTTCTCTCATATGTACCTCTCTCTCTTTCTCTCTCTCTCTCTCTAGACTATATCTGTCTGTCTTTCTAGCGCCTGCTTTTGTTTGTGGCCCAAACATTGTGGAGCGTGTGTGCAGCGCTTTATAACTGCAAGGAAAAGGCGCTATATCAAATATCTTTTGGATTGGATTGCTTCTTTATCAAGTTTCCTGTTTCTGTTTTTATGAGATGTTTTGTTAAAATTGAAATATATTTTTTCTGTTTATTTAGATATAATTTGGACCCATTTGGTGAAAATAATGATGCTGATCTGTGGCAAGCATTAGAAAAGGCCTACATGAGGGAGAAGGTTTGTACTGGTTCCATTTCTTTTAATTATTTGAGTTCCTGGATCGCGAAGCTGAATACATAGACTACACACACTAGATATCAAGTTTTTCTCCCTTCTGTTGAAGTAGGGCATTACATATTATAAGCATCAATGAACTGATGAGTCAGCGTTTATTTGAAACGTGTCTAAGTTGATTATCGATTAGTTCACGTAATGAAATATAGTATATAGAACAACATACTAAAATAAACATACCAATATAGTTTTTTACTTGGTATTAGAGCATGTCTACACTCTATCATTGTCATTGTTTATTAAATCGGATTAAAGCGGAAAACAAATTATGATTGGGCTCTATACCTGTGAGGAATGTGCGCTATACCAAATACTCTGTGAACTGGAGTGGATTTAAAGGTAAACGACGCTAGACTAATACTCAAACATCACATTAAATTTATTATTATTATTATTATTATTATAGGAGCTTTCTATAAGTTGTAATGCTCATTATTATTATTTGTTATTAATTCATGATATTCAGATTAGTTCTCTAGATGGCGGTCTCGATGCTCTTGTTGCAGAAGGAGGAGATAACTTCTCTGTTGGTGAGAGGCAATTGATGTGTATGGCGAGGGCACTGCTTCGGAATAGCAAGGTGGGAAATTCAAACTGTTGTGTGCGCTCGCCAATCTACCACCAATGTGAAAACGAGAGCATGTTAACTTGTCTGACTTTATAGTCCGAGCCGCTTACAATTTCAGATATGAAAGCAAACAAAACTAAACAGCTCATCTTGTTAAAGCATTTAAAGGGAGTGTAGCCTGACGAGACTACGTGCCATTCCCGTGGCCTGACTCGGGGCCAATACGGACGACGCGACCGCAGCGATCACTTGAGTGCAACATACGCGAAACCGAAGCGTGAGGAGGACTTCGGTCTGTTTCGCGAACGCTGACAATGTAGAGATTAAGTCGCTGACTACCGTTAATCAAGTCCATTCGATTACGTGCAGTTGTCCAAAAGGAGACGTAGATGACGTTAACCAGTATTTGCCAAGCTATACTCCCTTTAAGATAAAGGCTGATAAATGATTGTCTTATCCATACAACCCCTTGGCCTTCTATTTTCGTTTTCTAGCCGCTTTTCCTCTCCCTTTATTTCTCCTTCTTTTCTTTTACATAGTTTTCTCTGTGTACGTCCTTCTTGTTTCTCAATATTCATCTCTTTCTCTCTCTCTCTCTCTCTGTGTCCTTCTCTGTCTGTCTCACAATATTTGCTATTTCACTTTCTGTTTCCTTGATACACGTTACTATGTTTTCTTTTTTTTCTTTTTCTAGTACCAAACTGAAAACAAATTACATTACCGATGCTCTTTCAGATCTTATTCTTAGATGAGGCGACTGCAGCCATTGATACAGAAACAGATAGCTTGATACAGCAGACAATACGAACAGCTTTCAATGACTGTACCACACTCACCATAGCACATCGACTTATTACAGTACTAGACTCAGATAAGATTCTTGTCATGGATGATGGAAAGGTAGTGGGGTTTTATCCTCTCAATTTATTTTCTTGTGTGTGTGTGTGTGTGTGTGTGTGTGTGTATTTGTGTTTGTTCGTCTTCCCTTGTTGTTATATGAAAAGACGAAAATTAGGAATCGAAGCTTAAATGAAAAATAAGAAACATCAACAACAACAAAAGAAGGAAATAAGCTACCACCTCCCTTTCCCCCTTCTCACTTTTGGATCTCGAGAGGGGTGAAATCCCCGAAATTAATATCTTCCATGCAAAAATTACTGTCAGAATTATTTATTAGCACTCCAGCTGGACGCCTTTTACGGGTTAATAGAACCAAGACGACTTTATTTTTTCCGGAGTACCAATTGAGGTGTTACATGTTTCTGTAAATAGAAATACTAGGTCAAGTTCAATACAGATTTGGTTATTTTACATATCATCAATACGGAGACTAGAAGCATTATGCGGTTTGCATATATCAACAAATTAGTTTACCCAATCGTATAGATTTACTCAAATTGTGGTTAATTCAATTTCAAAACAAAACGAGAAGAGCCGAAAGAAAGGGAAAGAGGAGGAAACGAGAAATTAGAAATTATTTTCATTTGGCCTAAAATATCATCTTCATAAATTCATGTGTCATATTTGTTCTGTATGTGTGTCCATACCCCAGGTTGCTGAGTTCGACTCGCCCATAGCTCTACGGGCAAACCCAAAGTCTATCTTCAGGGGGATGTTAGCCGCAGCTGAATCTCAGAACACCTAGCTCAAGAGTCTATCCAGGAAAGGTGACGTCAGAGGTCGCACTCCGCCGAGTCAGAAAGCAGCGATTGAGAAAGATGTTTAGAGCTTGACGTATTGTTATGGTGCGCTATACAAATGCTTCATATTAGTCTAATTACTGTTTGTACCTCCGGAATCTTTTATTTCTGCCATAGTTTTATATTTACCTCACATATTTTAACGTACATTGAACAATTGTGCAACATGGTAGCCATTCAGGAAAACAGTGTCATGGCTGAATCTGAGAACAGCTAGCTAAAGACAAATTATTTCTAAGATATAAGATGGTGTAATTGGCATTAGTTGAATCATAGAGGTATTACAAAATGGAGTCCCAGCTCGCTATATTGATTGCATACAGCTGACATAATTGAAAGGATGCACAAATGAATCTCTGAAATGCTTTGATTCTTCGATGTCGGAGGTTTCACGTCGCCGAGGTAGACAACAGCGATTGAAAAAGATGTTTAGATTTTAAAGTATTATTATGCTCAATTAATATGATGAATCAAGAAGCACAATAAGTAAACACGCAGTTGCATTATAATCATTTATAGTAACAAAGCCTCAAAGTTTAAAAACTTCTTGATATATAAAGCCTAGAAAGTGTCACAAACATACGCTTCATGTGCAGAGTTCAAGTCTCTTTCTCATTCATTCCAAGCACTGTAATTCAGTATTTCTATCATGAAAGCTTATTCTGTAAAATAAAACATTTACTATTAATGCCCTCACATGCCCACTCGAAATATTTCCATTTGGTCCGGGATGTTAGGACAATTTAGGGGCAGTGTGATGCAACTTTTAAAAACCCAACACTTTGCCCATTGTTAGTGTCTCTTCGTTGTGCAAGATGAGGCTATCTGAATGTTTTCATCACCCGCATGGGAAGTACATGTACATATTTGTCATGCTTTGTTTGGCGGCACAGAAGCTTCTTTTTTCTTCAAAGACAAGCACGTATAGTAACTCCAGCTGTATTATCTCTTTGGTTTTACAACCTTTCGTGTTTACAGCCAGTACAAGTATACGAGTACATGCCATTGTTACCTCTAGACGTTTTCACCTCTAGAGTTTTTACCTTTGACATGTTTACCTCTGACATTTGTTTACCTCTGACATTTTTACATCTGACATTTTTACACCAAACCATATACATAACACACGCTCCTGATGTACGATTTTTTCTTCTTCTCACTTTGAGTCAGTTCATCAATTTCTAATTGTTTGAGGTAGCGTTTGGAATAGTTAGGCTCAAACTTCAATAAACAGAATATTCATGGCAATAGAATCTCGAGTATGTTCAGATGTGTGGAAATGTAGGCTTTTGTTTCCCTCTTCTGAGGACCCGATAGGCCAATTAGGATATCAATTTTTCGTTTTGTAGTCAAATTTAATATGTATGTTTTTGTTATGTGCCTCGTTACGAATTGTTGTTTTTTCATTCATCTGTTACGAACAAATTGTATTTTGATATTCAGCATGCAAATTGTACATAATAACGTGTCGTTAGGTATGATAAGCTATAATGTTTGTCCAACCTAGCAACAACTAATTATAATCGGTCTAACTATAAGCCAGTTTGTAGTCGCTAACTTTGCATGGGAAGATAGTGGTCATTTGTACAACATTTTAAAACCCACCTAGTACTGAAATACACTTAGAATGAAACTTATGTGATCATAATTATAATGCACTGACAGTACGTTATGTGGCACATATGTGGGAGTATTCTTATCATGAGGGTAAACAGCGTTATTTATATAAAAACTGAGTATTATTATCAATATCATAAACAGAAGGTATTCATAAAGTACATCCATGACTTTGGCAGCGGTGGTTATTTTGAAATGCACAATTTGGGACTACTCCAAGTTTAAAATATTTGTGGATAATCCGGGTCAATTGAACCGTGTGCTTATAACGAACTGGTATATTGAGAGACAGGATCATATCAAATATTTGTGGATAATCCGGGTCAATTGAACCGTGTGCTAATAACGAACTGGTCTATTGAGAGACAGTATCATATCAAATATTTGTGGATAATCCGGGTCAATTGAACCGTGTCTTATAACGAACCGGTTTATTGAGAGACAGTATCATATCAAATATTTGTGGATAATCCGGGTCAAGTGAACCGTGTCTTATAACGAACCGGTCTATTGAGAGACAGTATCATATCAAATATTTGTGGATAATCCGGGTCAAGTGAACCGTGTCTTATAACGAACCGGTTTATTGAGAGACAGTATCATATCAAATATCTGTGGATAATCCGGGTCAGTTGAACCGTGTGCTTATAACGAACCGGTCTATTGAGAGACAGTATCATATCACAGGTTAGTGTAATAATTCTTTGCTAGGTAAACTTATACTTTAATTATATTGTATTTTGTATAACAAATAAAGAAGGTCTTACTATGCAACCATTTTTGGGAGATAATGCTATCCACTAAAAAAAAGTACTAGTGACTGAGAGATATTATATTGTAAATACAGTACTTTTAAAAAAATATTTCTTGAGTCAAGTAATCTATTTATTTGGATGGTTGTGTAGCCTTAACATTATCAATAATGCTCACTATATACAGCCAAAATTCTGCTAATGTAACTTCGACTGAATGGTGGCTGTAGGGTAGTAAAACAGTGGTTGTATGGTAAATGAATGGTGATTTGTATGGTCTCATTGGTAGTATGGTACAAGAATGGTGGTATGTATGATCTCAGTGGTAGTATGGTAATGAATGGTGGTATGTGTGGTCTCAGTGGTAGTATGGTACAAGAATGGTGGTATGTATGGTCTCAGTGGTAGTATGGTAGATGAACGGTGGTCTGTACATGCTCAGTGGTAGTATGGTAGATGAATGGTGGTCTGTGTGGTCTCAGTGGTAGTATGGTACACGAATGGTGGTATGTATGGTCTCAGTGGTAGTATGGTACAAGAATGGTGGTATGTATGGTCTCAGTGGTAGTATGGTAGATGAACGGTGGTCTGTACATGCTCAGTGGTAGTATGGTAATGAATGGTGGTATGTGTGGTCTCAGTGGTAGTATGGTACAAGAATGGTGGTATGTATGGTCTCAGTGGTATTATGGTAGATGAACGGTGGTCTGTACATGCTCAGTGGTAGTATGGTAAATGAATGGTGGTCTGTACAGGCTCAGTGGTAGTATGGTACACGAATGGTGGTATGTATGGTCTCAGTGGTAGTATGGTAGATGAATGGTGGTATGTATGGTCTCAGTGGTAGTATGGTAAATGAATGGTGGTATGTATGGTCTCAGTGGTAGTATGGTAGATGAATGGTGGTCTGTGTGGTCTCAGTGGTAGTATGGTACACGAATGATGGTATGTATGGTCTCAGTGGTAGTATGGTAGATGGATGATGGTCTGCATGGTATCAGTGGTAGTATGGTAAATGAATGGTGGTTTGTATGGTATGATATGGTTTGCCCCTTGTGTTTTTAATGCAATAACAGTTGCGATATAAGTCGTAGAAATGTATATGTACATGTATCACATAAGAGGATATAAAAGTATATTTAGCTACATTAACAGACACAAGACGTTAAGGAAGAAGGTGTATTTTTTTTCTTTTTAAAGGACTATTACACAAAAATATCCACCTATTTTAAATACCGCGAATATCTTCCAGTAAATATCGCTTTTATTGCTAGTCGTTGTCTGAGAAACCTCTCTCTTTTCTCTCTCTCTCTCTGTCTCTCTTTCTCTGACTATCCCTTTTCAATTGCAGTTGTTTAGTACTTTATGTATGTATGGGTAGATATTTATGAACAAATTTTTTCCCCGCAATATTTCCCATGATTATAATTTATTATCATTATCACTTAATTATTTTTGTTGTTGTTAGTAGTAGCAGTATTAGTAGTATTAGTATTATAGTATAGTATTAATGACTGCTTTGAGAGAAATAGTTGTTTTTATACGCTCAAGTGAAGGTTGCAATTGGGATATTGCCCGAGGCTGGTTCTAACAAACAACAAGAAGTCTCATCTCAAATAATTGAATGATACAAATGCTGAGTTTGCAACACTATCAATTTGTATTAGCAATAACAGTAAACAATGTAAGTATATGTTATTGAATGATTATGTTACCATACAAGCAACATTAAAGATAGCTCTAAAGTTTGTCAATCGCCATCATCGGTATCACGCATACATAATTATGAACGTTGTATTCCTGTATACCTATTTATTTTATTAGCAATAATAGTGAACTACGTATTTTAAAAAAAATGTAATTGTATGATTATTTCACCATAATCCCATAATATATCTTTATAGTTATGTTGTTAATCGCCATCATCGGTATCACGCATATTAATGCACGTTGTACAGGGACCTGTTTCACAAAGCCCTTTTTTCAATGACAAATGACAAAAATCAGTGACAAATCTGCTGATAACCAATCAGAAACAAGGATTTCAGTAGCTTATAACAAAAACTGTCATTTGTCACTGATAACAAGTTTTTTGAAACACCACAAGCATAGAGATGGGATATAGAGTTAAACCCCCATCTCCCTGAACCTATTTATTTTACTAAAAATAAAAAGTAAACAATGTATTTATTAGAATGTTATTGATTGATTGATTATTTTACCATTCAACCCATAATATATCTTAAAGGGACTCGGTAACATTATTCACATGATAGACAATGGTGTTACGGTAGTGACTTTAATACTAGATGTACAATTAAGATAATATGAAAGTTTGAGTAAAAACAGACCGTTATTAAAGATAAAAATTGGGAAAAACTAATCTGATCGATCCCTTAATTCTCCTGAATATATTATAACAGGGTGGATATGTGCGCTTTACAAATATCTGATATTATTATTATTATTATCTAATTACGTTTTAGATGAATGTAAATCGTCACAAAGCAATGAATTGGCTCTATATGCCATTCCAAACATTGTAGTGTTTACAGATTTATTAAAGCCTATCTTTAGGTCTTTTTTTCATAGAAAAACGGTTTGGAAAATTCAAAAATGGTTGGGATAATTTACTGAATAGAGGGTTTCGCACAGTGACGCCTTCAAAGAAAACCATAAATATCTTGATGGTTTGAGAATTGTTTCAGGATTTGTTTTCATGCAAGAGGGTTAAATACAGTAGAAGGAATATAATAAGTGACATTTCATACGCAAATTACGCATTTTTTTCATCAACCTTCAACAATATTACCGAATCACTTATCGTAAATCGCCCTTATCGCTATCACACATATAATATGTTTACTGTACTCCTGTACATATATACCCTCAAAACTCATTCAAAGTTGCAATGTGTGTGTGAAAACTACATTTAATTCAATCATGCATAAATTCTGAATAATAAGTTTGGTATCAAATGAAAGAGAAGCAGAGCTTTTCATAAATGTATATCCCTTCAGGGTAATTATACATTATGAAAGAAAGGTTTTGCCATGAAATATGGTTTCGTTTTTTTCTGGGAAACACTGTAGATGCAGCACTATTCGGCCTCAAATTGTCTCTGAATCACGTCAGAGTTCCTGGATGTAAAGTTTACATTGCATTAAATCCGTATGAAAACATTCATACCTTTCTGTTATGAAACCCGGTTTCGTTTTTTCTTCTTTCTTGGACACATTGTACAAAAACGGTCGGTTACAGTTTTGCACAGATATTTCTTGAGCCGACTTTAGGGTGCAGATAGAAAATCACCGGAGCGATTGCTACAGAGATGACTGTCCTCTATCAGAATGTTTACGGTGTTACTGTTGACATGTATAGTCAACGTAGAGGGGGTAAATGCTTTCATTCAGATCACTTGTTAGCTTTAATAGGGACTTTTAGATTTGCGTGGACTGCTACGTGTGACGTCCTTTTAAGGCACTGACAGTGGACGTCACACGTAGCAGTCCACGCAAATCTAAAAGTGCATATTACCACACGGTCATCTAATACCCAAGACAGAGATGCGATCCTTCAGCATGCTAAAAGGAATCAAACTCAACGTGTAAGATCTCAATGAAGTGCTTGTTGTGTGCTTTTATCCTGGCATGTAGGTCGTTCGATATGAAATGGCTTTTGTTTTAATTGAAGAAAATAAATATTGGATTGTTCAGAATCCAAGAAGGGGTCAAACCTAACATATACGCTATGACGTGCTCGCTATATGCTTTCTTCCAGGCCTGTAATTCGTTTGTTTTGAAAATCTTATTGAAGAATATAAAGATTGGTTTGTTTAGCATGCTAGGAGGGATCAACTAAACACTTAATGAAGTGTTGTATGCTTTCATCCATTTAGACCAGTCCTGAAGGTCACTCGTTCTGAGATTCTGCTGGAAGGACCATCTTGCTGAAGATAGAGGTCGGATCGCTTTGGAGGTCGGAAGGAGAATCAAACTCAACAATCTACAAGAGAAACGAAACAAATCGCTTTAAATCTTTTGGAAGTCCCCTATTCCATATTCCTGAAAGTTGAAAACGTACTGAATCAAAAGCATTACTTCTTATTTGACAAACTGCAATACCCGCAATTTACACACGTACATTAATTAAAGGTAGACAGAGTTATAATGCTCAGTTAGTCCGGCAGCCAAAGTGGCGGATTTGGACAAAATCTGCTTTTCAAATACTTTTCGACATACGCTTACATACATGTGCCACAACCCTATGTCCCCATCACTATTTTTTCCTTGTCGGACATACATTATTTCAAATGTTCATTTCCCCTCTAATAAGTCATCTGAAAGCACTTTATGCACACACTAGTGCAATTAATTTTCCTCTATCCACCAAAACTTGAATGGGTAGTCTCACAAGCTATCAACCTCCCTCTTGAATGCTGTTATTTTGATGTTTTTTTAAAAATTTGTTTCCATTACTGTGTATAAAGCATGAGTATGCTTGCAATGTCACAACCAGGCGATTGGTGGCTTCACGTGTTCTTCTAGGGATTTAGGATGGATGAATAATGCCTTAAACCAAATCGACACCAGTGCATCAACTTGGTTTCGAACCCGGGATCTTTCAACTACGAAAGCACTGCTTTTCCAATGAGCAATTGCCCCTTCTCTACACAAAATCAGAGCTTATAAAAGTCAGACAAAACAAGTTACCTTTCCATCATCCATAACTAGAATCTTGTCAGAATCCAGTATTGTATTGAGTCGATGTGCTATGGTGAGTGTGGTACAGTCATTGAAAGCTGTTCGTATTGTCTGCTGTATCAAGCTATCTGTTTCTGTGTCAATGGCTGCAGTCGCCTCATCTAAGAATAGGATCTGAAAGAGGAAGGGTATTGATTGTTGCACCTACATAAATAACTGAAGAAAGAGATTTGTGTTACTTTGTTACCACGGTGATGATAACCAGGATTTGTTGTTGTAATTTGTTAGATTTTTCCGAGGTAAGCATGAAATGACCACTGAATGCTATGTAGATGTATTTATGTTGCAGGAAGCACAACAACAAAAGCAACAATTTAAATCAAAGAAGTACCGGTATAAGCTTCATACTCCATCAGATGGAGGGGATCAGAGACAATATCCAGGATTGCAAGTTAGTCATCAATGATTATCTACTTTATTACAATATCGACTCTTTTATAATAATGGTTTGAGAAAGAAAAAAAGAACATCATAGCATGTTACGGTGCCATGTCGTTCATCGGATGAATAAAATAAACATGTACACCTCATTACGGCAATTCCCTTTTTATAATCAATCCATTTTCTCCAAAAGCATCAAATAAAAAGAAGTCATACCCCATCGGCATTTACAAGAACTAATTTATAGAAGGTGCCCCCCCCCCGTATAACAAACTATCAGAAGGCCTGAACACAACATATTTTAATAGGTTTAAAGTGTCATGGGGCTTGAGTTTTGTCAATCTTCTGTCAACTATGTTACTCAACATCTTCATGCTAAACAAACAATTAGCGATTTTCTTAAAATGTACAAAGAAAACAAAATCATTGGCAACACTATGAATACCTTGCTGTTTCTAAGTAGTACCCTTGCCATACACAGGAGTTGTTTCTCCCCTACAGAGAAGTTATCCCCTCCTTCGGTTACCAAGGACTCCAAGCCGTGCGTCAAGGAACTGATCTGTGGAATAGTAAAGGTACTCGTAATTGAATGTGAACTGCTTTGAACCAAGCCGTGCGTCAAGGAACTGATCTGTGGAATAGTAAGAGTACTCGTAATTAAATGTGAACTGCTTTGATCCAAGCCGTGCGTCAAGGAACTGATCTGTGGAATAGTAAGAGTACTCGTAATTAAATGTGAACTGCTGTGATCCAAGCCGTGCGTCAAGGAACTGATCTGTGGAATAGTAAGAGTACTCGTAATTAAATGTGAACTGCTTTGATCCAAGCCGTGTGTCAATGAACTGATCTGTGGAATAGTAACTGCTTTGATCCAAGCCGTGCGTCAAGGAACTGATCTGTGGAATCGTAAGAATACTCGTAATTAAATGTGAACTGCTTTGATCCAAGGCGTGCGTCAAGGAACTGATCTGTGGAATAGTAAGGGTACTCGTAATTGAATGTGAACTGCTTTGATCCAAGGCGTGCGTCAATGAACTGATCTGTGGAATAGTAAGAGCACTCGTAATTGAATGTGAACTGCTTTGATCCAAGCCGTGCGTCAAGGAACAGATCTGTGGAATAGTAAGGGTACTCGTAATTGAATGTGAACTGCTTTGATCCAAGCCGTGCGTCAAGGAACTGATCTGTGGAATAGTAAGAGTACTCGTAATTGAATGTGAACTGCTTTGAACCAAGCCGTGCGTCAAGGAACAGATCTGTGGAATAGTAAGGGTACTCGTAATTGAATGTGAACTGCTTTGATCCAAGCCGTGCGCCAAGGAACTGATCTGTGGAATAGTAAGAGTACTCGTAATTGAATGTGAACTGCTTTGAACCAAGCCGTGCGTCAAGGAACTGATCTGTGGATTAGTAAAGGTACTCGTAATTGAATGTGAACTGCTTTGATCCAAGCCGTGCGTCAAGGAACTGATCTGTGAAATAGTAAGAGTACTCGTAATTGAATGTGAACTGCTTTGAACCAAGCCGTGCGTCAAGGAACTGATCTGTGGATTAGTAAAGGTACTCGTAATTGAATGTGAACTGTTTTGAACCAAGCCGTGCGTCAAGGAACTGATCTGTGAAATAGTAAGAGTACTCGTAATTGAATGTGAACTGTTTTGAACCAAGCCGTGCGTCAAGGAACTGATCTGTGGAATAGTAAGAGTACTCGTAATTGAATGTGAACTGTTTTGAACCAAGCCGTGCGTCAAGGAACTGATCTGTTAAATAGTAAGGTACTCGTAATTGAATGTGAACTGCTTTGATCCAAGCCGTGCGTCAAGGAACTGATCTGTGGAATAGTAAGAGTACTCGTAATTGAATGTGAACTGCTTTGAACCAAGCCGTGCGTCAAGGAACAGATCTGTGGAATAGTAAGGGTACTCGTAATTGAATGTGAACTCCTTTGATCCAAGCCGTGCGTCAAGGAAGTGATCTGTGGAATAGTAAGAGTACTCGTAATTGAATGTGAACTGCTTTGAACCAAGCCGTGCGTCAAGGAACTGATCTGTGGAATAGTAAAGGTACTCGGAATTGAATGTGAACTGTTTTGAACCAAGCCGTGCGTCAAGGAACTGATCTGTGAAATAGTAAGAGTACTCGTAATTGAATGTGAACTGTTTTGAACCAAGCCTTGCGTCAAGGAACTGATCTGTGGAATAGTAAGAGTACTCGTAATTGAATGTGAACTGTTTTGAACCAAGCCGTGCGTCAAGGAACTGATCTGTGAAATAGTAAGGTACTCGTAATTGAATGTGAACTGCTTTGATTCTACCAGAAAACCCATCACTAGACAAAATTTATGTTATCGATATATATTCTTTTGATGAAGAATATAATTATCTTTAGTAAAGACGAGTGACATTGCAATACTCCTCAGGGAGTGGAACGTGTATATTATCATGTGCGTATTATCAATTGGATTCACTGACCATGGTAATAATGATTACAATGCAGATCACTTAGAAATGTAGTATTATGCGCAATACAAATTTGACTATCATTATCATCATTGCTAAACTTCAGTCAAAATTACACAGTTGACATAGATTTATTATACGAAGGTGTAGAGGCCCTGTGGTCTAGTTGATAAGTCTTCGAACCGTGAACTACATGGTCCGGGGTTCGTATTCATGCCAAATCATTTACGTTCTTTGGCAAGACATTAATCTGCATTTGACACACTCGACCCAAGTAAGGTAAATGGGTACCTTAAAATGCTTTAGCACAATAATGGCTGCTTTGCTAAGGCCAGGACAATGTTTGTAGAGAAAATGTGAGTGTCAAGTCTGACAGGCATGAGTGCTACACAAAAAAAGTTATTATTATCAAAAATAGATAGTAAAATCTCCAACTGGCTTCAAATAATTTTAACAAATTCAAAGACAGTCCTTTCCTTCGACAATAGAATTTCGCTGAAGGAATGCAGAGTAAACCCAATATCAGTTTCGTCGGTTTTAAGAAAAAGAGGTAATTTCTTCAGCAATTAAGGAAATTGTTTTTCTTTAGGTACACTTTTGGAGAATGATTCGTGTTTTTTTTTCTTCAAAATCCATACAATCGGTAGGACCAGGCAAACTTTAGCTGGTTGTTCCGCTATTATATGTGTGCAATTTCCTTTAAGACCTTTGTCCACAGTCAAAGGATTGGACTGTAAACACAAAATAATGAAAAGGTATTTTTTATGGTCTCGTATAGAACACTTTAATCAAATGAACAATCCTATAAATGTAGGCAAGTGAACTGTGAATTAGTTCATATAACGCTGCTGCATGACAACTGGAGTAGAGGAATAGTCTTCTGTGAAAGAATTATGAGCGTGACACAATAAAAGATTGCCACAACCTATCCAGCTAATGTAGAAAGCTACTAACCTTTTCTTGCATGTACACTTTGTCAAGAACCTGCCATAAAGCCTCGTCTTCATGCTCCCTGAAAGGATCCAAGTTGTATCTGAGAAAAGAAGTTAGAGAAAACCGATTTATCTTCTGCGAAATAAAACCACTACCTTGTATGTTTGATAATAAGAAATTTAGTAAAATCTTTACATATGTATAACAGGTGAATAATACAAAGAGAAAAATATGCATGCACGATTATTGTGGTATCCGTCTTATAAACAGTCGAGATCCATTTAAATCAATCACTACTTGATATCCATTCCAGCTCTGTGACAAAGAGACTTGTGATCAATGCGGATCAATTGCAACTCTTAATAAGTCGGCGTCATTGTCATAAGATATTTACAATATCCATCTTAGCCTAAGCATAATGCGTTCAGGAAGCCTGCCTAACCTGATAGGACCTACCTGTATGGTAACACACATTCATTTATAGATATATATTAGTATCAGGACGAGTACATTTGAGATCCTTAGATTACTTACCCTTATCTACCATCTATTCAAATACTAAATAGATTCTGCACCAATAGACCGGTTTACTAACATATTAGAAGGTATGGATGTTTCTCTCCTGGGGACCTAGTGACGTGTTCATCCATTAACCTGTATTCAATGAATGAACTTCAATATTTTGAATCATCCAGTCTCTATACGTAACTTGTTGCTATATCGGGCGAGCCCCTGGCAAGCTTTCAGGTTGTCTAGAGCAATCTTTGTTTAAAAAATATGAATACCATTTGAATATGTTAGTAAAACGATTTTCATCCATACCCTAAGAAAATATCTTGGTGACCCTCCGAGAATTAACCCTGGCGAATGTAAAATGAGTACAAGTGGTAATTGTCCCAGGAGTAGGTTTTCGGGGAGGGGACGGATGATCTATCCGAGGATTGCTGTCTTTGATTCTCATTTTTCACGAAAGGTTTTAGGTTTGGCTCAATCACACCACTTGAAGAAAAGTTTTTGATTACAAATCTTCTCTGATAAAGCATGTTTATATCTACAGAAGATCAAAGTAACAAAAGGTCACTGTTAATATCATTGTTTGTGACTTATACAACACATTTTGAGAGTAAACCCTGAACTCTGAAAATATGCAGAAGCGAGGAGAGTCCCGTGACGAAAAACCGGAGTCGTATCGAAGTTTTGATTTATATTGCAAAAATTGGTGACACTTTGGCAGGCGGTTAATAAAATAAAACACACTCCAGATGTGAATTTTTCGCCGCGCTTGCCGGTAGTTGCATAGCAGAGCAAAGCATCTACCAGCAAAACACTGGAATGTGAGAAAAATCGACGATTTTGGGTTGCAGTGTAAAGGCATTCAGCTAGGTTGGGTAGAATGTATGCTTCCTCACCTGATTGTACCGATAAAGAGAACCGGATCTTGAGGGATGATCGATAGCTTCGATCTCAAGTGGGTCAAACCAACCTTGCTGATGTCGACACCATCAATGAAAATACTGCCCTCTACTGCCTCCAATAAGCGAAACAGAGCGACTCCTAGAGATGACTTGCCTGGAGGGATGATAAGAAATTTAATCGCAAACGGAAGTTGAAAGACTGATGTGCAGGCAGATAAATGAATTCATGAAGGCAATTAAATCCTTGGATTATCAAGCTTATATCAAGCATTTTTGCATAGACATAAATTGGTTTTGGTTTTGAATATGACTTGAAACCTTTGAATGGGTATTTCAACGAGCAAGATATTTCAATATCAACCTTAAGGCTTTTTTCAGATATGAAGCGGTACACCGCCCCATTTTTGTTTAAATGTGTAAAGTATTTACTGTACTCTGTGTTATAACATACAGAAATGTGAAGCGTATGACACTTGACACCCTAAGAAAAGAAAAACCCGCTGCGGTTATGCCGTGTCCTATCCAAACGAGCCTTCAAACATTTTTGGGAAATATAATCAACATTTTCCCCTTCTTATTATCCATTCGGGATACAAATATGCCCTCTACTGCCTCTGCTAATAAACAAAAAACGCTGGACAAAATTATGAAGAGGCGTGATGGCTTCGTGTTTGTATAGATCTGTGGTCTCGAGCCAAGGGATCAATCTAGGGGATAAACACAAACCAATAGTTTGATGCCTATACGTGGCCTACATTAATTAGGTGCCAAGTTCTGCGGGTGAGTCTTAGAGATGAAAGTCCATGGCTGATTATATATATAGTTAGCATAGCAACTGAATTATTAATATTCTTACCTAGTTTTTTAAGTATGTGGAAAACGCATTTGTCCCAATTATGTTTATTGAGAATGTGACATACTAAAATCTAAAAATATTCAACTTAGACCCTAATTCAATCAGTCCACCTTTCAACCTTGAGTTACGAAAAACACAAAAAGTATCAAGTTTACAAGGGATATTAATTGGAAGTATGTAATTAATTAATTAGCAGTCAGGTGAAATAAATATCAACGTCAACATAACACGTGCAGGTATTCACATTTAGTCATACATTGAAGGTAGATGGATATCAAACCGGTTAGGTGTTTTACAAAGATCCTAAGCTGAACTTATGGCTTATCTCTAAGTTGGACTTAACAATTATGGAAAGCCGTTAGCAGCTATGAAAATATTTTAAAAGACGTAAAATAAAGTTATTTCAAATGGCATAAAATGTTGATTCAAATCATTCATATTTTCTATTATCAAGGAGATTTCACGTTCTTGATGTGGAATTTATAAAAAGTGTAAAATACTTCAATTTTCGCTTTTAAATATATTTTATTTTAAGGCTACAAATGGCTCTCCATGATTTTTAAGTCCAACTTAGAGTTAAGTTTGACTTTAGACCTTTGTGAAACACCCCCAAGGTATAAGTTTATCACATCAGGTGCCCTTAGTAACCCACCCGATCCTGTTCTCCCTACGATGCCTATCTTCTGCCCTGCCTGGATGTTGCATGTGATGCTCTTCAGCACCAGAGGGAGGTTGTCACGGTAACGCATCTTGAAGTTGTTAAACTTGATGGCTCCCTGTGAAGGCCATTGTTTGTCAGGCTTCTCTGTCGTCTCGTCAGGGGCCTCCAACTCCAGGAGCTGGGGATAATGAATTTGAAACATAACAGGTGTTATTTAAAAAAAAAGAAATTGCGGTCGATCACTTAAAGGGAGTGTGTCCTATTTAGAAATTCGAACAAAAACGGAATTTGGGAAAAATATTAAGAAACTTCCATTGACAATGCTGCTATACTTGTGATATAATTAATGGTGGAGTCTTTTGTTATTTGAAAAGTTGTTTATATCATCCACTTTTCCTATTCAATAGTAGGAAAGACTTTGTTAGATGACAAGTTCTGGGAATACATAACCTCTCACAAACGTCAAAATGTCATACATAATAAGAAGATTAAAAGGGAAGATTCGAGTATTGTGGGTTTCACAAAGAGCGAGAATTATTAGCGTTGGAGCATATTTTAATGCGACTACATTCCGCATATCACTGAAAAATCAAAACCTTTGTATTACATCCAGTCTTTCTCCAAATTATACTGATCTATTTGATTATTCTACTTCGGAAACTCTAGTTTATTATCGTAACTACATATCTGATATAGCTAGATTTGAAAATTCAATGTTCGTTTCATTTGGTTTTTCAAGAAATCATTGTAGATACATTTGACCAGTAATAGCCTGAATACCTTGGTGTATTGAAGGATGCGTTCAGCTGAAAGAAAGCGTGCTTCAGCATCAGCTACCATGGACATGGTGAATTGAAACAATCCCGTTAGCTAGGAAAAATAAAAAAACAGACAAAGAAGAAAAAATTTATCTGACAGAGGCTTATCAATATATGGTAAAGCCGGTGAACACATGTTCCTCTCTTTTTGACGGTTAATTTCTACCCGACAAAATATGAAATCCATCGACAAAACTTTCCCAAGGGACTTTTGGAACGGTGATTGTAGCCCAGCCCCGACCTATGCTAATAATTTTATATTAGATTTGAAAGCAGAAATTAAAATGTTTTCCAAGTACAGTGTATTTCTTTTAACATCATATTATCAACCGGGTGTCGAATTCCTGCAATAACTCTATTATGGTATTCAGAGCATCTAACAATTCGTTCCTGTTTTCACGAAGTGACGGTAGTGAGGAAAATCCGCATGCAAATTGTATGTGATTTTCATTCACTACCGTCACTTCGTGAAAATAGGGACGAATTGTTCCCTTCGTCAAGAAATGTTCTTTTATGTCGTTTATACCGTTACTCACCCATTTTCAAAATCAATTTCTTCCTTTTTATCAAATATTGTTTTCAAACATTGTTTTCAAACATATTATCACTCTGTCTTTCCCGCCCCTCGCCCTCTCTCTCTGTCCAACCCTCTCCCCCTCTTCCTAACCACAACAGCCTACCTGCATTGCATATGAGATGGCTAAACCTGCAAGAGTAGGAGGCACTGATCCATGTTTCAGGACGACCATTAGGTTTGTAATGGTGATGATAACAAGGACCAGTAGTTCAAGGCGAGCTCCAGCCCATCTCATTGCCATTCTGAAGAGCATTAGTGGATATGCATTCATATCCAACAGATCCAAGAACCTGAGAAAATAAAAGTTTAAAAATTCCAGGTGTGTAGTCCGCGGTAATTTCATGAGCTTCATTGCCTTGCCAGAAGTTTAAAGTTAAAGGTGAGTTCTGGTTTTAAACAAAGAAAATGAATTCCCACAGAATCAAACGAAACTTACACTGAATGTTCAAGATTACAGATAAATGTCAATTGCCAAACAATTTCGGTAGAAAATGTATACTGGCTGAGTAATGAGCATAGAGAGATTAGGAAATCAAGGTTAGTAGCCCCGACACCATCTGTGTAGTCCCATATACATCTTTCTCTGTACAGTGCTTTTTATTTTACCAAGACCAACCATTTATCAGAATTTATATAAAATAACAAACAACAAAACCTACATTACAGGTACATCATTATGAGCGAAATACAGTAATGTACTACACAGTTATGAACAAAGCACGATTCAAAGAAATTGTTATGGACTTTACAAATTGTGACAACATTCTAAAAAAGCTCATTTACTATCCAAAGAGAATAGAGATTATGAAGCTCACTTATATAATAAGCCTCTATGGTAATACCGGCTTACTTCGAATCATCGGGTCATCGCGTCAAGTCGGGTGGTCGACCTTCCGTGAAACGAAAGCGGAAATTCAATTGAAGATCTACGTTAAAGGACGCGACCTTTCGTAGATTTGCCGATGGGTTTTCACAAACTTTCGGGTAAATTGGACCAGACCGTTTGTAGAAGAGAGGGTTTTATTTCACAAACATTACCATCGACATTTTGAATAAAGGGGCATGTTTTCACTAAAGGTCTGGTAACGCGACCACCCGACCCGAGCCGACGACTCGAAATATTAAAGCCGGTAAAACCAGGGTAATACTTACTTTGCAATGACTTCTTCAGTCTTATCGTAGGCATGGATAGTTGACAAGCCCATCGTTGTTGATCCGATGTGTGAAAACCATGGCGAGCGACTACTGTTCTCTAGCCTCTTGAGATCATTGACCCCACGACGATAGAAGACGAAGATGAAGTAGGAAACGATGCAGACAGGAATGATGACGATCATGAAGTAATAAAATACCGCAGAGATGCTGACGATGGAGGCAATGATGACCATGGTGTTCATTACGGCGATATCGACGTTGACGGGGAGCATGACGTCCACTGATGACAAAACAAGGGTGATATATAATTTACACCCACATGTTGCCCAACCGTTTGGTCCAAACACATACTCGATTTCTTGTCATATTTTGAATATGAGGGCATTTAAAGAACAATATTTTTGTTCTATTATAACCTTGTTCAAAACTGACTAAAACAAATTAAGAAGTACACTTTTTTCTACTCCAACTTTACCAGAACTTCTCTTCCAAACCCACCTTCATCCATATCTTTAGAGAATCTGTTCAAGATGTGACCGGTAGGTGTGGTATCAAAGAATCTCATCGGGCTCCTTACCACTCGCTCGAACAGCCTGTTATGAAGGGTGGATGATGATCTCATAGTCAACTGAAATCACATAAAAGATTATAACACTGTTACATGTTGTTTGCAGACACGTGTTCGGGCATTGACTGTAAATCTAAGAAAGGAATTACCAGGAAAAAAACAAAAGCAATTTGAAGGGAAAATTGTCAATGAAGAGCTTTCATGTCATCTTATATAATTTATACATCTAAGAGGCCTCAAGGAAGATAAAATAAAATAAAAACAATTTGAATGAAAGTTTTAATATACATGAATCATGTCATCATGAAATAAATATAAAATCACTCCCATTTATATATTTACTCTTTCACATTGCCTGTACAAGATATAATGCCATTGCCAAACTGGCTATATATTACTTTCACAGAAAACAAATACCATTACGTGTTTATCAGTTAGATTATGAATGTAAAAGTTGGTTCAAACCAGTGTAAACTGCCTACAAGTGTGCTGTCCCTGTAATTCTATGTATTGTTATTATCATTATTATTATCATTAGTGTTATCATCAATATCATTATTATTAATGTTAATACTATTATTAGTATTATTATTGTTATCATTATTATTATCATAATTTTCATCATCACTATCATCAAAATCATCATTGTTCTAGTCATTATCCTAATCACCGTTATCATCATCGTAATCACCATCATCATCGCCACCATCAACACCGTGATGGTGGTGATGATGGTGGTATCATCACCACCATCACCGTCACCATGTCATCATCACCATCATCATTATTCTTGCTACAATGACTATCATCATGTTTACCTTCATATAGATTAGGCTTTTAAGACCTGCCACAACAAAGACGACAGCCAGAGATACTGCATACACCAGCGCGTAGAAACCTAGATTGGCATCCTCTGACAAACTCATCTCATCTCCTTCCAATCCACTGCTATTCCCCTGTACACAGCATCAGTGAAATATCAGAAAAACTGAGAGTCAGAGATGACGAAAACAATAATAATTATAATAATAAAAACGGTGCTTATAAAGCACTTACCACCGAAGTCCTTAAGCGCTATAACAAACAAAATACAATGATAAACAATTACATATCAAACAAAACAACAAAAAAATGCAAATAAACCTACAAATTACAATACATATGAAATATACATCAATGTGTACAGAGTAATATAATCATCAAAAGCAATTTTGAATAAATGTGTCTTAAGACAAGTTTTGAATTGGTTAACATTCTGACAGTTTTTGACATTTTAAGGTATTTTGTTCCAAAGTTCAGCAGAAGCGTTGCAAAAAGAGCAAAACAAATATAATGTATAAGATCTCCAATAATTAACATATTATTTTTAGCAAAGATTGTATATTATGTGAAATAAAACAGGGCAACGAAAATCAAAACAACCAAAAATAAATATTTGAAAAATGACACTTATGCTTGAAGAGTACTTGTGTCACACTGAGGTTTGCATAGTTTAATATGGATGAATGTGATATTTTTTAAAATCAAGTCTTATCATATCTCTTCCATTAATCTTTCCAAAACAGTGCTCTGAATTACACAACACTCACCTGGCTGGAGTTACTGGTCTGAATCCAGTACCCAAGCCACCAGTTATTGAATACCAGTAGACCAACTAGCACTATGAAGGAGAGAAAGAGACCAGTGGCATTGAGATAACCTCCCATGCTCTCTACGTAGGCATGGTATGTATGCCATCCAGGCCCCCTGGTAGAAGTCAATTCTGCAGACAACGGACTGTCTGAAAATACAATTAGAGGGAATTGATTATCCTAAACAACTATGAAGACGAACAAACGTTCAAATAATAATAATGACAAAAATAATAATAATGATGATAATATCAATAATAATAATAATAACAACTATACAAATAATGACATGTCTTTAATACCAAGGGTAGCCTCATAAGTATTAATAATTTTCCGTGAGGGCCCTGCAATGATTGTATTACCCTGGCTTTTGCCGAGTTACCATGATGAGGTGCTCAAGCATTCAAGGAATATCGTCCTCCCGGGTACCTATTTACTAAACCTGGGTGAAGGGTGACAAATGTAGATAAATATCTTCCCAAAGGACATCCGCGCTGTGACGGGACTCGAACCACGCACCATGTGATTCACAGTCAAGTGACGTATCCATTAGTTGTCAATTTTACGACTTTAAGTAGAATTACTGTATTATTTAAACTGTAAGTTTACTTTTCGTTTATTTTTCTTGACCCCAAGGAAGAACAGTTTTGTCGTATTGACAAAGCTGCATGAGTGGGCTCAAGCCATTCACTTTACCCTGATTTTATATTTTATATTTTTATATTTTATTTGCATTATTTTTTATATTGTGATTTGGAGAAAAAATACAATACCATACCAGGCTCACTCCTTTTAATGCAATTCATGCTGGAGCCATTTTATCAATACATAATATGTAGATTTACTTCCAAGTACCTTCATCACGTTCATGAATCGATGATTCACTCTGTCCATCTAGATCACCTGGTAAGCTCTGTACTTCAGAGATATGTCGCATCACATGCCTGCAAAGAGTTTCCAGCAGTAACTTAGTAGTAAGAATACTCTGACTGTATTGAACATAGGTTTCAGATAGCAAATAAGACCCTTTCAGAAATTATATTATATTTTCACAATACACTTCATTGTTACAATAGTTTATTTTCAAAATGTTAAGGCTTTAAAAATATTCATAGGTCTGTAAAACTTGTGACCATAAAACAAAAGAGTACTAGATTGATCACTGAAGTAATGAGCCTTCAACACCAATTTCCTCGGATCCAATACCCACTTTGAGATCGAATATGCCTCATGGCCATGAAATTGTATAAACTAAAACTTAAAACCGTCGGGGCATTTCATTTTTACTCTTAAAATGTACCGACTTATATTCTCAAATATTTTTTCTTTTTTTAATTTGTATACAAATTCCTACATCAGATTCTGTTGATTTCAACTGAACTAATACAAATTGGATATTTTTTTTTTATACCAAACGGTCTTATTTTATAATCAGCATACAACATAAGCAACATGTCTAAAATATCATCTGTTCATAGACTAACTGTTTGTTCGTTTCCAGGTTAGTTGCGCCCTCTCTCGTCTCGCCATCTTTGATGTTATGAGCAGTGATGAATCGTGCATACTCCCCTCCTTCCGATATGAGGTCATCATGAGGACCCTGCTCAGCGATACGTCCATTGGACATCACCAGGATGGTGTCACAGGCTTGCAGATACTGTCAAGCATTAACACAAACACAGAATATTATCATTTGTAAAAGCTTATACTGGGCCCCGTTTCATAAAACTTTATATCAATAACAAGTTACAAGCTACTGCTGTTATACGCTACTGAAATCATGGCATCTGATTGGCTGAGAGCAAATTTGTCATGGAAATTTAGCATTTTGTTATAGATAACAAGACATGAAACGGGTCTCTCTTTTTGTTTTGTTTATAGATAGGGGTATGGCACTACGTTCCATGCTGAGTACGATCACGGAGGGTCGCTTTAATTGTGTGAAGGTCTCATGGTAAAGTGGTTTATTCACTAATCCCAGGTTGGTGTTTCGAACGCCAGCCCGGCATTAACTTCCTTAACAAGAGATTAATCCACATTTGCCACCCTCTCGGCTATGACGGGGGTAATATAAGGTTGGAGTGCCATAAGCATCACAAAGATGTATGCTATATATTAAATAAGTCCCCATTATCATTCTTCTCTTCCTTCTTCTCCTCCTCCTACCTCTTCTTCTTCTTCTTCTTCCTATGATTATAATTATTATATAATATGATTATCATTGTTGTTATTATCATCATTATTATGATTATTATTACTAGTAGTATCATTATTATTATCATCATCATTATAATTATTCTTTAGTAATGACCTGTAATTGATGAGTGACAAATAACACCGTCTTGTCCCTCAGAGTTCCCATGATGCAGTTGGTAAAGATATGTCTACCAACGTGTGTATCTACAGCACTAAGAGGGTCGTCTAGCAGATATACATCTCGATCAGCATAGACTGCTCGTGCTAGGCTGATTCTCTGCTTTTGACCACCGCTCAGATTGACCCCTCGTTCACCTATCTTTGGAATCAAAGAAGAATGATTGAATATATAATGATTATAATGTATAATCATCAATCTATAGTATACATATATTAGCACATACGCAATTCAATTATCAAGTTGTGATGTTTAGACTTAAGCATTTTCCAATGTTCTCTCTCAAGTAAAGGTTATTCTAACTTCAACTTTAGATAGAATGGGATACAAACAGTTTTGGAGGGCTTATTACGAATCATCGGGTCATCGCGTCCGGTCGGGTTACACGACTTTTCGTAAAACGAAACGGAAGACCATGCGAAATTTTGTAGATTTACCAGGTTTTTTTTCACAAATGTTGGGGTAAATTGGACCAGACCAGTTGTAGATGAGAAAGGTTTGTTTCACAAACTTTAGCCCCCAAATTTCGTGAATAAGGGGGACATTTTTACAAAAGGTCGGGTAACTACTCGACCCGACGTGATTACCGATGATTCGAAGTAAACCATTTTGAAGTATCTGTATAAATCATCGAACTATCTAGTGCAATAGTACTGCCCTGAAGAATTGAAACTAGTGTATTTAATCCTTTTCTCATAGATTTAAAGCATGTGATATTAGTCGCTGAATAAGGCATTTTTATAAACCAGAACTCAAAGCCAGGTACTACCCCAATGCCGAAGCAATCAACGCCCTTTTGATTATGAGCACCTACCTACCTCGGTCTCATCGCCGTCTCTTAATACATCACGGTCTGGTCCAAGACTACACGCTGAAATCACCATCCTATAACGCTCTTCATCCATCTCTTCACCAAATAAAATATTCTCCTTCACAGAGGCATTGAATATCCATGCTTCCTGGGCCACGTAGGCGAACTGTCCTGCAACTTGACAGACGCCCTCTAAGGTGTGCATTTGACCAAGGATAGCAGAAAGAAGAGATGATTTCCCGCTCCCAACCAGACCGCAAACACCTGTGATTTCACCCTATACAATAAACAAAATGTAATTGCGGGTAAACAAAATCACTACAATGTTACAAGATCGCAAAGCCTGAAAGGAAACCTATTTTAGTTGCACCTTGACATTTAGATAGGCAACTTGTACATAACTGCAATAATTAATGCCTACGCATTCACTGTTCAAAAAACACGTTTTATTGGCTTAATCTAATACCCTTATTTAAGCACCACTGACTTTGTAATGTTAACACTTCAGCAAAGCCAGTGCAATTTATATTGCGTATGTTTAGATTTAATAAATGAAGTGTATATTAATTCATTTAGTGGAGTGTAATAAGAGGCATTAAGTCAATGAATCTTGAATAGATAAATGAAGTTTACCCGCCCAGAGATAGAGTCTGTTTTTAAATTTTACCTTTTTGAGCTGTAGGTTGATACTGTATAGTGTAGGAGAGATCTTACTCGAATCATAAATCACTCCGCTGGGAAGCGTAGTCAATCTGACTCCATTGGTAAGGCAAGTATTAGACATAATGTCATCTATAAGTGAGAGAGAGAGAGAGAGAGAAAGAGAGAGAGAGAGGGAAAGAGAGAGAGGGAAAGAGAAAGAGAAAAAGAGAGAGAGAGAGAGAGAGAGAGAGAAACGGAGAGAGAGAGAGAGAGAGAGAGAGAGCGAGAGGGGAGGGAGAGGGTATAATATACTTTAACGCCAGGCCAATCTTAATTTTACTGAAACCTAACGAGGAGATTTTGATTAAAAATTAAAAAAAGAGATGATCTTTGTGAGCATCAGATAGTAAACATAGAACATAACATTTGCATTCAGAAATTATATCATTTATACAAACTTGAATAAATTTTTTTTCTTTCTCAAATTCATTGACTTCTTCTCTATTTATTTTGCTAATGCGTGTTAGACTGTTCCAAAAGTACCCCGTGTGGGTAATTCTTATTAATGCCCCCACTGCTGTGTATTATTTGTAATTTATAAGGTATATATCATAAGGATATGCACATGATTCATGACCATCTTTTCGAGAAAAAATGAGCAAAAAACCTGGATAAGGATGTATATGAGTTGACCAAAGTGTACCTTCATGATACTTGTCTTCTTGTGATATCTGTTCTCTCTCTGTAGGAATATGAGTGTCCTTCTGGTCATTCTTCTTCCCGGTCTTCTTATCTCTCTGGACAACATCCCAACCGAATGTTCCTTCTCTGATCTCGACCATGATGTCTGAAGTATCTTCCAGTCTTGGGTTAGGTTCTATCCTCTCTAAGATGATAATAGCCTCAAGAAGGGAAAAGAAAAATGATTTAGGAAAATATGAACTTCTAGAAATGTAAGTAATTATTTAGATCAAATATTAATACATCGATGTACAGGCCAAGTGCGTTTGAATCAAATTCATTTTCCCCATCAAATTCACTATTTCTGATGAATAACACAATTAATAAAATTAGGAATATCATACTAATTCTGCGCTAGAAGCAATATTATCAGCACATGTTCTAGTGTACTAGTATAGTATTAATTACTGCTTTGAGAGAAATAGTTGTTTTTATACGATCAAGGGAAGGTTAGAATTGTGCTATTGCCCGAGGCGTGCAGTCATTAATACTTTTATATGCCGAAAAAAAAGAGTCAACTTATGACACCACCTTGGTCTTTATCTAGTTTATCTGCACGGTTGTTTTTTATGAGTGTATTTTTGAGAGTAGACTGAAAAATAAAAAATAAAAAATAAAAAACCTTTGTCGAAGATGGGATTCGATCTCTTGCGTACCAACGATGATTTGACTAAAATCACCGTCTTCGACCGCTCGGCCATCGCACACTGATACCATAACCAGCAGTTTTCTTTAATATATACATTAAAATGGATTGAAAACGGCTTCGCGTGCTGGATGCTTCGCGGCAGCTCCATTAAACGGGCCCTTCTTTTACTTTTGCAATGCATTGGCACGAACTTAGATCAAGATCTATCGGCTGATGTTATTTTTGGAAGTTTATTTTCGTCTTCATGTCAACAATGCAAGATAAAATTGTCGGTAAGATCGATCGAGATTCAATTGTATTGAAATTACCGACCAATTCTTCGCACACGTACGGTATCCTCGATCGCTCAGACCATTCTTTAACATGTAAACCCATGGGTATTTCACCCAGACTGAACTATTTTCCCGGTAACCATGGTTACTGGGATTTTAGAACTATTTTTTAGAACTATTACATGGGTTTGGAATTTTACCGGGAATATTACAGGAACAGTTAAAGTTTATGAATGCAATTTCGACCAATCAGATGGCTGGATTTCTTAAGTGAGGTATATAACATGTTTTATTAATTAAATGATGAATGAATCTGATTAGTACAGATTATAATGTCGTAGAATACCTTCATGGTGTGTGGTGCACATTAAATAGACTCCAGTAACCAGAGCCCTGAAACAGAAAACCGACTTACATTTAATATCTCTAATCCTGCAATTAAGTGTATCTTATTAAACCTCGTTTATACCTGTGACATAAAACCTTTATAAAGTTACCGCTTTTTTCTTTCTAGGGAAGTATATTTACATTACTTAACGTGAAAATGCGATTGATTGAAGAAGATGGGATTAAAATTTGGGAGATACAACCAATCGTAACTCTTTATGTTACAGGGTCCTGTGGTGAAAATAAATTATTATATATCGCATAATTCAGTATTCACTAATAATAAAGGTTTGGAGGTAGGTTGGTTGGTTTGTTGGTTGGTTGTTTATTTTACCTGACTGCAACCAGTAAGCAACCAGGGAACCGATGGCTTTAAGTCCTCTCCGAGGGACTTGATAATGAGGATCAATGACTTACCAAAGGGCCATATGGCGCTATATAGCGCATCGATTTGGTTTTGAACCCGGAACCTCTCGGTTACGAAACCACTACTCTACCATTGAGCCATCGCGCCTTTATAAATGTAATTCATTGTTATCATGATTACCTTAAGTCTTCTGAGAGCAACGGACCCTTCTGCTACCATTCTCACAGCAAACGGAGTCGGTCCTATCACCACTCTCATTACATTCAGAAGAGCCACCAGGGTGAAGGCCTGACGGATAACAATGAACAAAAAAATGTATTAAAAATTTCAATAGCCATACTATCATCCGTGTAGGATTGATAAACTCAATCAATATACGTAGCAGGGTTTGTCGGGATGATACATCCAAAGCAGTGGAACAAGGAAGCACATGCGCACATAGTTTCGAAGCTAGGAACTTTAACGAATCGACTACGTCGACTGATTAAACTAAAAACTAGACTCGGCGTAAAAAGTCAAATTTGACTGAACGCCAAAAATACAACCAACAATAAAATATCCATGTGCGTCTTTAACGGTACTATCAATTATTTTTGGAAACATTGGACAAAATACACCATCGGAGTTTCATAACCTGATATTTGGTTGCATGCCATGTTAAATTAAATGGCAAATGAAGTGTTATATTTACATTTAAACCAATAAGTTGAAAAAGAAAATCGATGAACGGCAACCGTTATCATCATCATCATTTCATTTCTTCTCACTACTTCTCCTCCATTTCAATTTGAACTAAGAGCCACTGTAATTTTGAACTCCGATGATGACAAAAAGTACGTATTCACAAAACCAAACAAAGATTTACAGTAAATACAGCTAGCAATTATTAAAATTAAAAAAATAGTCCCGATTTTTTTGTTGTTGAGAATGTGGCATATTATTAGCTTCCATCTAGAAAGTATTTTTAAAGGCCCTATTTCAAACAGTCCACCTTCATTCTTGAGTTACGAAAGGCACGAAAAATATCAAGCTTACAAGGGGTATGAATAAGTCATTTGTTAACTGTGGTTATCAAAACTGCGCCTAAGCTATTAATAGTCGCAAGAGATACCTATTGAAACTCCCATTTCCTAATAAAGATAATAGATATGCATAGGTAGTAAAATTAGCAATTGTCATTTGAGAATATATTCATAATGCATCATACACTCACCTCCGAGGCAGAGAGGGTGTTGCCCATGGCAACATGAATCAGAATGGATGATACTGATGCTAGACTGGGTACGACTGGGATAATACTGATGCTATAACTCTGAATCAATCCTGCTTTCTCCAACAAACGCCTCTCAACGGCTCGAATACCTAACATCAAGTGGAATAGAACTTTAATGATTCTCTTTTATGGGCGAGGGGGGGGGGGTTCATAATTGAATAATTGAATACATACACTGAATAATGGATGTAACACTGTAAACATATATCAAATACAAGACCAGGAGAAAATATGCATTTTGTGGTAGGTATGTACCATGGTTACTATTGTGTACTGTATTAGATTGTCATTTAAATTCCCTCGATTAACAATACATTATCTGCAATTACCTTTGCAAGGTTTTATTTCTCCAACATTTACATCGTGACGTGGGTAAGTATCATTCATCTCTTCATCACCATCCTCATCATTAAAATTTAATTAAATTTAAACATTAAATCTTAAAAGGTTTCTTTTTTGGAAAAAACAATTTCCATATTTAACTTTGCTGAGCGTATTTGAATCTTTTATATTCTTTTCTTTCCTTTTCTCCATTACAGCGCAAAGGGACATATTTGTGATATACGATATAAGTATGGCATATTATTATTATCATTATTATCATTATTCATGATCATTATTATTATTTTTATGATCATTATCATCAAGATCGTCATCATCATCATTTTCACTTAACTCACCTGCAATGGTCTTCATGAAGGGTTTCTCCCATGCATACATCTTGATCAGTTTGATGTAGGAGAGTATCTCGTTCATCTTTTTCACTCTCTCATCTGTAACCCTGATGCATCTGATTCTTATCATAGAAACTGCACGCCCTAAAATCATCTTCAAAATGAAAGAACAGATACAGATCTAAATGTAATGCAAATTCCAATTTATTGCTGTTCACAAAAGAGCGTCGCTATCGTCGGGATCTTGTTAACTGAATTTTTCCGAAAATTTGGGCAATAAACAACAACAGAATACAGAATTTCAATGCGCCGACATAGGGTTGATTGTTTTCTTCATGTGCCCGACAGGTATAATGCTAACATAAATGGGGGGGGGGGGGGGGGGGGGGGGAGGAGGTGTCAGAACCTACACCCCTTATAGTGACGCATCTGTTTACGTAGGCCCTCACGGTTCAGCTCTTAAAGGTACCTTTGGGTGCAAGATTAAAGTGTTCTCTAGAGCAGCGCTTTTGAACATGGGTGCCGCGAAAGATGTTTACTAAGTTGCACTTAGAACTTATTTTTGGTACAGCCTCAATTTTATGAAACATTATTAGAAACGGCATATCTTACACTCAGAGACACCAATGACAATTTGTGTTAATAAATTGAATTGTTTTCTCTTCGTGCCATTTCATCTCTCCTAAAACACAGTGACCCGTGTGTGGAATGTCTTACCTGTAATGGGAAGAAGAGGGAGAAAGTGATGACCGTTCCAATGAGAGCACCAGGTCCAATGATGAGATACGTTGCTATGGTAGCAGCTACCAACATCACCAAGGATGAGATGAGGAAGTTACCAATGACGCAAGCATCATTGGCACACACATTGACTATCTGAACAGTACGGACAAATATAAATGAAAATGATATGAAGGAGAAAATGTATCAATCTAAACCTAGCTTCAATCGCCAATGGCGTAATGCAATGTGAATTATATTGTAGGCCCCTACGATGAAATGTTATTGTAAACACGCACAATTCAGCCAATGGCTACAAAGCTACACTGTAAAAAAGAATTTGTTCATTGGTAATTTTTACGTATTTTTTCCATGTAGAATTTACTTGAAAACATTAGTTTTGCCACTTACGCACTAAATTTAAGTCTTGCTAACTCAAACTTTCAAATTAGTAGAACATACGTGGAATATTTAAGTAAAATCAAATACATAAAAACTTAGTAAAGTAATTTCAGCTTGTATTAATTTAGTAATTTTAACTCAAAATCAGAAATTATACGTATTACTCAAACAATTTATGTTGATTATTCTTATCTTTTTAAAGTAAGGACCGATGCAGTGCGTAATAGAAATATTTACATAATTTATGAATATTCATCAAGACCAAATTAAACTCTTTTTTAAATAAAACAATTCTTTTTTGTGGTTGAATGAAAATTTAAGGACTTTAAAACATTTACTAATTCATTTAACATGGCTAAGCAAAGACAAGACAATTTTTAATTGTTACCCAGTTCAAAACAAATCAAAACTTGATATTTCAGGAAATTGTCAACCAATTTTCCTTTTAAGATGCTACGATCAAGTATATATAAAATTTGGAGCCTTTCAATCTGTGTCGAATTGAAGCGTATGTAATAGTTTGTGATGGTGGTAGATATATATATATATATATATACGGTTAAATCTTAAATAGAAGAAGTGAATGATTAGTGGATGTTACTTGTTAGATTAATGTAATATATGAAATATGTAATCCTATCATAGCTTTTTTTTAATTATCTAAAATGATTACAATACTTAAATTATTTACGTTAATGTAACTCGATTTAACTGAATTAAAATTTATTCAGCTAAATAAGTAAATTCTACTTAAGATGCCATAGGTAATATTTACTTAATAAAAATAAGGCAATTCTTTTCCTCAATTTTATTGAGTTATTTCGACTATTATTTTTTTACAGTGTAGTTAGATTTAAACAACTATTTACTTTAATGAATTGAAACGATAAGATTGAGAATAATTTTATTTTTAAGTGTTATAACAACGTTTTAAAGGAAGAACCCTAATTTGTATCGGCAAAAAAGATTGAACATATCCTTTTTTTAAGGTTATCTGCAATTTTTTTCTTCAGAAAGTGGTTTCAAGAGCCAATTGTAGATACGATCTACACTATCATGTGCAGATAAAGGTCATTTGTACAAAAATTGTAAAATCCACTGAGCGAAACGAATACTGGATTTGTGTCTTGAAAGTTTTGTAATCATTATTAATTTATTCACCGACGTCACATTCTCTGATACATAATTGGATATGTTCTTCACATTAGGGCAGACGAAAGGTATTCGTGAAGCACCTCCATCATTTTGGCAGTGATTATTCTGAATTGCACAAAGTGGGGCCTCTCCTTGTATATGAGATCTGTGGATATTTTGGGGTAAACCAAAGCTAACTGCGAACTGGTTTATTCATGACAATCAGTAATCTACACATATGATCAATGAAAAGTAGGTGGTGAATAGTCAGTAAACATCCTTTTAGAGGAGCGACTTTTTCTTTGCCTTCTCAAATTCACCAGTCAGTGGCGAATCCAGGTGTTTTTAAAAAACTAAATTATACCTGGGCCGGGAGTGCACGCGAGTAGTCCTTGTATCCAAAGTCTCTGACAAGCTAACAAATGATTTTCTCAAGCAGGGGACACAGGTATGTATTAAGTAATCTCACAAGGTATTAACAAGTGTTATTTAAGTAATGGTAGTGGCGTTTATCTTTAATGTACTTATTCTAAGTGCATTCATCGACCACTTACTTCTCCTACGCTCCAGTCTTGGAGACTGCGTAGGTATGCCAGTCTACGGAACGCCAATGCCAAGGCGCCGCTCCGTAGCCGTGTAGCCGTCCGACAGCTGAACACCCAGAAGAATACATCGCCACAAATCCTGATGATATTCATCATGAAGATACTGAATACAAGCAGAATACCATACCGTAAATCAACCTCAACAGCCTCAGTGTATGCAAGTAGTTTCCGAACAAGAACAGCCTGGATAGAAGAACAAACAACTAACATAAACATCATTTTAAAAAACATTATGCATGTAAAGGGACGTTTTTGTTGGCTACGTCAGTACCGAAAAGGCTTGAAAATTAAGAATCCATCAGATCAGGGCTCTGTTTCATAAAACCTGTTATCAATAACAAATTCTAAAATGATATGACAAATCTCCTCTCAGCCTATCAAATGCCACTATCTCAGGAGCTTTTGTTATTTATCAAAAAAAAAACTATCATGAATCAGGGCCAAGGTCCACCTACCTACACGATAAATTTAGCCCATTCCCCCCAAGTTGTCAGTCATCATAGTCTTCCTATCAATTGATATCATCCAACGAATTCCTGCAAGCTATTTTTTGTTGTTATCAAAACAATCATTGTTTAAGAATGACATATTCAGTTCACTGCTGAAAAATTAATTTGTTCAGCTTAGATATGGATAATGGAAACACATCCTTCCAAGAGGAGAAACTTACCGAGGTAACAAAGGCAGCTATAGTAGAGATAACTAATGCAAGTAAAGCAACAATCAGTCTCGTTCTAACGAACCTCAGTGCAACCCATCCAAGAGAAGCAGCTTTTTTTCCTTTTCTTTCTACCTCATCTTCCCACAATCTCTCAAACCTGATAAAGAAAAGCAAATCCACTTTAAATAGAACGGATGTGATATCCACATGCATTTCTTCTTAGCCCATCCTAATGTTATAGGCAAAATACCAAAATGCATCATTATCAGTTATCATCACTATTACTTTATTTCCGATGACTTGTTTTCTGTTGTATTTTATTAAATATGAGCGGCGCGAGCACTCTTTGGGTTATTAAGTTACGAATAAATGTCGCCATTCTCCTCTTTTTTTTCTTTTTTTTTCTTCTTCTTCTTCTTCTTCTTCTTCTTCTTCTTCTTCTTCTTCGTCTCCTTCTTCTCCTTCTTCCTTCTTCTTTCATTATGATATTTGTTAAAGGTTGATTACATCACAATACGAATTAAATGAATATTTATTCGGATATGTCTTACATGTATCTTATATTTTAATAGCCAAATCAATAAGTAATTCACCTGCATTCATGGCCCCCCTAAACAAGGTTCAAAATATTAAATAGTACACTTGAAAGGGCAGCACCAGGGGTCATATTCAGTTGTAAATCTGACACCAAAGCTTGGATACGCCCTTGCCCCATCTATCAAACGGGACGAACCTCTTGGATGTGAATGTATTGCTCTATTAATCATCCTGGAATGGATGTGGCTCTAAGGACAAGTCCTGACGTTGAATGCTGACTTGACTTTGCAAAGAACAGTGACCCTTTTATTATAGAGGTCTAAACCAAGTTTACCCACGTAATTCATTTCGCTAAAGACAAATACGGGCAAAACGTCATGTCCAAGAGCCAAGGGAATTCACCAATAACCCACGGCGCTTCCACTTTTCAAAGACCAATTTAAAGTTCCATGGGTTCTACTCAATTAAATGATAACCTTTTCAAGAAAATCTATTTATGGATTACCAAAGGAGACCAGCCATGGGGATTCTACTTGAAACAATTAAACTAATTGTCTCATTTCTATTTTCTAAGATACAAAGGGGTAGACAAGACTTTGGTCTTTTCTAATACAGATCAGGGGCGGGTACAGCCGGCGGCAGGGGCCCAATTATTGAGAAAATATTTAGCGGCGAAACAGCCGGCCGATAATTCGCTCAGTGGGGGGGGGGGGGGGGGGGGGGGGGGTATTGAGCACTATTTGTAACGTGTTTTACACTTTTTTCCCCAGGGGAGGGGGCCGGGCCCCCTGGACAGATTCATACATTATTTTAGAACAGATTCACAGTCCGAAACAAAAATGATAGTAAACGATGCATGCAAAGAGACCACAAGCCTCCTGCACACACCCACACTCATATTGCCATCAATAAGGAGAACGAACTTACACACCTAGACTGTATGCGTTTTTAATTAATGGAGACATGAAGAGAAAGCGATTTACAAAGAAAACGAAGAGAGTGATATGTGGAGAGAAAGAGAAAGAGAGATAGAGAGAGAGAGGAGAGGGAGAGAGAGAGAGAGAAAGAGAGAGAGAGAGAGAGAGAAAGAGAAAGAGAAAAAGAGAAAGAGAGAGAGAGAGAGAGAGAGAGAGAGGGAGAGGGAGAGAGAGAGAGAGAGAGAGAGAAGAGAGAGAGAGAGAGAGAGAGAGAAGAGAGAAAGAGAGAGAGAGAGAATGAGAATGTGATGAGGGGAGCTTCAAGATTCAGTCAAAGTGTGCGATTATACGGGTCACTGCCAGGAACGCAAATGTCAAAGGTCCTATTCATGTTCAGATAAAATTTCATAATAAAATTTTGTTTTTATTACACACGCACCTGCTGTCTTAAAGAAAACCGCATAAGTAAGGTGTTACAAATACTAAATTTGACATTCATTTCCAACACGTGATAGAACTCTTCACACTTAAAGCCCCTCTAAAGTGTTGGGAGTCTCAAATATTTGGTAGCAAAACGTCACTTAAATTGTATAAATATGTGAAAGAAGAAAAACACACTTCTCTAAGGATTTTCAAAATATATACATTATTGAGGCCAATATTTGATGAAGAATACAAAATGTTGTGTTTCTGTTGTACGCAGAAACTTCATCAATATTCGTCTTCAAACACATTTATTAACATAATACTTTCAGATGTGTGTGTTAAATACATACTCTTTTACATCATTATATCATTTAAGTGAAAGTTTGCCATCAAATTGTTGAGGCTCCCGAAACTTTAGAGGGGCTTTAAAGTATTCCTATGATTACCTGCTACATGAAACGAAGATGAGACATGTATTAGAAAAGGTTCCCGAAATAATAACTATTCAAAGACATGTTTTTCCTTTCATAGATCGGGGTGTTAAACTCCATAGATAGATCAACTACTGGCAAATTTTCCTATTTGTGAATTTGGAAACATGTAGTAAAGAGGGAATCGGATCTTTTTCTAACATGCATTATTCATACAATATACAAAACACCATCTACATAATAATAATAATTATGATAAATATTCCGCTTTTATATAGCGCCCAATACATCGATACAACGATGTGTCTAAGCACTTTACAGATGTATCATAATCAGTATATAATTTTTCGTCTAAAATCATTTTAAAGCTATATTGGGGTTTACAAACCAATTCAATTGGACATCAAGCGTAGAAATACAATGCACTAGTCGGACTGCCACTTTTCCCACGGATCTTACAAAGTAAAGTATTACTTAAGGAGCTCATCCAAAGTATGTTTTATGAAATATGACAATAATAGAAAAGAAACATTGCCTAACTCTCAGTTTATTTCTCCCAGCAGGGGAATTTTTTATATAGGTCACAGACGACTCATTAAAAATGAGGACAATAGATCCTACATTTGTCTTGGAGCCTAGAAAATGGATTCTGAGTGATTAGAGCGCACTAGGCTGCCTGATAAATGTACTCAACAATACCAGACTGCTCAACCAAATAGAGAGAGAGAGAGGGGGGGGGGGGGTGTCAGACGGATAATAAATGAGAGATAAAAAGAGTAAATGAGAGATGAATCCAATCGTGAGTTGTTAGGTGGCAAGAAGAGAAAGTGGAGGGAGAGGGTGAGGCTGCGGGAAGTTATGGTGGGGGTAAGTTACTAAAGAAAAAGAGAGTTAGGAGAGAGGGGCAGAGGGAGAAATAGAAAGAAAGGTATTCATGTGTAGGCAGGGGCAGGGGGCTGAGGAGGGAAGAGGTACAGAGGTAAATTAAAGGGGAGAGACGACCAATTGATGATGCAGGGGATATTTAAAACATTAAAACAGGGGGAGGGGATGGTAGATTTGAATTTGAATTTGAATTTATTAACAACAACACATCACAATAATGACAGTACATATGAACAATCATATAATGCAAAGAATAATACTGATACATGTATACATAACACAAGAATAATGTCGATTGAACAGTAATGGTTTTAAAACGATATTTTTTAGACATACATCTGCATACTATTAAATGTACAAAAGATATATACGTAAATATGTATATTACTATGTTTAGGTGAAGTTGTTAATGGGAACTAGAAGTTAGCACAAGTGCTAGTCGAGCCTAGTTCCATTCTTTGGCAAAAATTTTTTTTTGTTAATTTGTTTTTACATATGAATGTAAAACTTGTTTGTTTTGTATTTACATATATACAACAAAATAATACAATATCATGTAACTTTTTTTCTTTACTAAAATGAAAAAATAAAAATAAAAAAGCTTAAGCGTTAAAGCATTATAATGAAAGAAGACAAATCTTTGAAGAAATAAAATCATCAATGTGTTCATAAAAATGAAAAGGATGTATTAATAAAAATAATCATACACATGTACGTACATGCACAAATCCTGTAAAAGCTTAAGGCCGCTATAATCGTTAACAAGGAAGTGTATACATATATAAAAGGAAGACAAGTAATATAAAAGGAAAATACGAAGGGGATGGGATTGAGCCCACGTCATTTACATAGAAGGTAGGTGGAAAGATGTCTCCGAAAAGATAACCTTGATGTTTTTAATCTAATTTCATCTGGCAGATCATTCCACAGCTTTGTTCCTACAAACGAAATACAAAATTGCCCTTGCGTTGTCTTACATTTTGGTTGATACAGTAAGCCACTTTCTTTTCTCCTAGTTGCATATCTGTGCTGTATCATCTGACAATAATCCACTAAAGAGTGTGGTAAAAAACCTTTTACCAAATCATACATAAATGTTGATACAAGAAGTTCATGAAGTTGAAAAATATTTAAAATGTTTAGACTATGAAAAAGAGCTTTGGAGTCTGTTCTAAGTGGACTGAATGTAATTGCTCTCATTGCCATTTTTTGACTTAAATATATACAATTTAGATTACTTTTGTAAGTGCTCCCCCATACTTCTACTCCATAAGAGAGGTGAGGCTGTATAAAAGCCTTATATAATAACACAAGTATATTCTTGGGAACAAAATGTCTCAGTTTAAACAGAATACCTACTTTCTTTCTTATGCATTTGTTTATTGTCTGAATATGTTCTTTCCATGAAAGGTGACAATCAATTTCAATTCCTACAAATAATGCAACAGATACCTCTTTAATATCTGATCTTGATATTCTCACAGATCCCTTTTTGTCTATTGATCTACCTATAGATTTCATAATCATATAGTTTGTTTTCTGTAGGTTAATTGTGACTTCATTTGCATTACACCATTCCTGCACCTTCATTAAATTTTCACTTACAATTTCTAAATCAATTTCTTTTTGTCTAGGATTAAAAGTATGAACAAGATTTGAGTCATCAGCAAATAATCTGAAATTGAAAAAGTTTGTGGAGTTAGGTAAGTCATTTATATATAGTAAAAATAATGTTGGTCCAAGAACGGAGCCTTGAGGGACACCGCATGTTATATTCAATTTCAAAGACATTTTGTCTTTATATTGTATAAACTGTGATCGTTTACACAAATAATCTTCAAACCATTGCAAGGCTAACCCACGTATTCCATAGTGTGACATTTTTTGAGGAGAATGCTGTGGTTTATAGTATCAAATGCCTTTTGAAAGTCAATAAAGATGCCAACTGTTGTTCTACCCTCATCAAAGTATTTCAATAGTGTATTTGCAAGATGTTTCTTACGGAAACCATACTGGTGTTGAAACAAGATATTGTTTGCTTCCAAATAGTCAATTACACGATTATTTATTATTTTCTCAAAGATTTTACCCAGTATAGGTAAAACTGAAATAGGTCTGTAATTACCAGCTAGATCGATTTGCCCCTTTTTATTAATAGGTCTCGCTTTTGCTACTTTCAGTGCGTCTGGAAATTTACCTCTTTCTATGGAAAGATTGAAAACATATGTTAATGAGCTTGAAATGGATAGGGCAGCATCCCTCAACATTCTTGCTGGCAAATTATCATAGCCACATGCTTTTTTTGTATCTAAAGTCTGTAAGTGGCATTTCAATTCATTCTCTGTTATTGGTTTTAAAAATAGTGATGTTTCTGTTCTATATCCTAAATATTCTGTAAAGTCAGAATTCACTGGTGGTATTTCCTTTGCCAGCTTTGGACCTATGTTTACAAAAAAGTTGTTAAATTCGTTAGCTATTTCATTGTCAGAAGTTATCCCTCTATTTTCTCCACCACCTGAGCTTAATAATTTCTCTACATTGGTCACTTTATTTTTGACATTTCCACCACTCAACAACTCGTTAATTGTTCTCCACGTTTTACGACTATCATTCTTATTAATGAAGAAGAGGTTACTATAATATTGTCTCTTTGCATTTCGTAGAACTGTAGTTAGAACATTTCTATACCTCTTGTATTCTTCCTCGTCTTTCTGTTGGAAATTTGATGCCTTTAGTTTAGAATACAACTTGTGCTTTTTCTTGGCTGATTTTAAAATAGCATTAGTCATCCATGGTTTTCTTCCAGCATTTTCCCCCTTTTTTAGGTTCTTCGAAGTTGATGATATAATTGGTGCATGCTTGTCACAGACTTGCGTAACTAAGTCGTAAAATACAGAGTACGACTCATTTAATTTTGTACAACCACTTACATTGTTCCAATCAATTTTACCTAGATCATCATGGAATTTATTAATATCATAATTTCTGAAGGTACGAAACACAGACTTTTTGTGGCTTGTTTTACTTGCCTTTCTAAGATGCTCAAATGCAACAAAGATAGGGAAATGATCTGATATATCAGTTTCTATAACTCCAGCATTAATAGAAGAAATTGTTACATTAGTGTACACATGGTCAATAAGAGAGGAAGTTGTTTTAGTTACTCTTGTTGGTGAAGTGATTAGTTGCTGCATACCCAAACATTGTAAAGAAGTTAAAAATTGTTCTGCTTTCATATCTATTCCTTCCTTGTGTAGTACATTAATGTTAAAATCTCCAAGTAAAACTACATTTGCTTTATCAATTTTCAATCTTTCTAATGTTACCAGCAAAGAGTTTTGAAATTGATCAATATCAGTATTGGGCTTACGATAAATAATACCTACAGTAATTTTCCTACCATTCAGGTCAGTTTCTAACCAGAGACTTTCTGTGTGAGTGACTTCATGGTCAAGAATAACATATTTTAATGAAGAGTGAATGTAAGCTCCAACTCCTCCACCCCTTTGTGCCACCTGTTCTACACTTTACCTCAAGGACATAATGATTTAAACCTAAAATACCTTTGTTTGAAACATTCCACACTTCTGATATTAAGGCAATTATATCAAATTTTGTTTTTAATGTATCTTCATATAACAAATTTAGATTATCAAAGTTCTTATTAAGAGATCTGATATTAACATGTTAAATACAGAATGAATGTAACATTTGCTCTGATAATGTATTATCAAATAAATGAGGGCTAACATTATGTGATTGAATCACAGATGTCTCATTTTGTTCCATTTAAATAATAAAACATTTGTTGATCATAATATTTATAAGTCATTTACATTATGGAGAGTTTAAAATCTTCATATTTGATGTGATTTAGCCCAACATCAAACAAGTCATCAGGTGTTTTGATGACTTTGAAGGAGTCATCCTGCATTTTGCAAACGATATTCCCATTTTTTGTGGAAATATTTTTAACGAGTGGAGAGTTTTTTTGCGCTTCTCAGCACAGCATATCGCAGATAATTAGTATAATAAATAAATAAAAATAAATAATATTGGCATTTATATAGCGCTCTATGATTAGAAGGGTTGTAATAATTAGTAATGACTAAAGTAAAAGTAGTTTTTCCCGGCCAATTTCGCAGCTTTTCCGTCCATTTGATGAAACATCTATTCAATTTAGCGCAAACACTCATTTTCAGCGGGACTGTTATTCAATTTAGCTTTTTGGGCACGGGATTATGCACTTTTATCATTCAAATTAATCCCGTCTAGCGCATGTGCTAAGATTCATTCGATTCTGCATAGACCGGTTTACTAACATATTCAAATTTGTAAATTTGTATGCATACTGTTTAACGAAAGGTAGTTCTTGACAACCCAAAAGTGTACCCGACACTATGAACATGACGGACAAAGAAAGAGGACAAAATATACAGTTCCTCAGGTAGACAAGGGAACATCCCTTCACTGCTATTATGTAAAAATGTGTAGAACAGGTGTCACATGCATATTCACCTGTTTGACTCATTTTTACATAATAGCAGTGAAGGGATGTTCCTTTGTCCACCTGAGGAACTGTATATTTTGTCCTCTTTCTTTGTCCATCATGTTCATAGTGCGAGGCATGCCCGATATCGCAACAAGTAATTTATGCAGACTGAATTATAAGAATTGTAGTTCTTTTTTTAAAGGTGAAATTCAAAGAAAATCACAAATATGTCAGCTAATGTATTACTAGAAACTGGTAAGCTAACAGATGGCCATTGTACAAGTTTTAGGTCAACTACATATCGGGTGATTTATAAAAATACAAATACAACCACATCCATCGCGGTTGGGATATACGAGAGATTCGCCGGAAAAATAACGATGTTTTAATGACGTCACTATATGGACCAATACTGCCCAAGCAGACGACATCTCATAAAGAATGAACATAATTGCAAAGCTATTATTTGTCAAATTATAATGAGTTTAGTGTTTATAAATGTAATGGCATGTCAAACCATTCAAAAGGGGATAGGACCTGATTCTGATAACTAAAATCTTTTGCTTGTAAATACACATGATAGGGGTTAATTAACAATCAAAGAAACCAGACGTTTAATTGAAAAAAAAACCGTAATGACAGTAAGGACGGCATTTGTTCCCTCTTGAAATGCCGAACATACAGCGGTATGTGCAGCTGAATATACAATGGCGTCTTATTTTGTTTACAAGCGACAGATTCCTTTATTTTTGTATCGCTGCATTTGTCATCAAAATAAAACCATGAGCGGGGTTTAGAGTGAGGCAATAGAGTATTCATTTAGCCTGACGGTAGTGAAGTAAGAGTAAGAACTCAAGAAAAGATGAAAACACAGGCACTGAAAATGTGTGAGATGTCATGGGACATCGTCTGCTTGTGCAAATCATGTCCATACTGTGATATCACACATCTCAGCAGGGTTCGGCGAGCTCTTCAGGTGCTATGCCGGGTCTGTATTCAAGCGTTTTGTCATTTATAATAATTATTACTTCGAATGTTTCCAAGCATTGAATTTTGATAACCTCGTCGAATCAAAGTTTCAACTTAACAATAATGAAAATATAGTTAGTTTTTAAAATCAATGAATATCTACTTTAATAACCGGCTAATGGAACACCTCGTCACTAGGTCCCCAGGAGAGAAACATCCCTACATTTGAATATGTCACTCAGTAAACCGGCCTATTGAATGAATGCTTGATATTCATGACGAAAAGCGTGCATAAACATGAATTTGAATGAGAAACATAATTTGTCTGACTTAAACACGAATTGGAATGCACAGATGACGGATTTGAACTATCCAATAGGAAGGCAGGGTTGAAATGTAATAAATTGAATGGACGCAATATTAATTCGATTAGTAAAGTTGCGAAATTGGCCTGGTAATCCTACAGTAATTAATAATAACAGTAATTACCCATCTAAGATAGAAACATGATTACAAATCGCCATCGTCATCATCATTGTCACACTTATCCTCACCATCGTCGCCATCGTCATCACTATCATCGTCACCATTATCATCACCACGTCATCATCACCATCACCATCGTCATCATCATCATCATCATCACCATCCACCTCGTGTTTCACCTCATCCTCATCACCATTCCCCATCGCATCATACCTCCACCTACCTCTTTCCATTGATCTCGCCTCTATCGTTATCAGATATAGTCCAAAGGTCTCCATACTCCAGGGTGCTCTTGTAAGCCTTGTAGAACAACGGTGACATCCAACTCATCCATACATATGAAAGAAACCCACTTTGATCTAATGGAGAGGGTTCCTGCGACCTGGACAAAATGATAACATAACTCAGAAAAGTTAATCACGTAGGGTGCTAAACTAATCTTAACTCACAATTCCTACTTCATAATTGACCGTAAACCTTCTTAATACACTTTCAAAAAATACCGACCCGGATCCCGGGTCTGAAAAAAAATAATTCAGGTCTTGTTGGTTTCTTATTTTCAAAGGTATATCACATGATCATTAGCAGAGTAATAAAACGATAACATTTGGTATTGGTCTAAATATTTTTTGAAGAATATAAGCAATCATGGATCGAATATCACATCACTGATTTATTTTGGTTTTGTTTAATGAGCGCAAACTTTGGATACCCCATCATATATATACATGAAAGTTTATGACCATTTGATCGTGAATTGACTTGCTACCTCAAAAACATACCCCTTATTATCCCCTTTTCAAATCCGTGATCATTTTAATGTTTGCGAACATCCACGAAAATTTCCCCTGTTTGCGCAAAAAAGCCGCCGCGACTTTGTTTAACACAAATGCCATTACGAACTGCTACGAACGCCGTACGAACGATTTTCAGACAATGGAAATTCGGGAAGACAATTGAAAAACAGGGAGATTCGTACCAAATTATCGTTCTTACGAACATTTGTGACCGTAGCATAACGTGTATTTATGAATGACAACTGCACGCAATAAAGGACTCTCGTAAATACGGGAGTTTACAGATAGCACATGGTACAAATGACCCCAAATATCCACAGATCTTTTACACATGGAGAAGTTCCACTCTGAGCATCTAATACCCCATTCACAGTGGTTTTGAAATTTGTAGCGGCGTTGTAGCGGAGCGGCGACACCGCCATAACACCGCTACAAATGCATTCACAGTAGAAAAGTTATCCCGCTGCAGCAGCGGGATAAATATCATGTACCCATTCACGGTGCAGCGGGTGATTTTTATTACCTCCGTAACAAACACGTGTATGCATGGCTCATGACCCGCGAGTGACCCCGATATGACCAGAAAAACTTCAGCGCGGGGTTTTCGATTGCTTGAAATTGCGCGCGCTAGCTGTACTTTACACACTCTTCCTCATGTAGCTAGCTCGATGAGGCAAGCTTGCAAAAGGTAAACATGTCAAGTTGCTTTTTGTATCCTCGATCATATTACTTTTTAAAAAACTAGCATTTTTATTGCTTCCAGTCAGAATATTTTAATTTTTTGAAGTATGAAACATTTTTATTTGGATAATTATAATATCTACATAATAATAAAATCAATTTGAATCCACTGGTTACTTTATTTCTATTTCACTTTATGTTCCCCATTGCTGGAGAAAAGAGGTCAGTGATAGGTAAGTAAACAAATCACACGTGTTTGTCGCGGTGTTATAGCGGAGAGCCTTCACACTGAGTAAACACCGCGACAGCAGCGGGACTGTCCCGCTGCTGTAGCTAAGCGAACCTAGCGATAGTTTGTCGCGGCGTTATCGCGAGGCGGTGTTATCCCGCGATAGTTTATAACGGGTCCGAGCCTTCACACTGAAGACAACACCGCGACAGCAGCGGGACAGTCCCGCTGCTGTCGCGGTGTTTGAGGCCACTGTGAATGGGGTAGTAGAAAAGTTATCCCGCTGCAGCAGCGGGATAAATATCATGTACCCATTCACGCTGCAGCGGGTGATTTTTATTACCTCCGTAACAAACACGTGTATGCATGGCTCATGACCCGCGAGTGACCCCGATATGACCGGAAATACTTCAGCGCGGGGTTTTCGATTGCTTGAAATTGTATCCTCGATCATATTACTTTTTAAAAAACTAGCATTTTTATTGCTTCCAGTCAGAATATTTTAATTTTTTGAAGTGTGAAATATTTTTATTTGGATAATTATAATATCTACATAATAATAAAATCAATTTGAATCCACTGGTTACTTTATTTCTATTTCACTTTATGTTCCCCATTGCTGGAGAAAAGAGGTCAGTGATAGGTAAGTAAACAAATCACACGTGTTTGTCGCGGTGTTATAGCGGAGAGCCTTCACACTGAGTAAACACCGCGACAGCAGCGGGACTGTCCCGCTGCTGTAGCTAGGCGAACCTAGCGATAGTTTGTCGCGGCGTTATATCGCGAGGCGGTGTTATCCCGCGATAGTTTATAACGGGTCCGAGCCTTCACACTGAAGACAACACCGCGACAGCAGCGGGACAGTCCCGCTGCTGTCGCGGTGTTTGAGGCCACTGTGAATGGGGTAGTCCTAGATGTACTTCATGAATACCTTTTGTTTGCCCTCTTGAAAAAATACTTCCACCTGCGTATCTAATACCCCATTCACAGTGGTTTTGAAATTTGTAGCGGCGTTGTAGCGGAGCGGCGACACCGCCATAACACCGCTACAAATGCATTCACAGTAGAAAAGTTATCCCGCTGCAGCAGCGGGATAAATATCATGTACCCTTTCACGCTGCAGCGGGTGATTTTTATTACCTCCGTAACAAACCCGTGTATGCATGGCTCATGACCCGCGAGTGACCCCGATATGACCGGAAATACTTCAGCGCGGGGTTTTAGGGTAAACATGTCAAGTTGCTTTTTGTATCCTCGATCATATTACTTTTTAAAAAACTAGCATTTTTATTGCTTCCAGTCAGAATATCTTAATTTTTTGAAGTGTGAAATATTTGTATTTGGATAATTATAATATCTACATAATAATAAAATCAATTTGAATCCACTGGTTACTTTATTTCTATTTCACTTTATGTTCCCCATTGCTGGAGAAAAGAGGTCAGTGATAGGTAAAGCCTAAAAAAAAAAATTGATGACTTGGCGTAACGGGTCACTGAAAATTAGGGTAGGTAGGGCGATTTTTTTTTTTTTTTTTTTTTGGTTGTTGTTGTTGTTGTTGCTTATATTTGCATACATGAAATTAGCCATTCATTCACATACATACATACAGTGGCGTAGATAGGTCCTCAGACCTTGGGGATGATCTGATGAGAGGGGTAGACCACAATATGTTCAAATAACTCCACGCACACACACACACACATATATGGACACACACACTGTGTGAGCAAAGTGAGCAAGAAATTGTTGAAATCTTGATCACCTTGGGACCTGGGGGATGAATACATACACCTGCCCCCCCCCCCCTCTGCATACATACATGTACATGTACATACACCCTCATGCACATAAAATGCAAACATACGAACGCATTAATAGGTTTCCAACAGACCCCAGCCTGAGATATCTCAGACACTGTCTTCAACAGGATAAACAGGTGAATATGTAGGTTTAGAAGGGGCTGTTCACAAATATTAGTATTTTCACAATGTATTGACTAGCATTTTATAACTTGTCTAGAGGTTAACATGTTAACATGTTAACATGTATCCAAAATCTTGAAGAATGAGGGTTGAAAAGAGTAGCCAATTACAACTTGTGAAAATATTTACAATTGTGAATGGCTCTGTAATAACAAACAGTTAAAAAATGTCTCCAGTATTTCAGAATCCTTTATCAAAAAAAAAAAAAAAAAAAAAAAAAATCAAAAAAAAAAGCGTAGGGTCGGCGATAAAAATAGGGTCGGGCGGGTTACGCCAAGTCATCAATTTTTTTTTTTAGGCCTAAGTAAACAAATCACACGTGTTTGTCGCGGTGTTATAGCGGAGAGCCTTCACACTGAGTAAACACCGCGACAGCAGCGGGACTGTCCCGCTGCTGTAGCTAGGCGAACCTAGCGATAGTTTGTCGCGGCGTTATCGCGAGGCGGTGTTATCCCGCGATAGTTTATAACGGGTCCGAGCCTTCACACTGAAGACAACACCGCGACAGCAGCGGGACAGTCCCGCTGCTGTCGCGGTGTTTGAGGCCACTGTGAATGGGGTATAAGAATGTACCGTTGGTGCATAAATGAATAATGTTACATAACTTTCATGAGCGCATATCCAGTATTCTTCTCTGGTGGGTTTTACCTTTTTGGTACAAATGACCTTTATCTGCCCATGCGCAGATTGTATCTGTAAACTCCCTTATTCACTGAGCTCTGTGATATAAGATGCGTAAATGTGACCTTATGTACTCAAGTCATGTTTAAAAATCCGCCGCGGTTTTGCCGCGTCATGTCTGAACGACCCCTTACGCGGAATTTCTGACTATTATGCTTACACAATGTCAATATGAAGTGATACCAAAGTAGTGATACCAAAGTAGTGATACCACCGGAATTCAGGTATACATTGTGCCAGTCGAACTATGACCTACCGCATGACATTGGACCTTTAGATACGCCTACATGTACCTCTAGTGATACGAATATGAATTATGAGGCTCATGCTTTTGATAACCCTTCATGGGAAAGTAGTGACGAGGTAGTCCATTAACCTGTTATTATAAGATGATGACGTGGATCCTAATCAAAATGATTGGTCGAGAGCGTATACGTGACCAGGCATTTGTTTTGCCTAACGCGTAATTTCGATAATGACTGGTCATTATCTAATGGTAATGACCGGTCATTAGTAAAATCATGTAATAAAACATCATTTTATAAAACAAATAAAACATAATCTTATAAAACAAATAAAACATAATCTTATAAAACAAACAATACACATCATTTTGTTCGGGCATTCGTAAAATTACCCACACTCGTTACCTTCAAAACAGCCGACACACCCTCGGCTATCGCCTCGGGCGTGTTAGACTGTTCCAAAGGTACCTTGTGTGGGTAATTCTTACTAATGCCCTCACTGCTGTGTATTATTTGTATATTAATGAATGAACATACTTGGAATCCAGTCTGCTTACTTTATATGTTACTATGTTGGGCAAGCATCTGGCAAGCTTTTAGGTTGTCAAGAACAACCTTCTTTAAAAAGTATGCATACAATTTGAATATATTAGTAAACCGGTCTGTTGCCGATGTCTCTCTTGTAATGTAGTGCAAACATTAAAGACGTATGTATATACGTCTTCGTGAAGCGCCACGATGCGAATTATTTATTTCACCTGTTACGAATAATTGTATTCAATCAATAGTCAGAATGCGAATTGCATATATTATGTGTTGTTAGGTAGGGCGGCATACCCATAATGTTCTTTCCTACCTAGCAACATCTGATAAATGTATATTTTCTATGACTATTGATATTATTGTTGGTGAATAAAATTAGGACGTATGCATTAAATATTGTTACATTACTAAAATGACATATTGAATTGCGCATAGTGTGTTACATGCATGACTTATTCACCGTTGTGCAGTGTTTATAACCATACATATACATGATATAATTAGTTCATATACATGTAGTAAAACTATCGTTTGGAATGACTAGCCTATACGCATCTGGTATCGATACTTTTAAAATCCTATAGTCATTCCACCTAACTTGATATACATGACTTATTTTCGATGCATGACTATATCTTTGTTTACTGTCAACTCAAATATTATTTTATTGATTTTTGTATGAGTGTATTATGTTAATATATGTGTATCGCAATATCATGTAAAACGATGAATTTCCATTGTTAAATGGACAATAAAGATGAACCATATAACCTTATGATTGATTGCTTGATTCATATTCCATGCAAAATTAACATAGCATAAGACATTTTGCTGAACATTCCCATTTCTTTAAGTAACATGGAAGCAAATCATAATAATTAACGACATGCAAGAGTGTTCAGTAAATCATTAAATACGGAAATGGAAAGTGAACTTAATCAAAGCTGGATTCGGTTGCATGAAGGCTCACTGCATTAAACTACTGACTTAATACCATAAATTATATTTGAGCACAGGATTGAAACATTCCAAGATGTAGAATATATAATCTGTCGATAACTGAATCAAAGTTCGATAACTGAAGCAAAGTTCGTTCCAACTTTCCTATAAACGTTCGCAAAGTAGAAACGGAAAACAAGGTGAGCCTATCTTCCGCAATACAAAAGATAAGATCCTGAGAAAAAGTCTAGTGTGATCCTCCAGCTGTCCAGAAAATATATTATTTCATCAACAATTCTACCGAATGTAAAGACTTGTGAAAGTTAAGAACATCTTGTGTTTTAATGCTATTGAGAGGGAGATAAAATGGGTGTCACATTTTCGATGCAATGGACACATTAGTGCTTTTTATTACGTATTGGCGCTTAAGCAAAGTTTGCCTATATCTGTATAATGGCAGTAAAATGAGGGATGCAGAATTAACTTTGAGGGAAATTAGCAGAAAAATTATGGAACATATAAAAGTATCATATGTTAAATATTACGGATAACCAAGTGTGCGTAGAATTTTGTCTTGTTAATTACGACGCATAGTTACAGAAAATATATCGTTGGAAATTCAGAGTACTAGTTATATTGTTTGTACATTTGATTCGTAAAAATACTCTCCCTTTTTGTTGTTTTTGTTGAAGGAACACACAGATGTCAAATTATATTTCAAGAGTAAATGATTTAGAATGAGATTTTTTGGGTTATTTTACGTAAACAACGGGTTTTCCCAGTGTTTTCACACGTACATGGTTGAGTTATACTAATATTCCCCATAATTTCGTCATCACTTTAAGCAATTCATTTCTTCCCTTTTCCTTTTCCTAATCATTTAGCCTATTGTATTTTTTTTTCTCTCTGACTCTTTTGGTGTTTTAAGCCTCCAATAAGAAATAAACAATAAACAAAGAAATAATAAGCATTTACTGCTGGAGAGAAGTGACCTTCTTTTGCCATAATAACTTATCACCAAATAGATGTACTTATGCATAATCATGTACCAAAACATATGAAGAGATATACTGTGTAAAGATAAATTTGGCATGCACCAAAATAAGGTTATATCCTGATTTCCTTTGATTAACCTTCCACGAACATATCGGTGATAAACTCACGACCTCAAATATCAATAGTTTGCTATCTGACATACAAAACACAGTATAGAGTGTATAGACTAAACATTGGTCCTTTGACACCTAAAAATATCATCACTACTAAACTGATAGCTGAATATAAATTTGTTTTCGCTTTTGCTATCATATCCCCATCGCCAAGCATGTATGTCATTATTTTGGTTCACTTTACAAGTATACACTAACTGAGTCATCATGATTTAGTTGACAATCAAATTATTATAAATTCTGAAATTCACACAATGATGATTTTGATCATAGCGGTTGTAAAAGCATTTATGTGATGTACGAGGCATATGTATGCTCTTTAGAAATCATAAACCTGTCTTTAGTTTGGCAACCAGTATTTCATTACTGACCAAGGATTCCTAATCCATGTTTAAATCAATCAGTCTTTCTTCTTTAACAAACAATGACAAAACAGATATTTGTTTAAACTTGTTCTACATTATCCAAAGAAAGATAAGACATGTAATAAACAAGTTTTTAAAGTAAATAATCATTTTAATGAAAAGTTAATTATCATGAGCCAGTCAACGTATTACGGATTACAAAATTTAAGCGTTATTGTTTTAATATCAAGTCTTGGGAATCAAATTTCGAATTTATTTCGAAATTATTTGACGTACCTTGGTTTGAGCCTGATTGGAATGAGTAACTTGAGACTGTCTTTGTATTTGTTGGTTGTAGCCCTTGTTTGACAGGGTCTTGTCAATAGCCCGGTGATGATATGACTAGTCTCCGGGTCACACTCAATAGGGGCTCGCTGGTTCATCGTCTCATCTGGATATGGATGGGGAAATGTAATAATGATTATAATGATAATAATATCAATGACAATATGATAACAATAATAATAAAAACGGTGCTTATAGAGCTCTTTCCACCGAAGTAACTAAGCGCTAAATACGAGATCATAGCTTATATAAAGATGATAAGATGATGATGATGATGATAACACCACCACCACCACCAACAACAACAACAACAACAACAACAACAGCAACAATATTGCTATTACAACTATCACTAACAATGACGATTAAAATGATAATAATAATAATAATAATATAATGATAATAATAATAATAATAATGATATTTATGGTAACTATAATACTAATACTGCTACTACCAATCACAACCAGAATACTAATAAAGAGATAATGATAATAAATGATAATCATGATAATTATTGCAAAAAATGGAATGTTCATAAATGTCTGCCCATACATACATAAAGTACCAAACAACTGCAACTAAAAAGGGATAGTCAGAGAGAGAGAGAGAGAGAGAGGATTCTCAGACAACGACTAACAATAAAAGCGGAAGATTTTCGAGGTATTAAAAGTAGGTGCACACAGGCGCGTATGCAGGGGAGGGGAGGGGAGGGGGGTGGGGGTTAACCCCCCTTTGAGTTTTTGTTATGTGTATGTTTTTTTGTGAAACCCCCCCCCCCCCTTTTTTTTTTTTTTTTTTTTTTTTTTAATACAAAAAAAAAAGTGTCCGCTTACCCCCCATCCCCCCCCCCCACACTGAGCGACTTTTCGGCCGGCGCGATTTTCAAATTTTCGGGAGCAAATTTTGGGCCCGATTTTAAAACCCCTCCCTTGAAAAAAATCATGCGTAAGCCACTGGGTGCACATTTTTGAGTAATGGTCCTTCAACAAGAAAAAAAAAGTCCTCCTTCTTCCTTAATGTCTTGTGTCTGCTAACGTAGCTAAATATACTTTTATATCCTTTTATGTGATACATGTACATATACATTTCTACGACATATATCGCAACTTTTATTGCATTAAAAACACAAGGGGCAAATAAAAGAAAAAGGTTAATTGTTGTTCGTCACCTCTCTTCAGTTTGTGTTGCTATGGAAATGAACGCTCTAATCTTTCCATGGCAAGCATTCGTGACTTGTTATCACATCCCTTTGCAAGATTTCAGAGGTTGAAAGAAGCTTGCCTCCCCCTTATCTCTCTATCTCACTCTTCTTCCTGTCGCTATGGAAATACTCAAATCATTTTACATTTCAAGCAATCTTGGTTTGTATTGCACCCCCTTAACGGTAAAAAACAATAATATTGAAAGACACGTACAAAATGTTGTCCCTTTCTCTGCACTTTTCTTTTCTAATCTCTGTATCGCTCTTTACGATTTTGGCAGTAAAGAATATTATGACTTTTATTGTATCATTGTAGGACAAAACATCTGAAGAATCTCCATACATAATTCATAATTTTCTACCCCATTTCCGTTCGAGTTGCTATGGAAATGAACAGCAGCCCTATTTATGACTCTAACAGCATCTATTTGTACATATGTAAGTTGGACAAAATTATTCCTCTTATTGGTTATCATATTTGTCATAAGGTGAAAACTGTATAACAATTTTTAAAAATTAAAACAGTAGTGGCCTCCATGCATTTAAAATGTTCAGAATTTTGATACGGCACCTTTTGATTATCTCTACCTATTTGACTAGACAAAATGGTTTTGAGTTACTTTGCTATATGATTTCCTTCCTGAGTTTTTAATACAAAAGACCAGTTAACTAATATATCGAAATATATTATCTTTTCTGGGGACCTAGTGGCGATGTATTCCATTCATTAACCTATTATGAATGAATGGACTACAATACTAGGAATCCAGTCTGCATATATTATCTGTTGCTATATCTGGCAAGCTGCGGGCAAGCCTTCAGGTTGTCAAGAACAACCTTTGTTTAAAAAGTATGCATAATATTTGAATATGTTAGTACATTGGTCTGTCTCAGGCACCGGGCACTGACTGATTCTTGCTGAAAATTATACACAAAGAGCATCACACAGAAATGAGCACATTCGACGAAACACGTATGTGGTATTAAGATTTAGGAACAAATATTGTTCACCTTTGTCAGAATCATCATCATCATCATCATCACCATCATCATCATCATCATCTTCATCAATATCATTATTACTATCATCCTCATCATCATCATTATGATCCATATTTCTATTTACTCTCACCTGGTGAATTACATTTCATTGCTGGTAACCTTCGAGGAGCAGAAATTATATCCACTTTCTCTTCCTCATTTATGCCCTCATATTGGACATCAATGCCACCATCCTTTCTTTGAAAACCTTTAGCCATATTCAATCTGAAATGAGAATCAAAGAACAACCGACCAAACACTTATTGCATGATTCCTTGCAGCCATGATTTACAGAGTCACGACTATTGCATGAGTTATATTATTCCGCGTTCACTCCTGGTAAACGATATTTAGCTATTTAAGAGTAAATAGTCCTGTGGCGGTTGAAGAAAAATAGACAAGTGAACAAGAAATAATAAAAAAATATACCGTCTCGTACGGTTGTTGGTTATTTATTGCGTAAATTGCCTATTTAGAAACATGGATAACAACAGGTAATCCCTGCCTCATGCAAAAAAAGCTGTTTTGAGTATTCTTTAACATTCCTTTTCTAAGGTTAGCCTTGTCATTAAATCATTCAAAATGGACACAAATGTTTGGGGTGCTTTTTTTTCTCATGAAAGTCTGCCGTCAATACATGTACCTTTGGTGGTTATAAACATGTCTTCTTTATGGCATTTACTAAGTCTTTGAGGTAAGTAAACATCTGAAATTTCATGTGCTGTTCGAATAGCCACCCTACGCTTATGCATGTGTAATAGTAAACCGGACGAAGGGCAGAGAGAGATACCATGAGTCATATCAAGAAATAGTGGACTCTTTACAAATAATTTAGTGACTCCTGACCCACATTTGGTGAATCAAACCAAACTTGGTAAAGGAGATATTGATGACACTTTTTAAATTCCTGGTGTCCAGCCATCCGCGGCATAAAAAATATAAAAAGGGTATCACTAGACACAAAAAATGTTACTTTTTACCTAAAAATAGATTTTAAGGTCAGTTTGGTTATGACTATTTAATCATTAGCTACGAATGTTGTGTCTCATTTTTGATAAGCAATGTACTAACATGGCCAATTGTTTACTCCAAAGCCATACTCAACAGGTCTTCAACTAACATGCCGTTTGTTGAAATACAGTGTTTTATGAATGTGGAGCGGCGGGGAAACAAACTAGAGCAGAAGACACAAAAGAGACTCACCTGTAATTGTATGTAGGTCACATTGAGTCGTCTTTACTTCAAGCCGAGCTGATGAGCTGTGATCGAGGTTCATCGCTTGCATATCGTCTTCAAATTTCTCTTACAGAGAGCAAGCGCAAAAGCGGGCGCTAGATCTAAGGCAAAGCCAGTGCCATTGATTATGAGATTTTGGCCAACCCGGTTCGAGTTGGACACAACATGGCGACTACTGCGTTGTTGGGCAAGCACAAAACAACAGAATATACGCCATGTTGTGACCCAGTGAAACCAAGTTGGCCAAACTCTGTGTATAGATGGCTCTGGACACAGCTCTTGCCATAGATGTTATTCGTAAACTTTACAGCGGGCCTCAAGTTTTCATGAATTTCGGGAGAGGTTCATATTTGCGAAAGTTTAATGCCACGAAAAATGTGAATCGTTGTATTCTTTTCTCAAATTAATAAATTAATAATTTGTTATATATATTTATCTTATTCGTTATTTTAACTAAATAGGATCCCCCTGTATTTATGCACAATAAGGTAAAAAAAAAAAGACTAAGGGTAATTTTAAACTACATCTATACTTTAATGCCAACCCTAACCCAAACCCTAACCCAACCGTAAACCTATCTCTAAGTCAACACTAACTGCGACATATGACCCTCTTAGCTGACCTGACCTAAACAATATGTTTTGAGTGTGATGATAATAAATGTAAACTATGATTGCGCTTCATCAACTAGTCTCTCTCTCTCTCTCTCTCTCTCTCTCTCTATTTTCGCCTGACAACATAATCTAAATACATGAACAATAAAAACAAAATACGATTTTATCTACATTTTATTTATATACAGTGCGTCTAAGAAAAAACGAAATCGAGAATTATCGATGTTTTATCATAACTTAATTACATTTATAATTGATAAATGACACATATTTGGAAAGCTTAGATCCTCCTCTTTCATTTGATGCAACTCATATAATATATATTTTACGCGTGAGTGATTAAAATGAATTTGAAGAGAGGAAAGCAAAAGGTCATTTGGCGGACGGTATCTGAATTTCAAGGAGAAAATAACATTTCTAGAAATTTGAGTTTCTGACCTTTCATATGACACCTCAATCAGGAAAAATGAGCGAGGAATGACAAAGTTCTGTTTGTTTAAAGTAGTGCTTGCATTTCCATAATATTATGAAACGAATTCGTTTTCACTGGGTGCCTGCAGTAGCAACAAACAGAGTTGACAGAAGACTTAACTCCATTTCGTTGACAATCAGCCGTAGACGAAAGACTTCATGCTTGGCTGATAGACAACAAAACGGAGTTAAGTCTGTTGTCAATTCTGCACGTTGCTATGGCAGGCACCCAGTGAAAACGAATTCGTTTGATAAGATTATGGAAATGCAAGCACTACTTTAAACAAACAGAACTTTGTCATTCCTTGCTCATTTTTCCTGATAGAGATGTCATATGAAGGTGCAGAACCCCAACTTTCTATAAATGTGATTTTCTCTTTGAAATTCAGATACCGTCCGCCAAATGACTTTTTAGTTTCCTCTCTTCAAATTCATTTTAATCACTCATGCCTGAAATAAGCATCAAATTATAAATGTGACAACGTTATGATAAAACAACGATAATGCTCGGTTTCGTTTTTTCTGTGACGCACTGTATATACAAAATCTTCAATATGGAATTCTATGTGGTGATGAAATCAGCATTGACGAAAATCATAAATGACTTCACCACATTACAGACTCGTATCTTATTCTTCTAGCATACTATCACTGAGACCATACAGACCCCCATTCATTTTTATACTTGTTGAAAATATTGGCTAATTTGCATAATTGGATGCTAATTAGCATTTTATGGTGAACAATTTTACAATCATAATCGTCCTTGATATATAACCTTTCCATTCATATATGGTTTTGGTTTTTGAAAATTGGTCAAATATGAGTATACTACTAGTTTCCTGTAACCTCCCCCCCCCCTCCCCCCTTGGGTTGCAAAGTGAAAATGTGATGTGCATAGGAAAACGCCATCATGTGTCTAGACCCACAAAGTATCCGCAACGTCTTTGGGTCAAACACCCCCTTAGCAAACGCGACACCCGCCCCTGACCACTATTCTACCATACTACCTGTGAGTCTATACAGAAAACCATTACTACCACTAACACCACACAGACCACCTTTCATCCAGCATATTACCACTAAGACCACACAAACCACCATTCATTTACCATACTATCACTGATACCATACAGACCACCATTCATCCAGCATACTACCACTGAGACCACACAGACCACCATTCATTTACCATACTACCACTAAGACCACACAAACCACCATTCATTTACCAAACTACCACTGATACCATACATACCACCATTCCTGTACCATACTACCACTGATACCATGCAGACCATCTACCATACTACCACTGAGCCTGTACAGACCACCATTTATTTACCATAGTACCACTGAAACCATACATACCACCATTCTTGTACTATACTACCACTGAGACCACACAGACCACCATTCATTTACCATACTACCACTGAGACCATATATACCACCATTCGTGTACCATACTACCACTGCGCCTGTACAGACCACCATTCATTTACGATACTACCAATGATACCATGCATACCATCATCCATCTACCGAACTACCACTGACAACAATACATACCATCATTCTTGTACCATACTACCATTGATACCATACAGACCACCATTCATAATACCATACTGTCACTGAGACCATACATACCACTATGCTTGTACCCTACTACCACTGAGACCACACAGACCACCATTCATTTATCATACTACCAATGATACCAGCATAACATCATCCATCTACCAAACTACCACTGAGACCACAAAGACCACCATTCTTGTACCATACTACCACTGAGCTTGTACAGACCACCATTCATTTACCATAGTACCACTGAGACCATACATACCACCAGAACTTTGGCTGTACATAGTTAGCATTATTGATAATGTTAAGGCTACACAACCATCCAAATAAATAGATCACTTGACTCAAGAAATATAAGAAAAAGTACTGTATTTACGATATAATATCTCTCAGTCACTAGTACTTTTTTTTTTAGTGGATGGCATTATCTCCCAAAAATGGTTGCATAGTAAGACCTTCTTTATTTGTTATACAAAATACAATATAATTCAAGTATAAGTTTACCTAGCAAAGAATGATTACACTAACCTGTGATATGATACTGTCTCTCAATATACCGGTTCGTTATAAGACACGGTTCAATTGACCCGGATTATCCACAGATATTTGATATGATACTGTCTCTCAATATACCGGTTCGTTATAAGACACGGTTCACTTGACCCGGATTATCCACAAATATTTGATATGATACTGTCTCTCAATATACCAGTTCGTTATAAGACACGGTTCAATTGACCCGGATTATCCACAGATATTTTAAACTTGGAGAAGTCCCAAATTGTGCATTTTAAAATAACCACCGTCGCCAAAATCATGGATGTACTTCATGAATACCTTTTGTTTGCCATCATGATAAGTATACTCCCACCTGTGTACCACATAACGTGCTGTCAGTGCATAATATGATCACACAACTAAGTTAAATGAGCACGTATCCAACTTTAGGTCTGAGTGTGTTTCATTACTCAGTGGGTTTTAACATTTTGTACAAATGACCATTATCTGTCCATGCAAAGTTAGCGACTACGAACTGGCTCATAGTTAGACCGATTATAATTAGTTGTTGTTAGGTTGGACAAACATTATAGCTTATCCTAGCATGCTTAATATCGAAATACAATTTCGTTTTCGTAACAGATAAATGAAAAAATAGTAGTTCGTAACGAGGCACATAACAAAAACACACACATTACATTTGATTACAACAAGAACAAAAAAACCCATCATAATTAGCCTGTTGGGTTCTCGGGGGAGGGAAACAACAGCCTTGGCGTTGTATTTGCTACACCACTTCATAATGCTTGCTCGCATTTTCAAAATTATCGTCCAGAAGTTTTGAGTTTGCTAGAATTTTGGATATCTATTAGTTATGTCCTACATGTATTAAACAAAAGTCTACATTCCACACATCTGAACATACTCGAGATCTTATTGCCATGGATACCCTGTTTATTGAAGTTTGAGCCTAACAATTCCATACGCTACCTCAAACAATAAGAAATTGATGAACTGACTCAAAGTGCGAAAAACAAAACAATTCTTACATCAGGTGCGTGTGTTATGTATAAGGTACGGTGTAAAAATGTCAGATGTAAAAATGTCAGATGTAAAAATGCCAGAGTTAACAAAATGCCAGGGGTAAACAAATGGCAGAGGTAAACATGTCAAAGGTAAAAACTCTAGAGGTGAAAATGTCAGAGGTAAAAATGGCATGTACTCGTATACTTGTACTGGCAGTAAGCACGAAAGGTTTAATACAACCAAAGAGGTATTACAGCTGGAGTTACTGTAGGTGCTTGTCTTTGAAGGAAAAGGAAGCTTCTGTGTCGCCACACCAGGCATGCAAAATATGTAAATGTACTTCCCATGCAGGTGATGAAAACATTCAGATAACCTTATATTGCACAACGAAGAGACACTATCGGCAGAATATTGGGTTTTTAGAAGATGCATCAAACTGCCCCTATATTGCCCTATTAACATCCCAGACTAAATGAAATATCTCGAGTGGGCATGTGAGGACATTAATAGTAAATGCTTTATTTGACAAAATAAGCTTTCATGATAGAAATAACGAATTACAGTGCTTGGAATGAATAAGAAAGGGACTTAAACTCTGCACATAAAGCGTATGTTGGTGACACTTTCGAGGCTTTATATATCAAGAAGTTCTAAACTTTGAGGCTTTGTTACTATAAATGATTGTATTAAATGCAACTGCATGTTTACTTATTGTGCTTTTTGATTCATCATACTAATTGAGCATAATAATACTTTAAAATATAAACATCTTTTTCAATCGCTGTTGTCTACCTCGGCGACGTGAAACCTCCGACATCGAAGAATCAAAGCAATTCAGTGATTCATTTGTGCATCCTTTCAACTCTGTCAACTGTAAGCATTCATTTTAGTGAGCTGGGACTCCATTTTTTAATACCTCTATGATTCAACTACTGCCAATTACGCCATCTTATATCTTAGAAATAAATTGACTTTAGCTAGCTGTTCTCACATTCAGCCATGATACTGTCTTCCTGAATGGCTACCGTGTTGCACAATTGTTCAATGAACGTTAAAATATGTGAGGTAAATATAAAACTATGGCAGAAATACAAGATTTCGGAGGTACAAACAGTTAAACTAATACGCTGGTTTCTGCCTTGGCGGAGTAGGACCGGCTCCGACGTCATCTGTCCTGGATAGACTCTTGAGCTAGGTGCTCTGAGATTCAGCTGCGGCTAACATCCCCCTGAAGATAGACTTTGGGTTAGCCCGTAGAGCTATGGGCGAGTCGAACTCAGCAACCTGGGGTATGGACAAACATACAGAACAAATATGACACATGAATTTATGTAGATAATAGTTTAGGCCAAATGAAAATAATTTATAGTTTCTCGTTTCCTCCTCTTTCCCTTTTTTCGGCTCGTCTCGTTTTGTTTTGAAATTAACCATAATTTGAGTAAATCTATACGATAGGGTAAACTAACTTCGTTGATTCATGCAAACTGCAACATGCTTCTAGTATCTGTATTGATGCTATGTAAAATAACCAAATCTGTATTGAACTTGACGCAATATTTTTATTTAAAGAAACATGTAACACTTCAATTGGTACTCCGGAAAAATTAAATTCGTGGTGGTTCTATTAGCCCGTAAAAGGCGTCCAGCTGGAGTGCTAATAAATAATCCTGACAGTAATTTTTGCATGGAAGATATTAATTCCGGAGATTTCACCCCTCTCGAGATCCAAAAGTGAGAAGGGGGAAGGGGAGGTGGTAGCTTATTTCCTTCTTTTGTTGTTGTTGATGTTTCTTATTTTCCATTTAAGCTTCGATTCCTAATTTTCGTCTTTTCATATAACAACAAGGGAAGACAAACAAACACAAATACACACACACTGTACACACACACACGAAAATAAATTGAGAGGAAAAACCCACTACCTTTCCATCATCCATGACTAGAATCTTATCTGAGTCTAGTACTGTAATAAGTCGATGTGCTATGGTGAGTGTGGTACAGTCATTGAAAGCTGTTCGTATTGTCTGCTGTATCAAGCTATCTGTTTCTGTGTCAATGGCTGCAGTCGCCTCATCTAAGAATAGGATCTGAAAGAGCATCGGTAATGTAATTTGTTTTCAGTTTGGTACGAGAAAAAAAGAAAAATAGAAAAAATAGTAACGTGTATCAAGGAGACAGAAAGTGAAATAGCAAATATTGTGAGACAGACAGAGAAGGACAGAGAGAGAAAGAGAAAGAGATGGATATTGAGAAACAAGAAGGACGTACACAGAGAAAACTATGTAAAAGAAGAGAAGGAGAAATAAAAGGAGAGGAAAAGCGTCTAGAAAACGAAAATAGAAGGCCAAGTGGTTGTATGGATAAGACAATCAATTATTAGCCTTTATCTTAAAGGGAATATAGCTTGACAAATACTGGTTAACGTCATCTACGTCTCCTTTTGGATAACTGATCTTAAACGAAGGAACATTGATGGTAGATTGGCGAGCGCACAATACAGCTTGCCATTCTCACCTTGCTATTCCGAAGCAGTGCCCTCGCCATACACATCAACTGCCTCTCACCAACAGAGAAGTTATCTCCTCCTTCTGCAACAAGAGCATCGAGACCGCCATCTAGAGAACTAATCTGAACATTATGAATTAAAAACAAATAATAATAATGAACATTATAACTTGTAGAAGGCTCCTATACTACTAATGATAACGTTAATGTGATGTTTGAGTATTAGGCTAGGGTCGTTGACATTCAAATACACTCCAGTTCACAGAGTATTATTTTGGTATAGCTCACATTCATCACAGGTCCAGAGCGCATTCACATTTTGTTTTCCGCTTTAATACGCTAATACTAAACAATGACAATGATAGAGTGTAGAAATGCCCTAATACCAAGTAAACAAAAGTACATTGGTATGTTTAGTTTAGTATATTGTTCTATATACTATATTTCATTACGTGAAATAATCGATAATCAGCTTAGACACGTTTCAAGTATACGCTGACTCATCAGTTCATTGATGCTTATAATATGTAATGCCCCACTTCAACAGAAGGGAGAAAAACTTGATATCTAGTGTATGTAGTCTATGTATTCAGCTTCGCGATCCAGGAACTCAAATAGTTAAAAAGTTAAAAGACATGGAACTAGTACAAACCTTCTCCTTCAGGTAGGCCTTTTCTACTGCTTGCCACAGATCAGCATCATTATTTTCACCGAATGGGTCCAAATTATATCTAAATAAACAGGAAAAAAATATTTCATTTTTAACAAAACATCTCATAAAAACAGAACCAAGAAAATTGATAAAGAAGCAATCCAATCAAATCCAAAAGATATTTGATACATCGCCTTTTCCTTGTAGATACAAAGCGCTGCACATACGCTCCACAATGGTTGGGCCACTTAAAAACAAAAGCAGGCGCTAGAAAGACAGACAGATAGATAGAGAGAGAGAGAGAGAGAGATACATATGAGGGAAGAAGGAACCAAAAATCGCGTTCCAGAAGATCTAATGTAAAAATATAATTGTATTCCAAAAGGTTTCCCGAACTATCCCTTTTATTGCTTTTATTGAGGAGAACTAGTTTTTAGGAAGTAAACCTCTTTGTTGCTAGACATCCATTCGTGAAATTCGTGAACGTCAGAGAGAAAAAACTTTTGATTAAAGGCGAGAAGAGCTATGTTATGTTGCTAACACAAGAATCAAATGGTGATGAGGGACTAAGAGATTACTGTGATGTGTATGTCTTATTCACAGCCGAGATGACTGCGCCTCGATTATTTATTTACTTCCGAGGAGCCAGGCCCTCTATTGACAGGTTAGTTGTTACAAACACAAGGAAAGTCGCTCGGTGGCTTGATTTCCGAAGCCCACGCCAAAGCTATACACGAAATTGACTGGCGCAAATAATCTTTGAGATTGAAGAGCGCCATCTAAACGAAGAACCAACCAACAACAACAAACTACGATGCATTTGTTACTGGGACGTTATTACCTGATCTTATTGAGAATAGTAATAAAATCAATGACGCTATCGTCCAGGAGATATTTATATGACGAGTGGTGATCACTCTTACCTTACGGTACCGATGAATAGGACAGGATCTTGAGGAATAATGGACATCTTAGATCTCAGATCAAATAGACCAAGTTCCGATATATCGACATCATCGATAGTTATTGTTCCTTTAACAGCCTCCACTAGACGAAACAAGGCAACGCTCAAAGAAGACTTCCCTGATCACAAGATAACAATCCAGACATGAATTATTTATAATTACCTGTAAAATTACTACTGCCAATACACTTTACTACTACTAATAATAATAGTTAGCTCGTATATAGTGCATTTAATTACCGAAGGTAATACCAATGCGCTTTACAAACATTTCAAAATCAAGATACAAATAATAATTACATATATAATCAAAAATTACAAGTAAGAAGGCATAGCGTGTACATTATAAAAATCGATAGAAGCTTCAATTAAAGGTGATACATGTAATATAATATTCGAAAATTATTATATTGGTGAGGAAGGCCCAAATACAACAATTTGAATAAAATAAATATGGCGAGGCGTCAAAAATATCGATACCAGCAGGCTGCCGCCTCACGTATTGGCGCATCGAGGCTGTAATTACGGCCAAAGCCTGGCTGGGGCAATTATTTTTCCCTTATCTGAGGCTCGGTTTCCATTCGAAAGGCTGCAGCCGGCGCATGCTTTTGAATGCCATTTCCTACCGCCAGCGGTAGCCGGCTGAGCTAATTTAAAAAATGCAGCCAGGACGCACAAGTGCAGTTAGCTGCCGCTGGCTGGTATATTTACTTTTGACGCCTCGCCTATAAACATCCCGCTTGTTTGGAGACTCATTGGAAAACTCTTCATGCTACGCATTCAGTTAGTCACAAACCAGTGCAAAATTAAAATGAAATGTTGAACAAATATGTCTTAAGTTCTTTCTGGAATACGTCTATGTTTGACTGAGCACGGAGAGTGCTAGGAAGAGAGTTCCAAAGGGTTGGTACTATGTACTACTAAAAATCATAATACATTTCTTCTACTAGTACTGATACTACTTCTACTACCACTACTACTATAATTTAGTTCTTCTGGTAATACTATGACTACTACTACTACTCCTCATACTACTACTACTACTACTACTACTACTACTACTACTACTACTACTACTAATACGTCTACTACTACTACTACGTTTAATACTACTACTACTTCAACTTCTACTACTACTACTAAACTTTGCTAGTATACTACTTATTTTACTGATCCTTTTCATTTTAAATTAGACATCACATAGTATCAACATAAATTATCATGGATCATTTTAATGAATTATAAAGAGTGTAAAATGTACACATGTCTAAATACATAAAAACAACAACAATCAAAGGACTGGTTGTCGATTGCTGTTATTGAGAGATTATAAAAGCTTACAAGAGACAGTCAGAGATGAACGATACTACTACTTTAATACTACTATTATTACTACTACTACTACTACTACTACTACAACTAATTACTACTACACCAATAACTATTATATACATCACTTAAGAAATACAGCCATCTGATTGGTCGAAATTGCAGTCATGGTTTTAGCCATTCCCGTAAATAAACGAAAAATGCCACGCCGATGTAATAGTTCGTGGGTAATATTCAAGTTACCGGGAAATAGTTCAGTCTTGCTTAAAAACGGGTTTGAGCGATCTCGGATACCATACATTGTGTGTGTGCGAAAAATTGGTCGCTAGACCGTGCAAGAACACCAAAAGGGTAGGCCCTACGTTTTTATTATTAGCCGTAGATCTAGGTCTAGACAAGATTGTGATTTTATTGCATGCGATAACGATGATACAGGTATTAAAGATTGTATAATGCAAGTGTTTGAATTCATTTGGTGGATGAAAAGTTGAATTCTACGCCGTTTTGTGCGTCATTGCAGCGCTGAATTTGGTGTGTTTGTCGCTAATTTCTGACAAATTTAGATAGCTTTCCTGATGGTATTTCATGCAAAATTTCTGTTATATAGATAAGCACTGATTCTTGTCCTTACCTTTGACTTGTTTCTTGTCTGTTATAGTCATTTAATAGATGAATTACTTGAATTCTGAGCGCATTTCAGTCCCACACACGTATTTGTATGTACCTTGTGCCCTTACACTGTATGCTGTCTCGATAGAGTAAACAAACTTGATTACCATGATTGGTAAGTCGCACATGTATTCTATGCCCCTTTTCGGTATATAAAAGTATATATGCTTTAATTTTCGAAACATAGTTGTTTCTCAAAGCAGTCATTAATACTATACTTATACCACTAATATACTACTCCTACGATTACTACTATTACTACTCCTACTCCTACTACTACTACTACTAATTACTACTACTACATCTACGACTAATACTACAATAAATAATACTATAACTACTAATACTACTACTTCTAATCTTCTACGACTAATACTATAGTAATTACTACTTCTACTACTACAACTACAACCAGTATCATTTATTTTTTGTCTAAGGAGCATGTGTCTTCTTCACACAGGGGCAAACCTTATACATCTAGCTACCCACTATCTGGACCCACTCCTCCTTCTTCACCACTCTTTCCAAAGTGGTGGAAGTACCCACCTGATCCGGTCCTCCCCACGATGCCAATCCTCTCTCCTGCCTTGATAGTGCACGTTACATTCTTGAGAACCAGCGGAAGGTTTTCTCTGTATCTCATCCCGACATCATGTAGTCGGATCTCCCCTCGACTTGGCCAGCCTTTCTCAGGCATTCTCGACTTGATGCTTTCAGGAGCCTCTGGTTTAATGTCCTGTACAATTGATAAAATGGAAAAAGCCATAGATGTTATGTTCATTTTCTGCTTGTTTATAGATAGTTAGATAGATTCTTGGTTTCCACAATATCTCATTTTATAACGAAGAGTGTTACATCATATTGAAAATGATTATAATATAGATATACATACAATACCAGTACACACTATTCAGAATATTTTCATTGAGTTAAACTTAAGAGATACAGTGGCGGAGCATATGGAAAAGTAGTCAAGAATCTGGCCTGTTTAATGTTGATCTCCACCACACCAACGCTACCTCTCCCTACTTAATTGCTACCAGCCCATGATGGCGTGATCATTAAAGTCCCACTGTCCTACTTGTAGCCACTTGCTCCCTCTATATAGAAAATTTCCCCAATCGGTGCCTGTTGGTCCCCCATGATCCTCTTTTTCTTATGTTAGTTGAGAGCTGAGTTAATGGGATAGCCATCTGTCAGTGACCTCGCTGTGTGGTCTAATCCCTTCTGGCCCAGTAGTGTTGACGGTCTTTAAATTAGGACGCCCGGCGAAAAAATAAGCATAATTATGAGTTTGTTGATAACGCCATCTTCGACGACTTGAATCAAGTGTGTAGGGAAATTATAAAGGACCGTGTAGATTCTAGACTTATGGAAAAGCAGAGCTTGTTGTGGATAGGCTCCTTAAACTACAAATGACATCGTTTATAAAATAAAAATACACGCTAGGTGAAAGGGAGTTTAGAGGGATACATGAATCGATACTCATAATTAACTACAAAAGACAAGGGAAAGGGAAAGGAATATATCTGCAGCTTATTGAAACAATGGTAAAATGTAGTTTTTTTTTCTCGATATGAATATAATATGAACATATTTGGCATGGCCAATACTGTTACTTACTCATTGCAATCAACAAAAGTATACAGCTTGGAGACAAGAATAGTCAGGAATGACAATATGTATTCAAATAATAACATTTCAATTTTCTTCTGAATACATGAACACCTTTTAATAATAAAATCGAGAGAATTCCAGAACTTAGGACCTGAATATTTTGAGGAAAGCGTGTTCTTGTTCTAGGCAGGTGATAGGAAATCGCCTGTCGGGTAGAATAGACCAGTTCACGGTTAGCACATTACTGCAATGACCCCGAATATCCACAGATCTTCAAAACGTGAAGAGGTCCCACTTTGTATATTTTGAAATAATCACTCCTACAGTGATGGAGGTGCTTCATAAATAGCCTTTGTTTCCTCTTTTCAAAGAATACTTCCACCTGTGTATCATTGAGTGCATAAAATAATTACATAACTTTCATGAGCATGTATCCAGTATTTCGTCTCCATGTATTTCACAATACGTTCTGCAATGACCTTTATCTGTTCATGCTCAGACTGCAACCGTGAACTGGCTTATAGTCGTGGACTTGACATTCTACCCACAATACAGTGCGTCCCAGAAAAAAACGAAACCGAGAATTATCGATGTTTTATCATGACTTAATCACATTTATAATTGATAAATGACACATATTTGTAAAGTTTAGATCTTCTTTTTTCAGTTGATGCAACTCATTTGAAGCATATTTCACGCATGAGTGATTAAAAGCAATTTGAAGAGAGGGTACCAAATAGTCATTTTTAGGGCGGTATCTGAATTTTTAAAGAGAAAATTATATTTCTCGAAAGTTCATTTCTGCTCTTTCATATGACACCTCAATCAGAAAAAATGAAACAAGGATAACAAATTTCTATTGATTTAAAGTAATGCTTGCATTTCCATAATTTGAACGAATTCGTTTTCAGTGGCTGCCTGCCGTACAAAAAACGGAGTTGACAAAAGACTTAACTCCGTTTCGTTGACGATCAGCCATGCACAACGAAGACGAAAGACTTGATGCATTACTGATCGTCAACAAGACGGAATGCATATTGTACTCACAACATAGACCTACCCTGATATACTGCATAATCCTTTGAGCAGAAGAGAATCGTGCTTCTGTATCTGTCAGCATATTCATTGTCAATTGGAACATTCCTGTTAGCTGTGAGCGAAAGACGATGAAACACAAGGACGATAAATCAAACTGATTAAAGAAAGAATAGTTTGATACAAATTGATAAATAAGAGAAAGAAAGAAATAGGGAGTTGACAAAAAGAGTAATACAGAACTAGATATGTAATACTTGTTTGGAACAAGTATAGATGAGCTGCATGGTCGAACTAAACTTTGAGACAAAAAAGAGCAAAAAAGAGCGAGATACTGCTTAAAAATGCTTGAAAAACAATATCATGCAGCTTGATGACGTGAACGAAATTCACCTTCTATAGGCACAACACGCAAATTATGAAATTTCTGACACGAGGCCTTTAATCGAGATTTTCACTACGATGACTTCATCAAAATGTGAAATGGTGACCACTGAGCTTGTAGAGAATTGTCTTAACTACAACATATCGGAAATTGGAAGAAAATCGATGAATATATACAGATATTCAATCAATTTTCCATAAATAAGCTGGAATGGACTAATGTCAATGATTGTTGTGGTGTTCTCGACTCCTTTATACAGTACCTGCCAATAATATTACTTACTTTGTATTTTCATTGTTTTGCCGTATGACTTGATTTTACTCTATTTTATCACAAACTGAAATGAATGAAGGAATGATTGAATGGACTCACTTTGTGATAACATCATCGGTCTTGTCATAGGCATGGATGGTGGCCAGTCCCATTGCAGTCGAACCAATGTGAGAAAACCATGGAGATCGGCTCATGTTTTCCAACTGCTTAAGGTCGTTGACGCCCTTACGATAGAAGAACATGATGAAGAAGAAGACGACGATGACTGGGATGACGGCGCATAGGGAATACGGGAATACTATGCAGATGGTGATCAACGATGCAACGATCGTCAGGACATAATTAAGACTCATTTCCATGTTGATTGGCAGCATCACATCCACTAGGAATGAAAAATGAAAATAATTCTTTGAATGCGGTCGCTAAATCTTTCGAGAAATCAACCCAAAACATGTTCGGATTGCATGATACGTCATTGTAATAACCGCACATGTCAACAGGTGATGAAAAAGGTTATTGAAATCACATTAGGTTGAGTTTCGACGTCTCTTTGTTTATCGGATTTATGTTGAGATAATCTATTCAATAAAAATGAGTGTGATGAATACATTTAAATGTGCTTGAAAAATGTAATAACTAGTTACGAGGCCTGCTCATCACAATCAATTCCGTATTAGAAAAGCCCAAGCAAAGAATTGCCCTCTCGCCCCCCCCCCCCCCGCCCCCTAATGTCGTATATGTATATGCCTACACAAAGGGCAGAGCTATGTTGTCATGGGGGCTCTCGCGAATGGTAATCATGAACTCTGGTAATGATGCAATATATCTTCCAAGAGATTAAACAAAAACATTTCATATTATAATTTGATTTAAAAACGGATGTAAACGCTGTGAAGTAAACAAAAAACAACACCAATAGTTATCGAGCTCGCTGTTCTAATCTCGTGATTTACACTAAACTACGTCGTTATTTTAATAAGATTTCCAGCATTTTTTTATTGTTTCATTGCTTATGCTTTTTTTTTGCTGATCAGATCAAAAGCAGACCTACTGGATGATAAGCGATTCATAATTTTAAATGTGTATTATTGTTCCATAACCTAAACTCCAGTTTTAAAAAAGTTAACTTTACAAACTTTACATTCACATGCCTTAGATATTGAAAGTTTACTTACGCTCATCTATATCTTTAGAGAATCTGTTGAGCACTCGTCCAATAGGTGTGGTATCAAAGAAGCTCACTGGACTACGTATAACTGCTCGGAATAGATTATTGTGTAAGGTGGACGATGCTTTCAGTGTAAGCTATGACAAAAGTGAGAAGGATAGAGGCTAATGATTAGACAACAATTAAAACATGAAACATAAATGATATTATCAATTCCACATCATTATACAGTGTCTTCAGGAAGGAAAAGTATACTCAGGACCAATATTTTATAATAGTAGGTTAAAATTACTGAATCATATTTGCGTGATATAGAAGATGAGTTCTTTATTTAGGCATTTCATTCAAAGTTTTTTAGGTTGCAAGTTACTGACCAATGTCCATTAAAAAATACAAATCGTCTTTGCAAAATTTTTCAAGAATTGTTTTCATAATTTGTGAATGCATTCAATTGCAATGAAAACAATTTAATCAAACATTTTGGTTAATCATCCATTCAATTCGCTGGGCAAAATCTTTGAAAAACAAATACTGCTGTTCAGCTGAACACGGCCATATTTTATTCATTAAGAAGTTAACTTTTAGAAGGTGATTCACGACCAAATATACAGAATAAATCCGGTTTTCCCTTTGTGGTGACATACTTATGATTCTCAATTGCATAACTTGTGTGACGCCATTTTAAATATTGACTTAATGTCGTGTTGCCAAATTTGTTCTTGACTTAACGATAGTGATACTTGGAAAGCTGTGTTTCTTTCATATTTTGTGGCCTTCTTTTGTAATTCTTTTCCACATACGCTTCTATTATAAAAGCATCATGCTTGTAATGTTCATAATCGAACTCTTCTACAAAATACTTTTGTTTTCAAAGTGTGAACCGTAACACCATTTTGAATCGGAGAGAGTGTCGTACCCAAGTTTGCATATTTTGTTTTCTTCGATAGACACAATAAAGGGGAAAGAAGGTCTCAGATTTCTAAAATGTGCGACAAAGATTTTAAAAAGGCCCTCGCATTTTTAAATAGTCCCTCCAATTGTAAAAACATGACGTCAGCTTGCACAGTCCATACCGGCAGAGGTTATACAAAAAAGGAGTGAGTTCTTCCCACCCCTATATCCTTGCTCTTGGTTATTTGATATAATTTACCACTGCAGGTTAAGATTTGAAATAACAAGCATTCAGTACACTATCAAGAGGAAAACTATATCACACCAAATACAAAACATTTTACAAATATGTTGCATCAACATTAAACGTAACGTTGCAACAACATGAATGTAACGTTGCATCAACTAAAACTTAAAATTGTGTTAACTTAAGCGCTATATAAAAGCGGAATATTATTATTAGATAATCTATCAGGATTCAATTATGTAATTTGTACGAGTGCATTTCACACGGCTGTTGAAATGGTACAGGAAATGGCTGTAGATCTCTTGGCTTGTTTTTCCCCAGTCAATCGACAGAACATCGTCCCCAATCCTTTCTGAAATCTTCGATATTGAGAGGAATTTATAAAAAGAAGAGAATGACCCACATATTCCCGAAAGCAACAAACACAGACAACGTGTATATCAGGCCACTGAGATCTATGTCGACATCGAGATTACAAAACCAATACGTTACCAGGTTTGGAAACCAGCAAATGATAAATCAAGCAGACCTTGATGACATTCCTTCTGGCACAGCTACGGTTGTTGATACTGGTGTTGCCAGGTTGAAATCAGCAGATATTCGAGTTCCGCTGGGCTTCCCAATATCTTTATGGAATCTTTCTGTCATCATGTTCTTCAGTTTAATGGAGATGGCTGTGAATACGTAGACCATGTCAAGCCAGGAAGAAGAACTCCAGAATCGTCCCTCTGAATGTGAGACCGGTTCTCGATGCACTGCTCGGGGAAAGAAACAGCTGGCACTGGTTCTCTGCTCTACCCTGATAAACCATGCGAGATATTGATGATAGGCGAATCCAGACAACCAGGGTAGAGCGACAAGCCAGATGAACCTTGCTGACTTGGCCCGACTGTGGTAATGAAGGGCGAAGACGATGGCGCAATAATACTTCTGCGTCATTAACGTTAGATTGAGGGACGGAACTAGCAACGATCAGGGACCAGAACGGATACCTGGAGTTCTAAATGCGCAGATGAACCGGGCAAGTGTTGGGTTGTTGGTTGGTAGAAATGGTAGAGGTGCTACGAAGCTGGCTATAGAAGGAGAGATGTCAATAGATCAAGATTGATTGTCGATTAAAACATTTGCGATATCGTGGAGATCACGAAAGACCACGATGACAAGGAAAACGAGACCATTGCCGGGGACACCCAATAATCCCATCTTTATGTAGAGAAGGGGTTCTCAAACGGTCCAGATGGGTTTTCCATGAAAGCAAAAACGTCCGCGAGCCAATTGGAAAATCTAGTTTATACTTATTCAATCATTATCATTACGGACAATTCCTAGACTTTGCATATTTATAGAGTATCTCATAAAGATTATGCATTTTCAAATCTATTAGTCTCAAATGGCTGTTGAATAATAACTAACTAAATATTTACATGGCCGCGAAGCAACAATACTGCATTGTGTACCGTACATAATTCATAGAAGAAAAGAAAAACTTTTGGCCTTGCGCAGCGCGGCGATTTTTGATACTCCCATTAACTATGGTACCCTTTGGTCGAAAGTATATGAATTTGGTTTCAAAAGATAGGGAGGAGGATGGATTCTGACCCAGCCCTTTTTTTAAATAAAAAAAATCAAGAACTTCCCGGGCGATCCGGATTGACGTGCCCCGCGGTCTAGTTGTAGACCGTGGGTCTGGCATTTGAAAAAGCCCTGATGTAGACTGTTTTAATTATAACAGCGCTGATCTGTAGGCTTTCAATCTTTGATCTTTCTTATAACAGCACTGATATGTAGGCTTTCAATCTTTGATCTTTCTTATAACAGCGCTGAGCTGTAGGCTTTCAATCTTTGATCTTTCTTATAACAGCGCTGATATGTAGGTTTTCAATCTTTGATCTTTCTTATAACAGCGCTGATATGTAGGCTTTCAATCTTTGATCTTTCTTATAACAGCGCTGATCTGTAGGCTTTCAATCTTTGATCTTTCTTATAACAGCGCTGATCTGTAGGCTTTCAATCTTTGATCTTTCTTATAACAGCGCTGATCTGTAGGCTTTCAATCTTTGATCTTTCTTCCGTCAGTTGAATTTGAAAAGCTGATATTCATTTTGTACAAATGAGTCAAGCCAGTGCACTTCAAAAAATCAACCTGGAGATTTTCTTCCGGTATATTTGTCTTTATATCATACAAAATAATATTGATGCATACAAAGTAACAATCACAAATAAATAGTCACAGATAACTAGTTAGGCAAATACAACGATTGTAGGAATACTCATCAGATAGCCAGTAGCTGAGAGAAATAGCCTCTCCTTTTCGGGCATTCAATATAGGTCAGATCGATAATCAAAAGTCGAAGAGACCTCGTGTTTGAGAGAGAAAACAGCAGGCGAGAGCAAGCGCAGGGTATATACGGGCGAAAAACATTAAGGAGGAAAAAGGCGTGGCGATATTTAGAAGATCTCGGTTCCAAAAGGTACTACATCCATTTTTTAAATCAAATTGAATTTTTTGGTTTTAAATCAATGTACAGTAGTGTCATATAATGACACTTCCAAAAATCCGAATCCGCCCATAAAAAAGTTTTAAGAATGGCATTTAAACATGGTTCAGTTCCAAAAAGCACTATATCTATTCAAGTCATGCATTGTGACTCGCAAACAGTATGAAAGATATCGGTTACAAAAGGAACTACATCCAATTTCGGTTCTAAAATTAAGGTACTACATGTACACAAATTTAAAAAACATAACTTCATGAAAAAACGGTATTATACTTCTATCATACAATAGTATAATCAGCCAAAGTATCATTCAAAACTGATATTGCTTTTAAACTATGATGATTAAAAAATCGTGTTTTTCTCAGAACTTGGATTTATGGATGTAGTACCTTTTGGAGCCGAGCTCTTCGTTTTATCGGTTTTGGAGATGAGCGGGAAAAGGGATACAAAAGCATCAAATATAATTATGTACGGGGTATGTATTATGTATGTATCCGGAGTGCGTTGATAGAAAAGATACTCGTGCAGAGTAAATCAATTTTGTGTATCGGATATACAGCATTCAGATCAGATATCTCTCGGGAATCTTTCTTTATCAACATCGATTTTTTTTTCTTCCTCGACATTCAAAAGCGATTTTCATGATATGGGAAAAAGATATTCATTTTAATCACATGCAGGACTCCATCAAATGTAATGTCTGAAAGTAATTCACTAGCAAATACATTCAAAGGTCAATTATGAAATTAAACCGTTATACTCGAGGATACCGGGATGGTTTAGTAGTCAATTTTTATTATCTTACAATTCATTATAATAATGTCATTTAATATAGCAATCCTTGAAATCCTTGAAAAAAGACGTGCTTTTGCTCTAGCCCCTCTCCAGTTGGTTCTGTTAAGGCTCTCTGAATTATCTATATAAGCGAGAAGTCATCCCTTTTCAGATATATGCCACGGAGTGAAACCGAGGGGAAGAGGCCATTTCTATATTAAAGATAATATCTAAGCGATGGAGATTGTATTCTCTTAAATACAACTGGTTTATTTCTTTACCTCATGTAAAGAGGATCATTTAGGGAAACGTTGCTTAGTTGATCATCTACCTTCAAATGTGATAGACAAATAATTTTATTTTACGGTTCATATCTGAGAACCACATCAAAAGTTCAAAATACCCTCCCTCCTTAATTGCGGTATACTTTTTGACTTAAATGGAAACCAACTTTTCGAATTTGACTAATGGAGGGCAGCTGGAACATGAAAGTCAAACGATTACTGCTATTACAAATACAATCTATATTGTGATGGGTTTATTGGGCGTGTTCGGCAATGGACTCATTCTCCTCGTCATCGTGGTCGTTCGTGATCTCCACGATGTCGCCAATGTCTTGATCGGCAATCAATCTTTGATTGATCTATTGACGTCTCTCCTTCTCCTAGCCAGCTTCGTTGCACCTCTACCACCTCTACCAACCAACAACCCAACACTTGCCCGGTTCGTGTGTGCATTTTGGTACTCCGGGTATCCGTTCTGGTCCCTGATCGTTGCTAGTTCGCTCAATCTAACCTTAATGACATTAGAGCGTTACTACGCCATCGTATTCCCCCTTCATTACCACAGTCGGACCAACTCGGCAAGATTCTTCTGCCTTGTCGCTCTACCCTGGTTGTCTGGATTTGCCTATCAGCAAAATTTCATGTGGTTTACGAAGGTGGAACAAGATCAGTGCCTGCTGGTCCAGTTCCCGAACGATGCGACACTAACTGGTTTCGCTGTCGGCGGCGCGTTCCTGCAGTTTGTCTTGCCGCTCGCAGTCATGGTATTCGTGTACACCTCCATATCCATCAAGCTGAAGTCAACGATGGAGGAAACATTCAACAAGAGGACCAGAAAGAACAGAGAAACGGACAAATCCGTTTCGCAAACCCGTAACACTCGATGCGTCGACCACCGAAGCCGTGCCCGAAGAAATGTACTAAAAGTATTGGTGACTGTGAGTGTTGTCTTTATTATTTGTTGGGTACCGAACCAAATGTTAATTTTTGCACATTGTCTCGGTTATAATATAGACTTTAACGGCTGGATCTTCACGTTGTCTGTGTCGATTGCTTTCGGGAATATGTTGGTCAATCCCTTTATATATTCCTTTCAATATCAAAGATTTCAGAAAGGTTTAAGGAAGGTGTTTTGTCGATGGACAAAAGACACTCAAGTCCAAGAAAACAATGTGTTTTCAAAAACAGTTTCTGCAACTATTTGATATTGATACGTTGGCGCTCGATCATTATTTAAATGCCACCTTCCAGTCACACCAACAAAATTGAGACCAAACCGACAAACTGACCGATCAAACGAGCATATTAAACCCCCGCCCCCACCCCCCCCCCCCACACACTGTTATTTAGGGTACGCATATGCTTGTTCCCTCTTTTTGAAAGCACCCCCTATCTGATGACTGCCAACATCATATTTCCGAACCCCCATTTCGCGGGCTTTCCGCGGCCTTTTCCTGCCTTGGAGACCCCCCTAAATCATGAAAAATGCTCAATGTACCCCCTTAAATTCGGAATAATTTCTCAAGAGTCCAAACAGATGAGAGAGAGAGAAAAAAAAAAAAAAAACCCCCTTTTTAAAGAAATCTCCGGGTGAAAAGTTAATACACCCCTTTTTTTACAATTCTCGGGCCGGACTTTGTCGCACGAAAAGTACCCCTTTACCGGATATTTTGGTAACACGCATGGGGTCCGTTCGTTCTCGGAGTGGGGGGGGGGGGGGGGGGGGGTAAACCCAATGACAAAGAGTCAGTCGCTTTGTGATGGTGTGGACTGTCGGTTTGGCGTTACCGAGTTATAATGATGAATAATGATGAATTTATTCGCTGTAAATACCCGAACAAAATAATGTAAAATATAAACATGATTGAATTGTAATTAGACATTTTTACATTTGTTTTTATTCAAGTTTTCGGGGTTCGAGGAATCAATGTAGCACTGCGCTTATCTACACGAATGTAAACTTGTATATACTAGCGCGAATTAAAGATTCAAGTATTGAAAAGGCTTAATATGCCAAATCAGCAGGAAAATTCTATTCTAATAGCTATATGACAATGTTATCCTTATACCTAGAAACGGAATAAATGCATGGATTGTGTCTTCTGCTATAATTTGGAGGAAGGTGAAGTGTAATTCACGTATTGTTTGGAAGATGAAAACTGTTTATGTTTTATGTGTGGCGTTAAATTTTTCATGTACATTATTGCAAGTTTTTCATCGAAAATACAATGTTGATGATAATAATACACTTTGCAACCTTTAATTTGTGACTTAGCCTCATATTCAGGTCTTAAAACTCCTCTGTACTAGTTTGGACATGAGGGATTGGAGGGATTAGCGTGGTCACTGACAGGTGGTTATCTTATCAACTCAGCTCTCAATTAACATAATACAAAGATGATCGGGGGGGGGGGGGACTAACATGCACCGCTTATGCATTCTTTTTAATATAGAGGGAGCAAATAGCTACAAGTAGTACAGTGGGGCTTTAAGCGGAAAGTTGAGTTCTGTTGCAGAGGGCGCTACACAAAAATATTTGTTGTGAGATAATGAAAAACTGAGAGTCAAATTTGAAAGAACATACAATTTAAATGTCAAAATCATCTTTTATCTAAACATTTTTGTGGCTTACACCCAGTAAATAAGATCGATTGATCGATCTGTAATATAATTCAATTCAATTCAAATGAACATTTATTTTCTTCCAAATCAGTTTGACAACATATTTGACATCTGTTCAAGCAATGTAATTTGTACGTACGAACATAAATATAATTAAACATCTATTGCAAGGAAGAAGGCGCGAATCCCGAGAAGATAAGCTTGTAAGGGGTACGCCCGAATACACAAAAACATAATATACAATATAGAAAAAAGGAAGAAAGGCAAGGAGGAGAGGAGGATAGAGAGCTTGAGCTAGAGAACAAAAAATATACAATTACATAATTAGACATAGGAATACAACACAGGTATATATACATACATATCCATTCATATCCCCGTATACAATATACACACACACTCGTCACCCTAATCGGGTATAGGGCTGATACTTATGCACTGTAATTTAAAATGATACATTTACTCCCTACACTGGGGAGTAAATGTACTCCCAGAGGGGTGTCACTTATGCGACAAGCATTTACTCCCTTATATTCAAACCTCTTTTACTCTGTGTGTGGTGTTTGGGAATATAGATTTCTTCAGATGATCTGACGTATAAGAATGCAATTATGTACTAGTCAGTAAAACAAAACTTCTGCTAATTTCATTAAATTATCAAATATAACCTTATGGATTTCTGAAACACGTTGGAACTGGCCGCATAACTGAGAAGGTACTTGTTAGTTTAGACATTTATATAATAATATACATTGCTGAAGTTTATTTATATCTTCAATACGAAGCAACTTAAGAGATTTAAATAAAGGATCACTTCTGGATCGTTGGTGAGAAGCTGATATGATACGTACAATCTTATTTTGCAGTGCACAAAGCTTTTTAGACTTGTTCGATATGTATTTGCCCATAAAATATTACAATAGGATAGGGATGGGAGAATCGAAGAACAATATATTAAAGTACTTAATATCGTTTTCGGTAAAAACAAACTAGGCGGTAAATAACAACTGTGTTTTGAGCTTTTTTTCTTCCAAGTGCATTTATATGATTTTTCCATGTTATCTATGAAAACACCAAGATACTTAGTGGAATCCACTCCGGGAAGAATATTATTATTTAATTTGATTTGTACAGAGCTCAAGTCAGGAGTTTTTGGAGAGTTGTAAAATATCATGTAGTTGCATTTCTTGAAGTTGATTGTTAATTCATTAGCAGCAAACCAATTGCAGACATTTATTAATTTAGATAGGGAAACATCTGGCTATGCGATAATAATTCTTTCAAAAATCGCGGAACAGAAAACAGTATGAGAGATGAAGTAGAAAACTGTTTTTAAAGAGCGAGAGAGAGAGAGAAGGACAGAGAGACAGACAGAGGGAAACTGAGAGAGAGAGGGAGGGAGAGAGAGAGAGAGAAAGTTGGGCGCATCGTATAGTCTGTTCTGTATTTATTATTATGATATGTTCTCTCTCCTTTCACCCCCCCCTTCCCCCTCGTTTTGGATTCTTCTTTAGTTTCATGTTATCATGTTTATATCTCTTCGCTCAAGTATAATGTCCGACGTGTATTATTACCGTCAATTTCAAATCCTTCAAATGTTTTACTTTTTATGAATTGTGTATTTTTTCATGAAATTAAGTATCCTGAATACAAGAGAAGAAGTAGAAGAAGTAGAAGAAGAAGAAGAAGAAGGAGAAGGAGAAGGAGAAGGAGGGGGAATAAGAGTGAGAAGAAAAAAGAAAAGATGCGGAGGAGAGAGAAGAAGAAGTACAAAATAAGAAGGAGGTGATAAAGAAGAAAATATAACGAAGAACAAAATCCTAGAAGAGCTAGCTGAAAGAACGTTAATAGAGGCTTGGAGCACGGCAGAGGATTGGTGTGCAACGTCCTAACGACGCGACGAAGCCAGATTGCCAAATGATCTGCGCATGTGCTAGGTTCCAGCTCGTCGAATCCACTGGCCATGTTTTAGCTCGCTTGAACGCACACGCATTGTGCCGCCCGTTGAACGCTCGCACGGTACGGCAGCGAACGGATCGAGTCTCCGATTTTAAATCTCGTTTGTGAGGTGGCTATCAGGCTGAATAATTTCGGAAGGAACGGATTAAACGTAGGTACAGAGTTTGAAATAAATTTAAAGGCGTTTGAACGATTTCCGAAAAGATATACTTTTTCAAGAATTTCTGTGGATAAGCTGATTTGATGATCGTTATTTGACAGTGTTCCTTTCCTTGGTTACAATTACAGTAAATGTGCGATCATCAGCTTTGCTACGGTGTATGTGGCATGTGAATAGTTTTACATGACGTTTAAAATTAACTAATAGGACCACGTAAACGCCTATCATACCTTCATATAGATGACACTCTTAATGGCAGCCACAATGAAGATGAGAAGTAGGGAACCTCCATACACCAGCATGTAAAACCAGAGATTAGGGTCGTTTACTAGCGATGGCGCTTCCTCATCCAATGTCTCGTTGTACTATGTATTAAAATCATGTAATACAAATATGAATAACGGATGAACAATACAAGTGTCACAGTGGTCTTATAAAGTCCGGGTAAGACAATCCGTTTCATTGATTGCAGGTGCCATTTTTTGTTCCATCTGTTCGGGGAAAGGGTAGTAATTTTGTATTTTTCAGTCGGACCAAGATTGACTTTTTGTCTGGGATCGGATGATCCGCAGATTGCTCACATGAAGTTTACCCAGGCTTTATTTCTTCAGTCGAAGAACCAGGATTTTGGTTGAATTCGATTGGTGCTAAACATTGACGGCAGAGTATATAAGAAGAGTTGGGTTGGAGTTTATTGTAGCAATCACCAACAAAAATTATGAGCTTTAAATATTTATTCTACAAAAAGATATTGCAATTTAAAAACCTGACTGATAGGAAAGCATAATTATGTATATGCTCAGTGGAGTATCTACGGGGTGAGGGGGAGGGCAGGATGGGCACTGGCGCTCTATTAACTCCGAGCGACATTTTGTATAGAGGATTGATGTCTTTCCAAACGGCACTAGTCCATGAAATTGGGTTCAAACCTGGGACCTTCAGGGTACGAGACCCTGATCTACCACTGAGCCCAATATTTTAGATAGCAGAGGTCTGCACTCACAGATCCGTTGCTGCTCTCTTCTATCCAGTAACTACCACTGAGCCCAATGTTCTATAGATAGCAGAGTGCTGCACTCACCGGTCGGTTGCTACTCTCTCCTATCCAGTAAGCCAGCCACCAGTTGTTAAATGTTAGCATCCCAATCACCACGATGTAGGTGAAGATGATTGAGGAGGCAGCGATGTAGCCTCCCATTGCTTGTATGTAACCCCGGTAGTCCTCCCAGGTCGGTGGTCCACTACACCGTATTTCTGATGTCATTAGCTGACCTGTATTTATAATAATAATAATAATAATAATAACTTTTATTTACCCAGGGTAGCCACTTCAGTTATGAAACTGTTCTTCCAGCGGGCCCTGCATAACATAATATGTTATTACTACCCTTCTCCAATCTAATATGCTGAGCGCCTAGCTAGAAGGCAGAAGGTCCCATTGTTATAAGTCTTTGGTATGACTCGGCCGGGGTTCGAACCCACGACCTCCCGTTCATGAGGCGGGCGCTCTAACGACTGAGCCACCATGCCCGGTTATAAGGTACATACAGTGAGACATATGAAAACTTGAAATGAGTCATTTTTAGGAGAGCATGGTCACATGACAATGATACTCCTACTACTACTAATTGCTTCTTATAAAGCGCTAAATACAAATTACAGATGATTATCCCAGTGACCTGATTCAAGTACGAATCTGTGTACATATTCTCCTCTCCTCTGCGAGCATTCCAGCCAGTCGCCCTTAACAAGCATACACTTGCTAACCCAAATCACAATTCTTTTCATATACCACTAAGTCTTGGTTTGATATGACCAATGTTGCTACAAGGCCTTACTGAAGGACATATTAGATGTTGTGCCGGGTTTCGAACCCGCGACCTTTACATATCCAGTCAAATGATCATGGAAATGCCTTGGAGAAATGTATTAAATTTCCAACTGAAAGGAGAAAGGGGCGTTTCCAATTGACTTTTGTTTTAAATAACTTAAACATATTATGTGTTCTATTTGCAACCAAAATCAGATGCTGTAGAACTTTGCAGAAATTATGAATATGTCTCGTATGTCCTATATGTGCAATTTAAACGTTAGCAGTGTCCTAGTATTCAATTATGCAAGGAAACCTGTCTACTTTCTAGACTTTACTGTCAGACACTATCGAGTGACTGACTGACTTCCTTCTTTATTTGGCAATTACATACATACAATGAGCAATAAAAGGTACATAAGCATTTGTCTACATTAATCACCCACTTCTTGTAATGACCACAATTAAACTAATTGAATCTTTGCGCAGCACAAAACGTACGATCATTTGGTACAAGGGTCTGAAAATCAAACTGCAATCCCTATATCCGATTCGACAACTAACGGCCCCCAAAAGACCTTTTCAAGCCCTTTCGTTTTGAGGAAAGTTCTAAATTAGTATTATCTTCAAATGCCGTTGGGATTTGACCTTTTCGTTGTTTTGGCCTGCAAATTGGATATAGTTCCTTAAACACAGAACCTCACTACCACAGAACATTACTAACAAACGCATATAAGCGCCACACAACCCAACCCACACAAACATACAACAAAATAAAGTTCTTTTTATGGGGAAAGTATGACGCTCCACACTCTTTAGCAATATCCAGGCAGGCGGGAATAAAGTTCCTCACATTTTTACACATGACGATAACAGGGAGTGTCGTGGTCGAGTGGTTTAAGGCTGGAGATGTGAAGGTCGAGGGTTCGAATCCCGACACGGCACTAATATCCTTTGGCAAGATATTAACCTGCACTTGCTACTCTCCCCCCAGGTGTCAAATGGGTACCCGGTAGGATGCGGCCGTCATTGTTGGTCCAACAGATTGTGAGCGTCAAGAAACGCTGGAATGCTCTCTTGGGAGTGGAGATTGTGCACACAGTGTGTGCGGGCAAGCACTGAATCCAATGACCGGGGTAATAGTATATTTGTAAAGCGCTTAGAGACATTTGTATTAAGCGCTATATACAAATTAAATATTATTATTATTATTATAACAGCTGAAGAAAAAAAATGCTGTGGAAAATGACAGAAACTACCGAATCATAAAAGAATACAACTAACCATCATCTTCTTGAATATCGATATCTACGTCATCATGACTCCCAAAACTTGTTGCTGATGATCTCTTTATTCTGCGTTGTGTAGTTGGTGTCATTGCGATAGCTGCGTCATTCAAATAACTCGAAATACTTGATGTTGATGATCTCTTTCTTCTGCGTTGTGTAGTTGGTGTCATTGCCATAGTTGCGTCATTAATATAACTACCAATACTTGCTGTTGATGATCTCCTTCCTCTGCGTTGTGTAGTTGGTGTAATTGCGATAGCTGCGTCATTATAACCCGAAATACTTGCTGTTGATGATATTTTACTTTTGCGTTGTGTAACTGGTGTCATTGTTATGCTTGTCGATGATATAGTCCGTCTTCTTTTGTTTCCACTGTTCGCCCTCGGCGACGGTGACGAAATTCGTCTACTTCGCTCTCTGTAGTATTAAACACACACAAAAGAGGACGGTATGAGTTATTATATCGCCTGCTAATGTTTTGCTATATACACTGTTGATCATAATAGTGGAAAAAAAAATTTACCCCAATTTATGGAATGATTTTGACAATGGTTTATTCCTAACAGATCAATATAATAGTATACATTCTCAGATCTATTGAATAATAATTTGCGTGTGTTTTTTTTTTGCGTGACTGCTAAAGCATGTGTGTGCTACTATGCTAATCAGCTAGGGGACCTACGTCTTTAAGTCATAACTGACAGTAATGAGGATTAATGCCTCACAGAAGGGCACTAATATAGCTGATCGACACGGTTTTGTTCGGGGCCTCACAGTAACGAGGCCATTGCTTAGCCACTGAATCATGACTGTACGCAGCAATACATTTTCAATAATTCATTGCATTTGCCCCCAGTCCCCAACAGGAACAATTCCTCTGTAGGGCCATGCATTATGGTTCAAGGCATGCCCACATAGAGGATCTTTTTAACTTAGGGATCGGGGCAAAATACAATGAATTATTGATAATTTATTGCATTTTCTTTGTTCTTTTGTATTTGTGGGGGTAACGCAGTACCCTAGCCCCTGCTGGAGCCCAAGATGGAGCACAGCTTGTAGATTGTTCATAGACTCCAAAGGTTATTACAATATTCTAAGTTGAAGAGAGTAATGAGAACGAACTAGGAACAGTTAAATAAATGCACCAATACATTATACATTGAATGTAGTTGAATTAGCAATACTGTAACGAGACTAAATAGATGAATATCTTAATGACACCCTCCAAATATAAACACCAGCTCGTAACCTTCACTTAAAGGTAATACAAAGTTTTGTAAGGGGTCATGAATTTGGTTCAAATGAACATATCGGAAGCATATGCGATTTTATAATATTCAGGGATCGTAGCTACCATGGAATGGCATTAGAAAATATTTAGAATATTCACAATTTGACCTGGAGCACCGGTAAATGTTTGATTATTCAATTTCTCAAAAGCATAAGTGTTTTAGGGGCTAACTTTTGTAGTGCTTATAAAACACCCACAAGGGCATCCAAATATATCAAATTTTAACGATTTACTATCCATCCAATTGTCAAAATGTCCCAATACTTTTCATACCTTTTGCAACTGACAATATATATTATCCCATATCTAGACTGAGGTATCTCAATTATAGATTCTGCCATTTTACCAAAAAGTGCACTCCAGCACTTCAGCATACCAGCATTATCTTCATTTTCTTCGTTTTAATATAAAACATATCAATGTATAGTTTGATGTATTAGTGTGAAATAAAATACTTGTCAATTTCCCAATTACAAGAAGAACCGAGTTAAGGATTGCATCTATTATATACCTTATGAAAACTGCTTGTTTCCTGGTTCTGGGGGAAGTAATTTCATCGTCTTCTTCTTCACCTTCTTGTATATCTTCGAGTTTGCGTGCAGTGTGTGGTGATAAGTCGAGCATATTCTCCTTTCTCTGACATGAGTTCACTGTGACTTCCTTGTTCCTTGATCCGGCCATTCATCATCACTGCTACAGAGTCACAGTCTTGTAAGTACTGCAAGAAGGAATACAATTATTAGGATCACTGAGCAGTTATTTGTTTTCGTTAAGTAGAATTTAAGCCACTTCTATCTACTAGTAATATTACATATACGTGTGGCCTAATAAAGGTTGGCAAATTTCAAACCTTGAGTGGCTTAAATTCGATACTGTTTATTCAAAGTGGAAAGGCATTTGTCAACCGTCAGGATTTCGGTAGAATGAGCACATATACATGGAGCTTGGGCAGTTACAGCCAATGATGTGTATGATACGCGACTTTATTTTTGGTGGGTGATTTTTCAATGAATAGAATTCCAGGAAGAATTAGCAGCTGGATATGAACTGCCATGGGTCACATGTCGCAGCCTCAACAGACTGCGTAATGGTTTTGGAAGAAGTGATGCAAACATACACAGGAGGGGATATCTCGACTCTAAAACATACTACAGAGTGCAGGGCCCTCAGACCATCTACTGAGCTGTGATATGCTAAATGACGGCCCTCAGACCGTTGACCTTTCATTTCAATTCAATTCAGAACTTTATTTCAGACTCAGCTGCACAAGTCAGAGGTCCATAAAACATATGTTACATATATATAGGGAAAAGAGCTGAGTATGAACATGATGAGTATAATAACAACAAATCGTACAAATACTAAAGAGTATAACAAATTAAACTATACTACGTATATACAATGTATCTGTAACATGTAACCTGTATCTGTATAATTGATAACAGAAGGCCTATAGCAATCTAACTCTAAGCTGTACCTGTAACTGCAAGATTGAAATAAATATATTTATACCAAAATATAGTTGTAACTTAATTGTAACAATCTCTGCTCACCTAATTAGAATAATATAATAATAATAGACAACTAGATATTAAAACAAGCAACAAGGACTATACTACAACCATGAGAGGCTGCATAGTCCTGGTAACATCATGCAAAATATGATCAATTCCGATGTGTCAGCAGGCTATTAAGCTAGAATTTCCAGAGGCCCGATGAGTACCTAAGACTACTATACGTGGGGTTCACTAATACCTTTACAATACCATACTCTCTGGATGAACTTATACATGAGATTTCGTTAAACAGCCAAACAGACTGGAACATTCAACTCAGCAAACACATGACTAGCACTAAAGTATCTAGGTACCCTAAGAAGCATTCTCATGGCATCATTATAGGCCACAGTAAGCCTTTACAAACTGCTCTTCTTAAAAGTACAAAGGTGTACAGTATGCCCTAAATAATGCCACCTTCACATCCGGAGAACACATATGAAATTTCCTAACGAACATATTACCTTGAGCATACAATTTACGACAATGTCGACTAATATCTTTATCATCACAAAGGTCCTCAGTATTAAGAAATGACATGATACATGACCTCTGTACACACATTGAGTTTAGCTCCACATAAATGAAATCTGGGAATACCAATCTACGGTGTTCCTTACATCTAATTATCATAACATGACTCTTTTTGCATTATATTTGACATCATTATCATATCCATAATCAGGACAAATCTTGAGCAAACTCTGCAACCCAGCAGTTGACGGGCTAATAATAACGAGGTCATCTACATACATTAAATGATTGAATACTATACTGCCAACTACACAGCCTTTTTTTTTTTACAAGCATTCAAATTGTCGGATAGACCATCCATGTACAAGTTTCTTTCCAAAATTCATTATAACTTTTACACTGCAATTTACGAGCAACAGAGTCCGCCCGCATGACTTTCTCATTATTCTTTATAAAACGGAGAGCATACTTGAATCGTGCATTGGCCCTCTTTTTTTTTAGCTCAAATAACCGTCCCTGTCTGTTTTTGCCAGCTTCAACCCAGAGTAGATGAGCCTCACGAGCAGCAGAGTGGAACTCTAACACATGCTCATTCCAGCCAGGCCTAGTATTTTGAACCTTGTTTTTACAGTGATATAGAGATTCACTAGCATCACATAAGCATTTCACAATATCATCATATGTATTACATACCTAATTAGCATGGTCATTGTTCACACAACTGGAATCTAGACATAACAAAGCATCGTGCGCATGTACATTAATTCCCTTAAGAAATAAATCAGTATCACAGCAATAATTATTCCTACGATTTATATCAATCTTAGTACAATCTAGCCTGCCTTTATGTACAGTGTTAGCCATGCCTGGATCACGTTGCCCAGGCAAATTGTCAACATCAATTGACAAATTATATATATATATATATATAGAAAGGTTTTATTGAATAAATTCCATCGTCGCAGTCTTACAACTGAATTGCCATTGGAATACAATTGAAAAGTACAAGTATTTACAAGTTAAAAGTACAATAGTCTTAGGACTATGACATAATATATATATATAAATTACCATATTAAAACTCTTTATATACCTCACTTAAGAAATCCAGCCATCTGATTGGTCGAAATTGCATTCATAAACTTCAACTATTTCTGTAAAATTCCCAGTAACCATGGTTAAAACAGTTCTATAATCCCAGTAACCATGGTTATTGGGAAAATAGTTCAGTCTCCATGGTTACCCCATAGGTTTACATGTTAAAAAATGGTCTGAGCGATCGAGGATACCGTACGTGTGCGAAGAATTGGTCGGTAATTTCAATACAATTGAATCTCGATCGATCTTACCGACAATTTTATCTTGCATTGTTGACATGAAGACGAAAATAAACTTCCAAAAACAGAAAAAAAAACATCTGCCGATAGATCTTGATCTAAATTTGTGCCAATATGCATTGCAAAAGTAAAAGAAGGGCCTGTTTAATGGAGCAGCCGCGAAGCATCCACCACGCAAAGCCGTTTTCAATCCATTTTAATGTATATATAAGAAAAAAATGTATGGTAACAGAGCGCGATAGCCGAACGGTTTATAGCGGTGATTTTAGTTACATCACCTTCTGTACGCAAGAGATCGAATCCCATCTTCGACAAAAGTTTTTTTATTTTTTATTTTTTTAAATTTTTTTTCGGCATATAAAAGTATTAATGACTGCTTTAATATTCGAAAATAGTTGTTTTTATACGCTCTCGAATTGGGCTATTGCCCTCGGCACGCCTCGGGTAATAGCACAATTCTAACCTTCCCTTGAGCGTATAAAAACAACTATTTCTCTCAAAGCAGTCATTAATACTATAATATCAAAATTCAGTGAGTATGGAAAGAAAGAAGAGATGAATGAGGAATAGGAGCAAGGAGCAAGAATCAACAGAAGGTGAGAAAAGAATGAAAGGAAAAGAAAAGAAGGGTAAGTAAGAGGAATATATCAAGAAAGATGAGGTGAAAAACATGTGTAATGAGCCTTCTATTAATAAGCTTTCGACAAGAACACACAGACAGAGATAGGATAACAAATTCATTTCGCTCAGTTTATAATGTCAAGATCTGCAAATTACTCACACGAAAGGAGTCCTTGTGATGTATAACGTAGAATACACATAGAGTTCTCAGACGAAATCATATTTAAATGCAATATTCGTAATAAATTGGCCTACTTCCCAGGTTATAGGTTATAGGCGTCTTCTTGCAGCGCCACCACCGGTAGGAATATGCTCGGTTGTAGCAAATCTATACATAATTTCCATCTTCTCTGGAGGCATTAGCATCTGCTGTACATATACAATGGTCCAACCATGACGTGGTATGCCATGCTTCACTATTACATAAGTTTAACTATCTGCAGGTAAATAATGCAAAGTTGGTAACACAAAATTATTATCACAACAAAATTGTTTCAAATGATTTCCAAATAAGGAACTATTGTCAGATATGTCTGCGTTCCAATCACCTACCACATAAACACTGGTAGTGTACTGTCTAGCTCAGAAATAACCGCCGCAATAAAAGCTTTTTTCTCAAGATAATCACTTTCATGTTCAGGACGCTCATAAGGAGTGTATATATTAATGATGACAAATTTCTTATCATCAGTTTTGAATTCAATCGCTACAGCCCAATCAACATTTAATCTAACTTCACTAATTAAGTGTTCATATCTAGTGTGCCAGAGTATAGCCACCCCACCAGGTATACGACCCCGAACCAGACCATTTCTGAGATCTGTAGTAGATTCACCAATACCATGTATAATGAATGTAAAGAGTTAATTTCATTTAAATCTTGCTTAGCTAACCAAGTTTCTTGAAGACAGATGATGTCTACCTCATCCTGAAATAGTTTTTCAATGACAAGACGACGAGATTTCTCTGCATTGCTCTGCCCAAGACGCAGCCCACGACAATTATAACTAACACAATTGAACTTAATTTAAAAAGGGTAGCATAATCCAAGCTAGGGCTCTCTCTGGCTCTTCTCTTCGAGTATTGAATGACTACTGCTCACAGGTCCAGAAGACTATAAAAGTGTCACAGACCCCTGCTTCCGAGGCTCATAGAACCTCCTAACAAAAATACCATCTGGCCAGATGTCAGGTGCATACATCTCATTGACGTCATTGCATAAAGCGGTAACCTGGAACGATGAGAAACGAGCATTCTCCTTTATTATCTTGCGACACTTACCCGAGTCATTCAGCCTTTCTGTTAGGTACTCCTGTAGCATGGTAGAATCCAGATCAGGGTCGAACCGAGTAGCAGAGACATTGACCTTCTTAGTCTTAACAGCTTAAATTTTTCCCTACAGTGGCTGTCCCCACTATACCCGGCTTCTTTTGGGGCTGTGGCCTTTCCTGTGGTTATTTGGTGCCTGGCTGGAGTTGGGTTCAATGTAAGGGGTTTTACGCTTCCAACCCCGACGTACCACCTGGCTCCAAAGATCCTCACTCCGGACTTCTTGTGGTACTGGTACAGCAGACATGGTGGTCGTGGAACTAGGAGCTTCTTGCACCGTAGAGATAGCCGACACACGTGAATCCATCTCGGATGTAACTAGTTGAATATCCTCAGTAACTTTTGCCTGTCACATAACAGATTTCTTCAGTGCTGTCATTTCACCCTTTAGTTTCTGAAGTCTTCCCAGCAAGGCTGACACATCGAGGCTGTCAAAACTAACAGGCTGTGACATGCTGGGTGACGGCCCTCAGACCATAGACCATCTACTGAGGTGTGACATGCTGAATGACAGATGGAATGAGAGGAACCTGGCAGCGGCCATCGACGTTTTGCCAGATATTAGGAAAATTAATGTGATGACTCTAAATGATGATTACTATTTTGCTGGTCGAAAAAACCCATCCCTTGCATAATGAAATATTTCGAGTTGATTAGAACCAGCAAGCTCTCTGAAACGAAAGATCGTATGAAAAACTAAAAATCTTTACCTGAAGCTGGTGTGTGACGAAAAGAATGGTTTTCTCGTTTAAGATTCCATTGATGCACCTCGTGAAGATGTGTTCTCCAACGTGTGCGTCTACTGCACTCAACGGATCATCTAGGAAATACACATCATGATCAGCATACACAGCACGCGCAAGACTGACCCTTTGCTTCTGACCACCACTCAAATTGATTCCTCGCTCAGCGATCTAAGGAAAGGATAATGACATACATGTAAGTATAACAAGTGAACACTTTGAATATATCCTCCACAATTATACTTTCACGATATCTGCATGATCTATTTCTTAAGAAATATTTGGTAAGGGTCTATCGATCGGATGGCTCTAAAACTATTGACAATATTTTACGCTTAAGAGAGCACTGGCTAAGTTTTTTTTTAAAAGCTCGCGGAAATTGGTTTGAGCTAAAAAAAATAATCAGTTTTTATCAAGAGCAAAGCGCTTATCAGATCAAGAATGGATTTGAACCATCAGTTAATTTTGTTGGCCTTATCATCTGCAGTCGTGAACCGTACCTCTCACACGTATACAAACACAAACACACACACACACACACACCACCACACACACGCACATTAAACAAACACATACACAGATACCATACACCCTACAATCGCGTGTGCATGCACATAAAATTGCAGGTAATTGTCTTTTCTGCACTTAATTCCCATTGTTATCTTCGACAGTGTGTAATGTAGTACAGAAAATGTGCACATTTTGTTAAATTTTCATAAAAGAGAGAACAAAATCTAAATTTTTACACAAGTAATTTATTTCCTTTGTTTGTCACATGTCTTCCATCTGATTTTCATGATACGTTGCTGTCAGTGTGAGACAAGCCAATATGTTTTACCGCCATGTTTAATTGAAGAAAGCAAAACAATACTTTGTCATTTGATATGTTTCTTTTCCTAATATCTAATTTTTCGTGCAACATCTTGTCTCTTGGGTCTTGTGATTTAAAAGATGAATATGAAATGTAAAAAAGAAAACAGGTATATGTTGGGTTCTCTTTCTCTCACTACATTTAGTCATTCCAACGTTATCCAGATGTTTATTCTACTTTAAGTTTTCCTTCTCTACCTAGATGTAGATATGGACCTAGCACTGATGGTGACGTGGCTACCCTGTGTAAGAAAGGCCCAGTTTATTACCTCTGTTTCATCTCCATTGGTTAAGATCGTCAGATCTTGTTTGAGGCTACAGGCCTCTAGGACCATAGCATAACGCTTCTCGTCCATCGGTTTTCCAAAGAGAATGTTCTCTCGCACTGTGGCGTTGAATATCCAGGCTTCCTGCGCAACGTAAGCGAACTTTCCCCTGACCTTGCAAGTGCCTTTGACCTTCTCCATCTGACCTAAGATGGCATTGACCAGCGAAGACTTCCCGCTGCCGACAGATCCGCATACACCAACCAAATGTCCCTAAGATTGAGCACGATTGTGCATTTAAATGTATGGGTGATTAATTCAATAAACGTCAATAATTAATAATAATCAAAAATGAAAATAGCATGACATATATCATTACAATGTAAAGAGGAGGAGAAATACCTTGAGAACATGAGGCTTGTGACGGGGGTTGCCATTAGCATACACACATCTATATTAACTACATCAAATATCTGCATTCAATAGAATTTCTTTATATTATGATAAAGGGCAATTGAAAGCATATTTCTTATAAAAAAAAGATAAATTGATTATTCATTTAACCATGCGAAATACTCAGTTGTAAGAAATAATTCGACTAATATGCAAATAGGAATACTCTACCATTTGCATCCAGTTGTGAAATGTAGGCTATATTCTATTTTAAAGTATTCGACATTTAGGCGAGCACTTTAGGGCAAGGACTTTATAAAAAAAAAAAAAAAAAAACCAGTTTTGTAAAATGATAATACCAAGCTTCCCTATTTACACAATTTATAACTTTGCCAACTAAGGGAACGGTGCAGATATTCAAATTTGTCGACAGAAGTCCAAAAAGAGTTTTTCTAACAACAAAAATGACCATGAAATGTTGCCTTGTGCAAAGTACCACCCCCGCCCCCCTCCCTAGGAAAGCCTCAGGGTCAAGGTAAGTCTGTGAATAGAGCAAAAGCGTGAAAATGAGGTACATTGATGCGTACGGGCCTGCCTCTCTGATCAAAAAGCAAATGTGTAATAATGCTTGAGTAACATTCAGTATATTCAAAATTAAATCAGATATGTCTGTATATTCAGGCGTGCCGGAAGCAGTTTGGGATTGGGGGGGGGGGCAAACATTCCGGGGGGCTCACCTTCCAGGGGCAGTGACGTAATGAGCAAAAACGTTTGGAAGGGGGAGGGGGGCAGAAGAAAAATCTGCATCACCACCACTCTTACACGTTACATGCAGGCCCCGCGGAACGTTTTTCAAAGTGGAGTATTAACGATCAGGTAGAGCGTAAATTGGCTTGGGGTCCAGGGTCTGAGCGTCGGCAGGGGGTCAAGGGCCTGAGCCCCTCGGAAGTTTAGGGTTTTTAGGCATTAAATTACGGCCAGATAAGCATATTTAGATACCTTATTTTTGACACTGACAGGTCACTAATTGGCGGAGAGTCCAGGGAGGAGAGCCCCCGGAAGCTCAAGGGTTTTAGGTATTTATTTACGGTTATATGAGCGTCCAGGGGCCCTCTTTAAGGCCATTGGTGTGGTCCAGGGGGCAAAGCCCCCGGAAGCTCAGAGGTTTTAATATTTAACTACGGTCAGCTGATCATCCAGGGGCCGCCTTAGGGCCCTTCGTGGGGTCCAGGGGCAGAGCCCCCGGAAGCTCAGGGGTGTTAGGTATTAATTACGGTCAGATGAGCATCCAGAGGCCGCCTTAGGACCCTTGGTGGGGTCCAGGGTGCAGAGCCCCTGGAAGCTCAGGGGTTTCGGGTATTTAATTACGGTTAGATGAGAGTCCAGGGCCCTCTTTAAGGCCATTGATGTGGTCCAGGGGGCAAAGCTCCCGAAAGCTCAGAGGTTTTAATATTTAACTACGGTCAGATAAGCATCCAGGGGCCGCCTTAGGGCCCTTTGTGGGGTCCAGGGGGCAGAGCCCTCGGAAGCTCAGGGGTGTTAGGTATTAATTACGGTCAGATGAGCATCCAGGGGGGGGGGGAAATGTGTCCCCCCCCCCCACTTCCGGCGCCTTTGCGTATATTTCTTCTACATAATGTTTTTATGTTACAAGAGAATTGCGAAGATTGATATAGATCAAATGGCAGGTAAGAATCGATCCAGGAACCGTGCACTTACATTTGGGAGGTCAAAGTTGACATCGAAAAGTACTGATACAATATTATTCGAGAATTCATCGGTCACACTATTACACTCGTGTTGTTTTACGTCAGATGTCTGTTCTTTAATTCCATTTGAATCGGTAGCATTGTGTGATCCGTTCTTTATCATCACTTCTAGAGAGAGAGAGAGAGAGAAAGAGAGAGAGAGAGAGTAAGAAAATAATATTTTTGATTTCCTGATATTTGTAATCCTTCAGCAGAAATTAATACATCAACTGTTTAAAGCCATTTCTGTCTTCAGTTTAGAGCAAACACTCTTTAGGTAGTTTAAGGCTGAAACGTGACAATCTACGGTAAAAACAACTTAAATGAAAACTTAAAAAAAAACTGTCTTGTTTAAATTCTGTGTGTAATAGATGATCTTTTTCTAATTCTGTCATATGAGTAAATCCACTTGTGACGACTGCCTGATTATAGCATCTGCTTTTTTTAAACGTTATGTTGAATGATAGATGTTAACACCTCGGCATTCAAAAACTTGCCTATGATTTGTAATACTTACATTACTTCATATTGGACATTACATGTATATTACTGTAAACAATGATTAAAGGGCTTTAAAAATACATTTTTTTTCCGTAGAAAACGTGCATGATATCGTTTTGTTCTAAATAATGACGAGTTTGGAAATCAATAAACCTTGAACCTAATGTTGATCTTACAATTACTAGATGGCAGCGATAGGATTAACCACGTGATCCAAGTGACTGGTGAAGATCCTTTACATTATACGAACATACCTGGGTCACCGCTACCATTCGTGTCGATAACTTCATTTTTGTTCGTATCTTCGGACGTAGTTTCCATGGTGATGTCATCTTGGATCGCATCTTCGTTGTATGAGATGTCATCCCATCCGAACTCTCCTCCTCTGATTTCAACCATGTTCTCACTACTATCTTCAAGCTTCTCATTCGCTTTCGCTTTGTCCATGATCATGATTGACTGGAATTAAACGCATACGTTTTTATAATATTTGAATGAGACACAGTACTCTTACCTATATATAAAACGTACTCTTCGAATAAATTTGGAAGAAACTACAATATCATTAGACATGAAAATAGATATATACATATTTTTCCTGATGGAGGTTCATAATGGTTATTATGAATGATGAAATAAAAATACCCAACCTGCTGACGTATTATAGATTAGTAGCCAGCAATCGGGTTTTTTCTTCACCTGAAAGGCCTACGCTACGCTAGAGTTACACATTTTACGCATTTTACATTTTACACATTTAGTATGTAGAAACATGCATCAGCAAAAACAGTTGAAGATATTAATCCTAGGTCGGACCACAGTTAGATTTTATGCCGTTGGTCTCCAGCTGTGTGCTGGTCTTCAGCTAATCAAAATATAACTCTGAGAATCATAACTAACTCTGCTTATGGTGATTCTCATTGTGTATTAAATGATAAACTTATAATGCACTCCCTCTCTCTCTCTCTTACCCCCATACCTTCAGTCGATCCAGTGCAACGTTAGATTCAGCCAGCATGCGGACGGCAAAGGGAGCAGGTCCAATAACAGCTCTACAAACGTTCAGAAGTGACACGAGAGTGAACGCCTGTAAGAATACGAACCCGGACATACTCGTTAAGCTCGAAGTAGGATTAACAAAAAGAACTTAAGTCCCGAATGTAGTGATTAACATTTTGAAGAAAAAAAAAACAACATCAAAGTGTTTGAATCATGCGTGAATCTATTTTTAAACTGCTAAGGAATAGTATTTTGGTATTGTTTCACATCGGAGGATTAAAAGTTTAGGAATTTAGAATTGAAAATTGCACATTAACTCATAGGATGCCATGAGGCTGCATACACGATACCGTTATAGTGCTTTGTACATGCGAGCTAACTATTGATTAACTGCCATGTGCATGCAAGCACGCATTCGTAATAGCAGTTATTGTTCATGCTTTAATGATGGACTATGCTGTGTGTTTCGCACGCGCTATTCATAGAACCATCGCGTTGGTCAGCTTATCTCCAAAACAACCTGGCACAGGGGGATTTGGTGCTTGGCATTTGGCATGATAAGAGTTAAGGCTCCTTCCTTTGCGTCAACTGATTCGATCATTTATAAAGAAGTCTTCTGTAAAATAGCGATATTTTATTTCCTAGGCCAGTTTTCCAACAACGCAGAATTTCTTTTTCTTCCCTAGCCCCCAGGGACTCGAAACGCGGACATTGAGATCCACAGTCCAGTAACTTATCTACTGGACTACAGCACCTCTCACCCATCAATAGGATATTCATTGTTCACTGTCTTTATACAATTATTCATCTATTTTCATTTGCCCTTAATAATGTGCCTGTCCTTGTCGTTTCTTTTGTCAAACACTAAATCACACAGCTTCATACCTAATGTATTGATGATCATTTCAGAGGGGCTTGCCATTACAAGCCACGCTTTTCAATAAGCCCCTTTTTCACATGCCACATACAAATAGTCTTACCTATAATATTGTTCAAACTGTCAAATTTGTTTAAAAAAATGTCGATCGCGTAATTAAATTATTTCAATGTTTATAATATTGTTTCCATATAAAATACCCTCCATTTTGATATACTAATGGATTTGTGAATACATTCAAGCATGTGAAATAAATAAATTCAAATTCAATTAAACAAATGTTGTATTACCTCAGCTGCAGTGAGTGAGTTTCCCATATAGATGTGGATGATGATGGATAGGACTGAAGCAAGACTTGGAATGATGGGAACATTGGATAGACTGAAACTCTGCAACATTCCCGCCTTTTCCAAATGCGACTTTTCTTGGCGGCGTAAAGCTTTACGATTGTGTAAGAAGTAATAATATGGGGGTAGAAGAGTGTTAGACCGGCGAAAATACAACGATAACTATTTTGCCAGTCCTTAAATAAACAAAATATGTTCTATCATTATTAGCTGCACTCATTCGTGTTATCACTTACTTCTTTGATGCAGTTTCGTGGAAAATAATATTTTCTCATTAGACCCCCATTTCCACACCCTACAGTATACATGTAAGTATACTTTTGTGATTCAATTTAGTGGGAGCATTATGTTGTTCTGTTTTGTGTTTGGCTTTTATTAGCGTCTACGATAACCATGAATTAACCAGAAGCACACCATGAATTTTGAAGATGAAACAGAGGGATGCTTGCATAATTGTATGCATGGCTGATGCTTTTTTCCAAAAAGAGAGGGACATGCATCGAAATCTGAAGGACAAAAAGATGAAAATACCTTTTATTGACTTGGCGAATGGTAGCTCCCAGGCATACATCTTGATCAGTTTTATGTAAGTCACAAGCTCATGCATCTTCTGGACACGGACATCGATGATCTCGATACATTGTATTCTTATCTTCGATATGGTCTTTCCAGCCATGACCTATGAGTCATGCAGAACATGACACAGGAAGAGCAAGAAAGAAAATTAATTGAGCGAGTACTGATTTCTACCACACATATTATACCGAGTGTAAGGATTCTAATTACCGAGTGAACTTCATAAATGACTTTCGGCTCACTCTAAGATACATTTTAGTTTGCTCTGCAGTGACTTACAACACCTAAGATGGAAGTGATGTACCCCTTATTATGAGTTGCAGAAGATTTTCAGTAAATATAAGATACGCGGGTCTGGCCTGTATTCGAGTCCGAGTACGTCCAAATGCAAATCAATAAAGTTTGACAACACCGTTATTCCACAGTCTTATTCTTAACAAAAGAAAAATAATTATGAGAGTAAAGTAATATATCGTAGCATATACTTTATGCGGAGTCTTACAGGTGTAATATTTAGTTTACTATTTGTGCGATTAGAAGATTTCAAAAAAATTATTTTGCACAAGGCAGTGTCATTCACTAGGAGAGTTTGGCCAATCCGGCTCGATTTGGGCACAATATGGCGAACACTGCTTTGTTCGGCAAGCACAAAACAAACGCACATGCGCCACTTTGTGACCGACTGAAACTAAATAGGCCAAACTCTGCGTATTATCGATGGCTCTGGCCCAAGGCTAGCACCGACGCTCTCACCTGCATAGGGACGAACAAGATGAATGTTGCGAGTGTCCCGATCAACGCCCCACTTCCGACTATGAACTGTGTCGTAATGAGGGTTGCTAGAAGCAAGGCTGGGGAGGAGATCAGGAAGTTTCCTACCACGCATACGTTGAAGAGACGTTGACTGTCGTTGGCACATATGTTCACAATCTGGTAGTGGTAGATTAAAGGAGTGAAGATAATATGATATCATTTCAGGAGACATGATAGCTCAGTGTCTCATAACTCGTAGATCACAGATTCGACGCGCTAGGGTGTACTATAGATTTGTTAATCCTCAATTAGAAAGTTCCTTGGGAAAGGTTATTACATCTGCCATGTCATTGATACTAATTAGTTGCTTACGTATCAGTCGGGTAAAATAATGATTTTTCAACCTAACAAAAATCGCTTCAATAAAATGGCAAAAGATGGGAAATATGAAAGGCTAGTGGATGATGACAAGCAGGAATTGTCCGAATATATGGGTCTTGAAGTCATGTTTGAAACCTGTAACCTGCATCCTTGAAATATTGGTGGTATGCCTACGAATGACCGCTTTCCTGCATTTGATCGATATTTTGGGGAGGGGGGGGGGGAGAAATGGTCGCTGTATGGGGGCTGGACCTAAGGTTATGCAGATGGTATCAATGAAATGCTTAACATGGATAAGTTCTTTAAGATCCGACGGGGGGGGGGGATGCAAATTTGTGATTCCCAAACCATTCAGCTATGGGAGACTTTATGAGCAACGTGATTGGTCGAGAGAAGAAATAAATATTACGGGGGGAAGGGGGAGGCTATGACTGTAAAGACAAGTTTGGAATCTCTGCAAAGTTGACAGTTACCTTTAAAGTTGGAATTTGATAATATGAAAAATCAAGATTTCCTACCTCCCCGACGCTGTGCTGCTGTAGACTCCTAAGGTTAGCTAGCTTGCGAAACGCCACAGTCAGCATACCGCTCCGTAGACGTGTGGCTGTTCGACAGTTGAATGAGCGAGAGAAGACGTCGCCCGTTATACGAACGATTTGGAGGATGAAGATAGAGACAACGAGTACGATGCCGGACCAGAGGTCGACCTCCTCCTCCTCAGTATACTCCAGTAACCTCTGTACAAGGACAGCCTACAAACACACACATAATTATGATAGATTACATGGGGGAATCTCGGGAAACATCGGTCCATATGCACACCCCCAACTTGTTATATAGGAAATGGTGGCCCGATCGGAGTCACAGTGATTTTGTTAGCTTTCCCCTCCCTGGTACAGATGACGCCAGATGTTTGATGATAAGAACAATAATAACCAAGGTCAGGCACGTACGCAGGGGGTAGGGGGGTTGGGGGGTTGAACCCCCCCCCCTTTGATATTTTGTATGTGCATGCGTACAAATGTATTTTGGACGAAATTACCCCCCCCCCCCTGCTTATTCAACGGTTGGCTGAGTCGTTGCGATTTGTTGGGACCAACAAAAAAAAGTGTCCTCTTACCCTGGAAACTCTGGATGCGGAAAAAATGTATTTGACACGTCCGACGGACTTCACAAAGAATGGATTACATTTTCAAATGGTGGAACTCTTCAGTCATAGAATAAACAAAGGAGGAAGAGAAGAATATAAGGTTAAGGAGAAGAAAAAAAATGAGAAGAGGAAAAAGAAGAAGAATGAGGAGGGGGAGGAAGAAAGAAAGGAATAAAGAATGAAAGTACCAACAAATAAACCTCAATTCATACAGTTTGTTCAGGGCCCTGTTTCATAAAAAAAAAATCTTATTAATAGAAATGCCACAGTTCTATTACAATTTTATTCTCATTCAATCAAATGCAAGGATGCCAGTTGCTTATGAAAGTTATAAAAACATTTAATTAATAACAAGGATCATGAAACAGTGCCCGTGAACAAATGAGGTAATAGGTTCCTTACTTCGTTCATAATTTATAATCGTATTTATTTATGTCCTACAAGACATATAAACAATTGCTACATTAAATATTTTTGAGCGAGATCTAAGGAGGAATATTAACTGCTTACAGATGTGACGAAAGACGCCATCAGCGCGACGACAAGCACAGCAGCTGATACGATCTGCCTGGTCCTTACAAATCGAATGGCTACTCTCCCGATAGAAGCTTCCTCCTCACTACCACTCAGAGCCACTTCTTCCATCCACAGTCTCTCCAGTCTGCGTACAATCATTGATTGGGTTAAGAAACATCATGGGGGGGGGGGTGGCGGTATGATACAGTTTAAAGAATAATTGACTATGGTTTGAAAAGGTACATGTTTAGACAATGACGTTTGGATTCAATTTCCCATTTTATCTTGACAATAATCAACAACTTTAATTCAATTGATTAATTAGAAATAGGCATTATGTCATTGAATCTGCAATATTGTACCCCCATCCATTCATGAACGTCTTGGTCGGAACACAAAATATATCCGTAAAAAAGAGTAGAAACAGTGATCTCGGAATGCTTATAAAATAAACCTGATGAGTTGTACGTTTTGCGGTACGTCCGATGTCCTCAAAACTTAATCACTGGTAATTTGTAAATCGTAAATGGTGAGCAAAATGATTTAGATAAGCTAAAGATAATGTTGTAAAGGTAGCACCGCCCCCATCCCCATCATCGTCATCCTCATTATCAACATCATTGCCGTCCTAATAAAAAGATCTCCCTTTCAATGTCTGTCTGTTATATTTCTTTATCCCCCTTTTAAAAGTTAGGAGTGGGAGAATTGGGTCATTGGAACCTAAGGAATTCATGTATTTTATTTTAATGTTAGCAGAGCCCACTTGAATTTTGCAAAACGTTCTCTACATGGGTCGTTGATATAGAATGCTTTACCTATCTCCGTTATAATCGCCTCTGTCATACTCCGACATCGTTCCAAGATCGGCATACTCAAGCGTCTTTTTATAAGCCTTGAAGAACAAGGACGTCATCCATGACAGCCATACGAATGAAAGAAGTCCACAATGATCCAACGGTGAATATTGTTCATTTCTGCATAGAAAAAATACACAATAAATTTCTCCACTTAAAGGTATAGACCAGTTCTAGTCATGCGATTGCATTGTGAAAGAAACGTTGTGGAATCAATCAGAACAGGTTGATCATCTAGCATATAAGTATTGGTGTGTACTGCAAGGTTCTGGATACGAAATTTGGCCCAGTCTTGGTAAAGTTACAAGTACACAGAAAGATGTACAGTATATGTGACTACGCGATATATATCCAGTCCGGATATTTACCAAATACACTGTATATCAATTAGTAGGCGGTTTTTGGCATTTTTTTTGTATCATCATGTATTAGTACAGAAAAAAAACATATTCTTTCACATGATTGGTAATAACAGCTTCCATTTCATTTTTTGAGAGTGGTCGGTCCAAAACTGCTCTTACTATACCTTTAACACATCCATTAACCGTCAACAGTAATAATGATGATTACATGAAGCTATACTCAGCACGATTTAGATTTGACCGCATCTATACAGTGCGTATAACAAGTTTATTCGAATTTAGCAGATTCCCAAATTAAAAGTCAAAACTTGGGTTACCGGGTTTACAGTCCGTTCGATTTAACAATTCATTCAAAAGACTTCACAAGAAACATCTTCTCTCTCTTTATAATGCATTATATATTTAAAGACCACATCTCTCATACCAAAATGCAAGCCCCCCCCCCCCCCCCCCCCTAAGCATGTGTTATTATTACTTGTGCGCCTGGTGCATTCAATTGTCAATTATTACTTATACACCGTTTTCAATTTATATTATGGTGTATACTTTCGTTATATTTGTGATGTATTATTATGTCAATTTATATGTAAGTTTGATATATTGTTATCTCAGTGTTATGATATTCCATAGTTTAACTTTGTATATATTGTCATGATGATGGCAATATTTAGACACTTCACTTGATACCCGAAATATAATGAAGACTTTGGACTCGAGTCTACTCCCTGGTTTTCCAAGATAATCGGCGTGTTTGACACAAATTCACGGATTTTTCTTGTTTTGGTAGTAGTATTATTAGTATATCGGTTGTTTTTTTATGTACGTACAGCCTGCTACATTCACATAACTGCGCCAGGAGTGTCATTTTTGACAGACAGGCGCATTATAAATGTTCACTATTATTATTTATTATTACATCTTAGTTCTTGTCAGGGTCGGAAGTAGTTATGGAAATTGGGAACTGTTTTTGTTTTTGTTTTGTTTTTAAAAACATTGCAAATACAGAGCTTCGTATTAGTAATATTATGACCATATTGATCCTTTAAGCGGTTTTGTTTTAGAATATTAAAAAATAAGTCTTATCTCACAATAAGATCTGTAACTAAATTGTCGGCATCATAATCAAGACTTTTATAGAAAAATGTAATGGTCAAACAACGACACTGAAGAAGCAGCAATGTTGCTTTTGTAGGAACAAAATAACAGTGGGGGGGGGGGGGTCATACAATTTGCTCTTGATAAATGATATTATTGATTGAAATCACTACACTGGGCTTGTACCAAGATATTCGTTTATCTCCCTCTCTGTCCATTTATGTTTGTTCCTCTCCCTACCTCTACTCTTCCACTGCTTCTCTTCCCAATCCCTCCCTCTCTTTCTCTCTCTCTCTCTCTCTCTCATCCCATCTCTCTCTCTCTTTCTTACCCTCTCCCTCCTGTTCTCTCTCTCTCTCTCTCTCTCACACACACACACACTCTCTCCTCTGTCTTTCTTCTATATATAACTGGATCCCTATATCCAGGAAAAACAAAATTCGTGTATTGATTTCTTGAATAAATCTCGTTACGTCTGTCGATTCATTCAAAACCTAACGTACTAAATACGAGAGACGCTTTGTCAATCTCATGCAAGCAACAATGAACAAACTACGCCAAGAATCAAGTGGAGATAATTGGCCATACAGAATCGTAAAGAGTAAGACATCTTTGAGTTCTCAACCAAATCATGTATTATATAACACGGAAAATAGGTTAAGTCACCCCTGCTGTAGAGTCTACTTCACTATACCAAAGGGAATGAATTGTTTTTCTCTCCTGTCTCGATCATTCCATATCAGCGAACGAGTTTAGATTTTCTTTTCGCAATTGACTATTTAGTTGGTAGACAGCATCTTTTTAAGCGTTTTTTTTTGTTGCTTTCTGTCGGTTCATTTCCCGGCTACGCAAGCGCTTGTCTCCAGTTTCTAGGCCAGAAACTGTTGGTTATCTAATAATTCAAAGAGTCGATATCCTTATCATGAAGGCCTGATATAGTTTGACCTCCTTCTGATTTCAAAGGACGCTCCTATTGTCGTGATGACAATCTCTTTCGAACAATATCTCTTTCATATCATTGGCACCGGCTTGAGCGTGCAGTCAAGCCGAAAACTTGAGGGGGTGGTGTATAAACGTCGTAATGTATCGCGGGTAAAATTTCGCGATTTTTTTTTTTTGCCCGCGGTTGCCCGTGGTGGAAAATGTGCAAAATTGGCTTACCCGCGGTTTACCCGTGGTATGCCCGCGGAACAGACGCCGGCGACTGTTCCGCGTCCTTATCGCGGGTGAAGCGCGGCGGTACCGCGGCCTACCACGCTTACACGCGGTACGCACGCTAATGCACGTGATAACAACGCGGTACAGACGCGGAACAAACGTGCTATGACCGTGCTCCACCCGCGATTACCCGCTAAAATTTCGCGTCCAATTCCGCGTGTAACCACGTCTTAACCGCGGCCGTAGCACGTCCTAGCACGTTCGTTCCGCGTCTGTACCGCGTCTTTACCGCGTGTGTACCACGTGTACCACGTGTACCGCCCGCGATTACCCGCGGTCTAAATTTTTGGGCAGCCCAAAACTTTTTCGCGCGGCCAACCGCGTGTGAATTTCTTACCGCGTGTAACGACGGGTAAAGTACGGCTGTATCGCGTCTTTATCGCGACCTCAAAGCGTCCAACAGCGTCTGCTTCACGGGCAGAAATTTTGGGCCGTGATTCGGCCGCGATACGCCCGTGGAGGGCTGTGTGACCGGGCCTTTCCTCATTTGTAACCTAAATATAGAGTGCTTTTGCAAACACGGCGGAAGGAAAAGATGAGGGTAACCGAGCAAAATAATCAATCTGCGCATGTTGATTTTCATGAGCGTAATAATAATAATAGCTTTCGTTCACTAAACTCGACGGAAGAGTTGTATCACCGTAATGTAACCGAATCTAATGCATAGGTCTTTGTGAAGTGCCTCCATACAACTTATTTCATTCACCTGATAAGAATAATAGTATTTCAATAAACATAATCCGAACTGCATACATTTTGATCTAGGTTGAGTGAATTCTCCCGTCCTCTTTGCCTTCCGTCGCGTTGCTAAAGCGCCCTAATGAGGGACACGGGAACGATTGGAACGATGCACTGGACTCACTCGGAAAGTGTAATACGAATGCCTCCCCCTTGTTTCTAATACATGTTAAAATATTATTTTCGGCATCACAAGACTCTCGAGGGAATGTATATCTCAAATCGTTTACATGGTGAGAGGGGGAGCCCCCTCCTACATCAATCCTTAATACTATATGCGGTGAGGTCGGTGAAGTATGGTTCTAGCAGATTTGGGGCTCCATTATCACCCTGCGTTCTTTTTTAAAACAAACATATATATTAGCACTACTACTAATAGACAATTTAATAATAATGATGATTGTAATAATAATAATAATGAAGCAGAAATGTATAGTGTGCAACAATCCACCCATGCAGATAGTGCTCATGGCGCCGAAAACATATTCAATAGAAAACACACGACTGAAAAAAATACATATTGCCCGACTAAAAAAATGGAGGGGAAAAAGGGGAAAGATAGAAGAAAGAAAACTCACGTAGGCTTGAGTCTAATGGGTATAAGTAGCTGGACGCTTTTCCTGTATTTAAATCCATCTCTCCCACTATCATCCATTTGAATACTTTCTTTATGATCGACGTTCTCATCCTGCTTGGTCGCCTCAACCTGGTTCGTCGTCGTCGTCGTCGTCGTCGTCGTAATCGTCTCGTCCATTGGGGTCAAGGTAACCGCTGTCATTTCGACCCCACCATCTTTGGAAAGACAGGGAATATAACAAATAATTATGTAAGAGCGATTGAAGTCGATGCTATTGGTATATGGTGTTAGATTCAGGTACGTAGTAAGGGAAGTTGAACGACTTTCTTTTCAATTTCGCTTGTTTATAATTATTCGAACTATGACGCTTGTTAAAAATATAAAATATATAGTTTCTAAAATTCCTTGTGTCATTTGTTTGTTCTTCTTCTCCTTCTTTTCAATCTTCTCCTTCTTCTTCATTGTTTTTCTTTTACTTCTTCTTCTTATTCGTTTACTTTGCATGCTTGTCAGCACAATTTGGTACACATGTGTCTCCCTTACGGAAAGAACTTAAATGCTTATCGGTGGGACCCGGAAAATCATATATCTATATAATGATATAAATACAAAATCCAACATAAAGCTTCATATGACTCAACACATTTATTTGGGATGTCAAAAGTACCCGGATTTGATAACTTCAATGGATGGTATTCTCAAAAGCGGACTAACTTTAGTCCATGGTTTAATCCACCGACTAAGTATGGAATGCCAAGTGTCCATATGAATATATTTTTTAATAATTTGATATATGTCCCTAAATTACCATGATAACATAATTATATCATAGTTATATTGTTGTTTATTTATTATGTTATTACATTTTATTTTAATTTAGTGACAGATTAAATTATTCAAAAACATATTCATATGGACACTTGGCATTCCATAATTAGTCGGTGAATTAAACAAAGGACTAAAAGTAGTCCGCTTTCGAGAATACCACCCAATGGGTGGTATTCTCATAAGTTAAGCCGGGACTAAGTCCAGACTAAACAAGAATTTTAGTTCACACTTCTATGGAATGCTAGGTTTCATCTTCCTCCTTCAATATTCATGACAAAGATAATCTACCAAAAACTTTGTTGAAATTCAGTTCATACTCATATTATCTTTTTCTTCCCATTTCATTGCAAAATTAATTTTTTGAACACTTTTCATTGAAGGATTAAAATAATCTGTACAGGGTAAATTAGTTTGCAACAGGCACTCCATAGAAGTGTGAACTAACTAAGTACGCGCTAACTTAGTACGCGCTACCGGAATACCACCCAATGACTTTAATTTAGGTAGGAAAACAGGTACACTCTAAAAACTAGAGTGCTGTTTTTAGCATTTGGAGGGTTATGTATATACGTAGCACTTTTTGTTCTAATACAGTGCGTCCCAGAAAAAACGAAACCGGGAATTATCGATGTTTTATCATATCTTAGTCACATTTAAAATTAATATATGACACATATTTGGAAAGCTTAGATCCTCCTCTTTCATTTGATGCAACTCATATGATGCATATTTTACGCATGAGTGATACCAATGAATTGAAGAGAGGCAACCAAAAAGTCATTTGGCGGACCGTATCTGAATTTCAAAGAGAAAATCACATTTCTAAAAAGTTGAGTTTCTGCCCTTTCATATGACACCTCAATCAGGAAAAATGAGCAAGGAATGACAAAGTTCTGTTTGTTTAAAGAAGTGCTTGCATTTCCATAATTTTATCAAACGAATTCATTTTCACTGGCTGCCTGCCGTAGCAACAAGCAGAATTGACAAAAGACTTAACTCCGTTTCGTTGACAATCAGCCATGCATGAAGTCTTTCGTCTATATTATGTATTTTGCCAATGTATACAGTAGGCTGACGGGGAGGATTGGGGAGTCCTGAAAAGGACTGTCGGTAATCTTTATTTCTTGAGAGTATGTGTAGTTCTGTAAAGGACTGTTGGTAATCTTTCTTGAGCTTATATTTCTGAGGAGAACTAATGCGCCGGTTAGAGAGGATGGGTAGTAGGAGTGGCTCGACGTTTCGAACAGGTTGACTATCCGTCGTCAATGTATTCGAGAAAGATCGCGTAAACTTAATGCAAATAAAAATCACAATATTTTCCAAAGATATTATAAATACATGTTAACCAAAAAAAGGTCATAAACTTTGAATTGCTTACCTGACGTCATTGCATCTTCTGTTTCTGGCATCATGGCATCACCTGATACATCACTCTCTTCTAAATGCGTGTCAGGCATTATTGAACTTTTTTCTAGAAAAGACCAAAAAGAAAATGGTGACGTCATTTATATGCAAAGTATATTTTAGTGCAGTATAGCCTCAGCCTGACTTTAAAGGTAAAGACCAGTTTTGGAACCCCCCCCCCCTCTCAAAAAATGAAAAGGAAGCTCTTATTACCAATCATGTGAAAGAATATGTTTTGACTAATACGTGATGATACAAATTTTGCCGGGAACCGCCTACTAATTGATATATTTGGTAAATTATTATATCTATCTGGACCGGATAGATTACGCGCACGTGTCACGCACGTGTCACGTAGTCCCAAATACATATTTCTGTTTACAGTGCTTGTAACTTTACCAAGACTGTGCCAAATTTCTTATGATTTTTATGATTCCAGAACCTTGCAGTATACACCAATACTTATATGCTAGATGATCAACCTTTTCTGATCGATTCCACAACGTTTCTTTCACAATGCAATCGCATGACCAGAACTGATCTTTACCTTTTAACACCATCCAGCATTAAACCCCGTGTGTTGCTATGGATCCATCGATATTATCGAAATTCCTCTACATTTAATATAATACAAAGCATACCGAGTTTAGCGCTACCATAATTATATTTCGCAACGATTTTTCCTTTTAAGTGATTTAGCTAAATATTACATTATGACAATAATATCGTCTATATGCGCTTCCAATACTTATAGCTACCCCAGTTTAGCTTAATATCATTCGATGTCTCAAATCTAGTACTGTCGTCACAGGCTGCGAATTGATGAAACTAAACAGAGAAATAACGGTTAAAACATCTATCTCTTACCTGTTTTTTCCTCGATGTACACAGCTATCTCTTAAAGAAAGTGTAATAGCCTGCATGTATGTAGTTAAGACGGGTTAACAAGTTAAGCCTCAGTGAATAAATCTATTCTCCCTCTTCTTGGTCAAAATACTCAGAAAAGTATTCATTTCACCTATTCTATTCACCTTACAAAGCAGCTTATATTATCGATGCATCGTCCCGTGATGTAACAATAGTGCATTATCTATTAAAGTGAAACATGACAAAGCATTTCGATTTCTTTATTCTTATTTGAGGGTTTTTTTTTAAGGCTGGCGCGCTGGACGTAGGGGCATACAAAAATCAATATTTGCAGTTTGAGGGGAAGGATGATCTAATTCTGAATTAGATCATCCTTCCTCTCAAACTGCAAATAATTAGATCATCCTTCCCCTCAAACTGCAAATATTGATTTTTGTATGCTGAATCAGCATAATGATGAAATATCTAGTATGGTTCTTATGCAACCTTCCTGGGAATAACTTTAATTTGTAAATCAAGTAAATAAAGATTACGAGCTCGATATCATGTAATAAAAAAACAGGTCAGCAAAACTTTTGGAAACAGCGGGATTTAAACCTGCCATTTATCGCTTGCCGGGAAGCGGCTCTACCATCAGACCATCACTAGTCTATGGTGGCCCTGAAGGGACATCGCGAATAGACTAAATCGTGAAAAATATGCGATAAAATTCACGATATCGTCAATTTTATCGCATATTTTTCACGAAGAAATTCACGAAATTGACGATATCGTGAACTTTATCGTGAACTTTTCACGATGAAATTGACGATATCGTGAATTTTATCGTGAAAAGTTCACGATATAAAGTTCACGATATCGTCAATTTTATCGTGTACTCTATCGTGTACTCTATCGCGTACTCTCCTGACGGGCGCTTCGTAAACAAAACCAGCCCTAGCTGGGGGAGACAGAGAGAAGGAAAAAAGGGAAAGGGAAAGAGAAGATAAAAGGAAAGAAAGAATAATAAGAAGAAAAGAGGGAAACGGGGGGGGGGGCGAAGGGCTCTTGCCTCCTCCTCACTCCCCCCCCCCCTCCCCGCCAAAAAATAAATCAGAGAGAGAGAGAGAAGGGAAAGGGAAAGGGAAAGAGAAGATAAAAGGAAAGAAAGAAGAGGAAGAAGAAGAAAAGAGGGAAACGGGGGCAAAGGGCTTTTGCCTCGTCCCCCGCCCCCGCCCAAAAATAAATAAGAGAGAGAGAAAGAGAAGGAAAGGGAAAGAGAAGAAAGAAAGAGAAAAACAAAAAAGAGGGAGAATAGGAAAGAAAGGAAAAGAAAGAAAAGAAAGGAGGCAAGAGCCCTTCGCCCCTGTTTCCCTCTTTTCTTATTCTTTTTCCTCTTCTTTCTTTCCTTTTATATTTTCTTTCCCTCTCCCTTCTCTTTCCCTTTATGGCGGGAGGGGGGAGGGGGAGGTAAGAGCCTTTCGCCCTTCCCCCGTTTCCCTCTTTCCGTCTTCTTCTTCTTTCTTTCCTTTTATATTTTCTTTCCCTTTCCCTTTCCCTTCTCTCTATCTCTCTCTCTCTCTCCTATTTATTTGTTGGCGCGGGAGGGGGGGGGGGGAGGAGGCAAGACCGCAAGAGCCCCTCTTTTCTTCTTATTCTTCTTCCTTTCCTTTTTTATTCTCTTTCCCTTTCCCTTCTCTCTCTCTCTCTCTCTCTTATTTATTTTTGGGCGGGGGGGGGGGTGCAAGAGCCCTTCGCCCCCGTTTCCCTCTTTCCCTCTTCTTCTTCCTCTTCTTTCTTTCCTTTTATCTTCTCTTTCCCTTTCCCTTTCCCTTCTCTCTCTATCTCTTATTTTTTTTTTGGCGGGGGTGGGGAGGGAGGAGGCAAGAGCCCTTCGCCCTTCCCCCGTTTCCCTCTTTTCTTCTTATTCCTCTTCTTTCTTTCCTTTTATATTTTCTTTCCCTTTCCCTTCTCTCTCTTATTTATTTTTGGCGGGGGGGGGGAGGAGGCAAGAGCCCTTCGCCCTTCCCCTGTTTCCCTCTTATTCCTCTTCTTTCTTTCCCTTTCCCTTCTCTCTCTCCCTCTCTCTCTCTTATTTATTTTTTGGGCGGGGGGGGGGGTGCAAGAGCCCTTCGCCCCCGTTTCCCTCTTTTCTTCTTCTTCTTCCTCTTCTTTCTTTCCTTTTATCTTCTCTTTCCCTTTCCCTTTCCCTTCTCTCTCTATCTCTTATTTTTTTTTTGGCGGGGGTGGGGAGGGAGGAGGCAAGAGCCCTTCGCCCTTCCCCCGTTTCCCTCTTTTCTTCTTATTCCTCTTCTTTCTTTCCTTTTATATTTTCTTTCCCTTTCCCTTCTCTCTCTTATTTATTTTTGGCGGGGGGGGGGGGGAGGAGGCAAGAGCCCTTCGCCCTTCCCCTGTTTCCCTCTTATTCCTCTTCTTTCTTTCCCTTTCCCTTCTCTCTCTCTCTCTCTCTCTTATTTATTTTTTTGGCGGGGGGGGGAGGGGGGGAGGTAAGAGCCTTTCGCCCTTCCCCCGTTTCCCTCTTTCCTTCTTCCTCTTCTTTCTTTCCTTTTATATTTTCTTTCCCTTTCCCTTTCCCTTCTCTCTCTCCTTATTTATTTTTTTGGCGGGGGGGGGGGGGGGGAGTGAGGAGGAGGCAAGAGCCCTTCGCCCCCCCCCCCCGTTTCCCTCTTTTCTTCTTCTTATTTTTTCTTTCCTTTTATCTTCTCTTTCCCTTTCCCTTTTTTCCTTCTCTCTGTCTCCCCCAGCTAGGGCTGGTTTTGTTTACGAAGCGCCCGTCAGGAGAGTACACGAGAGAGTACACGATAGAGTACACGATAAAATTGACGATATCGTGAACTTTATATCGTGAACTTTTCACGATAAAATTCACGATATCGTCAATTTCATCGTGAAAAGTTCACGATAAAGTTCACGATATTGTCAATTTCGTGAATTTCTTCGTGAAAAATATGCGATAAAATTGACGATATCGTGAATTTTATCGCATATTTTTCACGATTTAGTCTATTCGCGATGTCCCTTCAGGGCCACCATACTAGTCCTTGGCACAGTCACGATGAACTGAAGGCTTATGACCCAGCCAGAGACCTCGGCTGCCCTTAGTCACCGGTGATCGCCGACGGCGATAATTTTTTCCGTGCCACTAACGCGTGACATCGTCTAATTTTATTCCGCAGAGCGGCTTGGTCAGGAACCACTCTCGGAACCGTACTTACGAACTGTACTGTCTTATTATGTATATTCCCTCTCACTGCACTGTGTGTGTGCGCAGGCGCGGATCCAGGGGGGGGGGGCGAGCGTGCCTTGCCCCCCCCCCCCCGCAAAAAAAAAAAAAAAAAAAAGGAGAGAGAGAGAAGGAAAAGAAGGGAAAGAAGAGAGAAAGGGAAAACAAGAAGAGGAAGAAGGAAAAAAAAGAGGGAAGAAGGAGATCGGGGGGCAAGGACTTGCCTCCCCCCCTTCCCCCTAATAAAAAAATAAAAGAGAAGGAAGGAAAGGGAAAGAAAAAAGATAAAGAGGAGATAAAGGTAAGGACAAAATAGGAAGAAGAAAAAAAAAGAAGGGGGATATCAGTTGCAATTTTCCCGCCAACAAGTTGTGGATCGAGGGGGGGGGGGAAGACCCTAGCTTCCCCCCCCCCCCCGTCCCCGCTAAAAAAAGAGAGAAGGAAGGAAAAGGATAAGATGAGAGCTAAAAGGGAACAAAAAGAGAGAAAAGAAGTGGAGCGGGTTGGGGACCAAAATGACCGTGCCCCTCCCCCCCCCCCCCCATCAAAACTAAAAGAGAGATGAGGAAGGGAAGGGAAAGTGAAAGAGGAGAGAAAGGGAAAGGAAAAAAAAGAGAATGAAGAAAGGTAAGGGATATCAGTTGCAATTTTCCCGCCAACAAGGTGTAGATCGGAGGGAGCGGGGGGGGGGGGGGGTTGGAGAAATCAAAAATGCTCATCTGACCATGATTAAAATTAATGCCTAGAATCCTAAGGGCTCTGCCCCCTGGACCCCACGCCAAATAGTGTCCTGCCAGTGTCACAAATAATAAGGTATCAAAAATGCTCATCTGACCGTAATTAAACGCCTAAAACCCCTGAGCTTCTGGGGGCTCTGTCCCCTGGACCCCACGCCAAATAGTGTCCTGCTTGTGTCACAAATAATAAGGTATCAAAAATGCTCATCTGACCGTAATTAAACGCCTAAAACCCCTGAGCTTCTGGGGGCTCTGCCCCCTGGACCCCACGCCAAATAGTGTCCTGCTTGTGTCACAAATAATAAGGTATCAAAAATGCTCATCTGACCGTAATTAAACGCCTAAAACCCCTGAGCTTCTGGGGGCTCTGTCCCCTGGACCCCACGCCAAATAGTGTCCTGCTTGTGTCACAAATAATAAGGTATCAAAAATGCTCATCTGACTGTAATTAAACGCCTAAAACCCCTGAGCTTCTGGGGGCTCTGCCCCCTGGACCCCACGCCAAATAGTGTCCTGCTTGTGTCACAAATAATAAGGTATCAAAAATGCTCATCTGACCGTAATTAAACGCCTAAAACCCCTGAGCTTCTGGGGGCTCTGTCCCCTGGACCCCACGCCAAATAGTGTCCTGCTTGTGTCACAAATAATAAGGTATCAAAAATGCTCATCTGACCGTAATTAAACGCCTAAAACCCCTGAGCTTCTGGGGGCTCTGCCCCCTGGACCCCACGCCAAATAGTGTCCTGCTTGTGTCACAAATAATAAGGTATCAAAAATGCTCATCTGACCGTAATTAAACGCCTAAAACCCCTGAGCTTCTGGGGGCTCTGCCCCCTAGACCCCACGCCAAATAGTGTCCTGCTTGTGTCACAAATAATAAGGTATCAAAAATGCTCATCTGACCGTAATTAAACGCCTAAAACCCCTGAGCTTCTGGGGGCTCTGCCCCCTGGACCCAACCAAGAGCCCTTAGGCGGGCCCCTCGATACTCATCTGACCGTAATTGAGTGCCTAAAACCCTTGAGATTCCGGGGCTCCGCCCCCTGAACCCCAAGCCAATTAGTGACTTGCCATTGTAACAATTAGGTATCAAAATAATGCTCATCTGACCGTAATTAAACGCCTAAAATCCTGAACTTCCGGGGCTCTGCCCCCTGGACCCCGTCTAGGGCGCTAAGGTGGACCCCTGAATGCTAATCTGACCGTAAATTAAAACCTTAAACCCCTAGCTTCCGGGGCGGACAAGGT